TCACCCATGAGGTGACACCAAGAACTGATGGCACTTGCCTGACAGCAACACCTCTGTGGCCTAGTAGATAGAGTGCTTGTCAGGAGAGAGGAAAGGTGGTGGTTCAGTCCCCAGACTTCTTCTGTGGTGTATTGGATAGAGTGTCTGCTAGGAGAGACGAAGTGTGGTGGTTCAATCCCCATACATCTTCTGTAGTGTATTGGAGAGAGTGTCTGCTAGGAGAGACGAAGTGTGGTGGTTCAATCCCCATACATGTTCTGTAGTGGAGAGAGTGTTTGCTAGGATGGATGAAGGGTGGTGTTGTGATCCCAGACTTCTTCAGTGGTCTAGTGGAGAGAGTGTCTGCCTGAAGAGATGAAGGGTAATGGTTTGATCCCCAGACTTCTGTGGTCTAGTGGATAGTGTGTCTGCCTTCACAGCAATAGGGTGGTGGTTCGATCCCCTGACCTTTTCTGTGGTCTAGTGGATAGTGTGTCCAACTGGAGAGCTACAGGATGGTGCTATCTTAACCAAAGTCATCAACATTTATTACTTGTTAAAAACCCTATCTGGTGTTTGATCTGCATCTTGCAGCTGGTATATTCTGTATCTGAGTGGGTGTCCAGGTTAAACTGCAGCATGTATCTCCGTAGCCTGGCAGTGTAAAACAGGTATTAGTGTGGATTAACAAGCAGTCACATACATTGCACACACACACAGTCACAGACACACAAAGACACACACACATTGCTGTATAAATGCAATAATCTTCTACCTGATATTAACGTCTGCTCACCTCCCCTCAGACTAACAGCATCCCAGACTGAGCACCCTTGATGTGTCAGGACCATACCTGTCTCCTGGCTTTCAATGAACCAGTCTACATCTTGCCAATTTGTGCTATCCTTTCTAATTCAACTGAAATGCCTTGATTTAATTGAAATTCGGTTCTGGGGAGCACTGAAAATGTTTACTTGTCTTCTCTGGTAAACTAAAGTGAATTTATGATGTAAAATGTTTGGTTTCATCTGTCAAGGGATTTCTTCCCATACTAAACAGACCAACTTCATTAGCTAGATATGTGCACTATTTGGACCAATCACAGACAAATTATGTTGCTGTTAAGTCTGTGAAAGCAGCTCTGCTTGAACATTCCAGTTCTTCATTAACAGAGCCTGGCGTGAGTCCATGTCAACGCTTTATGTTAATAGATGTGGTTAAACGCTTTGAGGTTTAGATACTTTTGTTAAAATGTTTGTACGCTAATTCACGGAACTCAAAGAACAGTTTGGTTGTTGTTTTAAAGGGAGCATGGTAAGTATTTATTATTGGTTCAAACGTAAATCAACACTAATCACAAAGCTGTCATCAGCATTTTAAGAGTCGCACCTTCGTTACTCCAGTGCAAGGTCAAGGGAACACAACCTTCAAGGTCATTTAATGTTTATTGTTACGGAAGAAACGTTATCCTCATCAAAGAACCTCTAAATTCACACCTCCCTCCTTCACTCAGTTTAGGGTGGAGTTATGGTTTGTTGAGAAGTCAGGAGAAAATTGACCTGTGTTTAGAATGTAATTGAGAAAACCGCAGAATGTGTGAAAAAGTGCCGCAGGGCGTTAGAGTAGACAAGTGGGAATTGTTGTGGTATTACACCGGGAACTACTTCGAGATTGTCTTCTTCTGTAGGGCAAATGTCTCGCAATTGAAACTTAATTGTTGTAGGATGTTCAGTGTTTAGAAGTATAGGGTCAACAATGTGTGCTGTATGAAAGAGCTACTTATACACTGAAGGTCTAACGAGGTCAGGTGGCGGTTGGTCTCCTGTGTCAGATCACTTGTCCTGTTGGATCTCCATAGTGAAATTCGCACCATCATGTCAAAATGTCATATCAGAATTGTCCATTACAATGGATCATTACAGCTTTTACGCCTTAAGATTCATTTTTGATTCACATCACGGGTGTACAAAGAGTCTAGCTCTTTCTTGATGTCCTCTGCCATAAACTGCTTTTTTGGTACTATCTATATCAAATGCCAGTGTCATTTATTATTCTTCAAAGTGACATTGAGAAGCATTCAATGTTCAGAGTTGTGTCCCTTATTAATTCCAGGATCCTGTGATTGGGAGTTTGAATCCCAGATTCCACAAGATATGTATCTGTATTTCTTGTACCTGCTGTGTTTATATTTGTAGTTTATAGAATATTGCCACTGTTTCTTCATGGAATGCTATGCAATAAATATCTTATCTTATGTTTCTAGGTTTGTTAACACCGTATTCATACTCATGGATTCCAACAAAGTGTTAAACATCTCAGCCCTTCAAGCTTTCCTCCTTCATTGAGCTGTTATGAAATATATTACACCCATGAATATTTGGGTTAGAATTGGTCTTCAATAACCCATGCTTGTCATAAGAGGTAACTTACAGGTTCGGGTGGTCAGGCTCGCTGACTTGCTTGAGTACATGTCATTGTATCCCAAATTGCGTGGATCGATGCTCATGCTGTTGATCACTGGATTGTCTAGTCCAGACTCGATTATTTACAGACTGACACAATATGGCTGGAATATTGCTGAGTGCGGCGTTAAACAAGTAAATAGAACATGACATATAACTGTTTAAAGGTTCATGCCATTGAAATTACATTGATCAACATTATATATTCTTAAGTGTGACTTATTCTTCTTGCAGTGTTGAAATTACCCCTTATAACTTTAAAAAACTTGTTGGTGTATAACAAGATAAGGAAACCACCCTGCGTTTGGCTTCCTTGCTAATTAAGAGTGACCTAGTGGGCTTGAATAGGCTGAAAGAGGGATGTTTGGCAATGACCCAGTAAGGCCTAACACATACACGATGAGGATCTTATATCAAAGCGAAGGTCCTTGATAAGTTTTTGCACAATGAATAATTATTCAGTGATGTGATCGTTACTGTTGTGCTTTGAAAAGATATCACTGATATCGGCCCTTGTGGTATAAGTGGCTACAAGACACGGAGGGAACGGGGAACTGTGTGTTTCAGGGTAGGAGATAAGATGTAGCATGGAGGTGGCAAATCTGAAACTATTGTACAAGTACACCTTCAGATAAAGCCGCTATTCTTTGTTGCAGGCTTTCAGGGATGGAACAGATTATTGATAAATCCTAGACACCCTCTTCTGTCATTTTTAGGTTTTGGGGGAGAATATTTGAAAGGGAGATACTGTGCAGGTTATTTGTTTTAGGTCATAAAAGAATGACAAGGCAAAAAGGTTTAAGTAATATTATGCTGATGCTTCATTATCAATTTACAGAAATGACTGATTCCTTTGATAAGTAATTCTTGCAGAGTTCATTGTCTTTCATTGTCTGAAATTGTATGTTATATCATTTTCTGTTTAAATGTTTTCATCTGCATCATATGGAGAAGATGTAACATGATGTATATATTTCTATCATCTACAGTGTTGTTAAATAATACTCTGAAGAATTCCAAAGGGATAAGTTCCTATAATCTTACAAACGTCAATGTCTCCAACAAGTGAAAGGGGCAGTGGGTAGCCTAGTGGTTAAAGTGTTGGCTCATCACGCCAAATACCCAGGTTTGATTCCCCACATGGGTACAATGTCTGAAGCCCATTTCTGGTGTCCCCTGCTGTGATATTGCTGGAATATTGCTAAAAGGGACGTAAAACCATACTCACTCATTCACTCACTCAGCAAGTGAAAACTCTATATGACAGTATAACATCTGTTTGTACCTAGCAACATGATAGATCACCAGGCTAGACACGGACATTGCAACATAATGGATCCGTACCCCAGACAACCTATATTCTAGGTAGTCAAAGCCAGTTTTTGTACAAAGATCATCCAAACCATAAGAAGGCTGTGATTCAAAGAAGATTATGTTTCACTTCAAAAAGAAAATAGTGTCTCTACATCCGTAATGCCTGAAGATCCATGTCTCTTTAACTTTGTCAATGTGCCCTCCGTAGTTGCGACAAGACTGGACCCGCATTGTCCCAAAGTTCCATTACACCAAAGGGCGGGCTACTGTCTTCGCACATGATCAGCCATTATTTACGTTATCAACAACACATAATTTCCTTTAGTGTGACTCGACAGCTACTTATTACAGAATGGCTAGACTTGCCTTTGTCATTGACAGTGCTTGTAAAGGATGTTCGCTTCTGAAGCTTTGCTTCTAGATTACAAGGTCCTAAGGATTTCCTTTACAAAAAATACTATGTTAAGGACTCGAGGATTCAAAGCCGTTCACCTCTTCATCAAGATTTTACAATAAAGATAATCTTGTTCTGACGCCTGTGTTTAGTGTCAAAGTAGTAATGAATTGCTTGCTTACGGAAATTCAAGACTTCAAGAATTATTTTTAAAAAGGCCCTTATGTAATATAATAGGCCAGATGAATAGACCGGTTTATCCTTTTGAGAAAAAATTTGATGGTTTGAATAATAGATCAAGTGTGTATTTAGGGTTAAAGCCTTTGTAGTTTGTTCAGAGGATCATCATTCAAGGGGCTGTTTTTTGTCGGTGAATATTTTACGCTTTTTTATGTCAACATAGGCAATGATAAACATGCAAATATAGAAATTGAAATAGGTTTTGAAATGCATTGTGTGGGGATTTGTCATGCACTCGATCCTGTTTGTATATTATGTACTGGGATAACATTACGGGGGTTATCAGCCCAGGGCAGCTTGAAGTAGGCTAGACTTTCTTCAAGTCTCCTCAATATAGTGGGTAGAAAGTCCTTAAGAAAAAGTGTACTATGGAAAGTCTGCATAGTGCAATAGGAATCCTGTAGTGATACTTTAGATCTGTTGTGTGGTATAATGTATTATTTTCTCAGACTAGTTTTTTAAGTAAATATGTGATATAATGCTATTGTATTGTCCTTTGATACAGGTTTGTATGTGACATGAAAGAGTAACATGTTCACAATATGTCTGGAATACTGAAAACTTGGATATTGGATTATAAGGTACAAGATCTTTGTTTTTTTGTTTTTCAGAGATGGAATCGGAGTTCCAGATCTTTTCCCACGAAGACATCACTGGGTATGTCCAGTTGACAGTGGACATTGAACGGGATCAACTGTTAGTTGGAGCAAGGTAAGGAAGCCTAGGAGTGAGTGAGTGAGTGAGTGAGTTGGGTTTAATGGTGCTTAACAGTATCACGGTTGTATCTTAATGTCAGAAATGCCTAAACTAATGGACCCGTGAAGATCCGGGTTAGAATTGGTCTTCAGTAACCCATGTTTGTCGTAAGAGGCGGCTAACGGGATCAGGATCACTGATTTGTTTGACACATGCCATTGTATCCTAATACGTAGATTGATGCTCATGCTGTTGATCACTGGATTGTCTGGTCCAGACTTGATTATTTACAGACCGCCGCCAAATAGCTGGAATAGTGCTGAGTGTGCCATTAAATAACAACCAACCAGGCAATCTAAACTCATGACATTTACCACTTTTGTGAAACCAATTAGCATGTGTATGAAAACCTGAAACATGAAAACCTGAAACATGAAAACCTGATCAGAGTAAACCAGGATTCAAACCCACAGTCATAAGTATTGGGCATGCAAAGGGAAATAATTCTGTACAACCTTCAAATCCTGCACACTATCCCATGGCCTGTTCAGTTATTCCTTCATATAGATCCTGGTGTTCCAGAGAAACAGATGCAGGGGTGGAAATAACTTTAAAATTGCTAGTGTACTCCGGTACAGTGGCACATGTAAAATCACTTGCCCTGATAATTTTTCCACTATACCGAGCCGTTTTCTTGTTGATTTTTTAAATAAACAACATAATTAACATTGGAATATCAACTGGACACCGGTACAGTGTGATATACAAATTTGCTTGCCCGACAGAAGAAAACACTGGACTCGGGCGTCGGGCAATGGGTTATTTCCACCCCTGAGATGGTCCCTAAGACTTCCAGAAATGGGGAAATAATGTAAGACTGCAAAGATGCAAAAGAACGCTCAGTGATGGACATGTTCCGGCAAGCATGTGCTTTTGTCAGATATCGGTGTAGCTGTCCAATTAGGGGCTGGTGTGAAATTGTGAGGTTGTTGGTTCTTATTAACCTAGATTGAGTCAGATTGTTGACCAGGGTGAGCAGAGGGTTGAGTGAGAGATGACCATGCTGTTTTAGCTCCAGACACAAACAGATGGTGTTAATTACTGCAACAATCTTTTCTTGTTAACAGTTTGAAGTGCCCCTATGTAAAGGAATTCAATTTTGCAAGAATAGATATTGTCATATACAAATTGCTTATATACTCACAGAGACTCAAACATGAGAAAATACACTTTCACTTGGGGGTTTGATCATATTTTCTTATCACTTATGTTTCGTGGATTATTCTGATATTCCCTCCCTCGTATTCATCCTCCCAGCTTTGTGTTCCAGAGCCTGATTGTTCCAGTTGGCCCTACAGAACTGCAGATCCCCACCATATCTTATAGATTATTCTTTTATTCCTGTATATGCATTCTTATGTTCCAGGGGCTGTCTGTTCCAGTTGGCCCTACAGGACCTGGAGATCCACCACCATATCTCACAGCTTATACTGATATTCACCCTCTCTTCCTTGTGTTCCAGGGGCTGTCTGTTCCAGTTGGCCCTACAGGACCTGGAGATCCTCCACCATATCTCATAGCTTATACTGATATTCACCCTCTCTTCCTTGTGTTCCAGGGGCTGTCTGTTCCAGTTGGCCCTACAGGACCTGGAGATCCTCCACCATATCTCATTGCTTATACTGATATTGACCCTCTCTTCCTTGTGTTCCAGGGGTTGTCTGTTCCAGTTGGCTCTACAGGACCTGGAGATCCACCACCATATCTCATTGCTTATACTGATATTGACCCTCTCTTCCTTGTGTTCCAGGGGTTGTCTGTCCCAGTTGGCTCTACAGGACCTGGAGATCCACCACCATATCTCAAAGCTTATACTGATATTCACCCTCTCTTCCTTGTGTTCCAGGGGTTGTCTGTTCCAGTTGGCCCTACAGGACCTGGAGATCCTCCACCATATCTCAAAGCTTATACTGATATTCACCCTCTCTTCCCTGTCTGTTTCAGTTTCTACAGGACCTGGAGATCCTCCACCATATCTCAAAGCTTATACTGATATTCACCCTCTCTTCCTTGTGTTCCAGGGTTGTCTGTCTCAGTTGGCCCTACAGGACCTGGAGATCCACCACCATATCTCAAAGCTTATACTGATATTCACCCTCTCTTCCTTGTGTTCCAGGGGCTGTCTGTTCCAGTTGGCCCTACAGGACCTGGAGATCCACCACCATATCTCAAAGCTTATACTGATATTCACCCTCTCTTCCTTGTGTTCCAGGGGCTGTCTGTTCCAGTTGGCTCTACAGGACCTGGAGATCCACCACCATATCTCAAAGCTTATACTGATATTCACCCTCTCCTCCTTGTGTTCCAGGGGCTGTCTGTTCCAGTTGTCGGCTTTTGGTCTCTACAAGGATGATGGAGATCCACCACCATATCTCACAGCTTATGCTGATATTCACCCTCTCTTCCTTGTGTTCAGGGGTTGTCTGTCCCAGTTGGCTCTACAGGACCTGGAGATCCACCACCATATCTCAAAGCTTATACTGATATTCACCCTCCTTCCTTATGTTCCAGGGGTTGTCTGTCCCAGTTGGCTCTACAGGACCTGGAGATCCACCACCATATCTCAAAGCTTATACTGATAGTCACCCTCTCTTCCTTGTGTTCCAGGGGTTGGCTGTCCCAGTTGGCTCTACAGGACCTGGAGATCCACCACCATATCTCAAAGCTTATACTGATATTCACCCTCTCTTCATTGTGTTCCAGGGGCTGTCTGTTCCAGTTGGCCCTACAGGACCTGGAGATCCACCACCATATCTCAAAGCTTATACTGATATTCACCTCTCTTCCTTGTGTTCCAGGGGCTGTCTGTTCCAGTTGGCCCTACAGGACATGGAGATCCACCACCATATCTCAAAGCTTATACTGATATTCACCCTCTCTTCCTTGTGTTCCAGGGGCTGTCTGTTCCAGTTGGCTCTACAGGACCTGGAGATCCTGCACATGGCTGAGTGGAAGTCCTGACAACCTGACACGGGATGTTTGTATTGCCAAGGGCCAGCCACACCAGTATTGTCACAACTTTGTGAGAGTTCTCCTGCTACACAAGGACAAGGTGTTCACATGTGGGACCAACGCATATAAACCAGAGTGCACATGGAGAAACGTGAGTTCTTCTGGATCCCCATCCATTAAAGACCAGTTATAACATCTCAGTGATGGAAAACAATCATCCATAGAACCATATAACATAGATATCCAGTACATTATACAGGAATACATTCCTTTTAGGCATGTTACAGTAAATTATAGCCTCCATCATAGGACTCCAAATCCAAATTTTGGATTGGTTTTGTTTCCCTTTCCACTGCCCATTTCTTCTGCCCCCTGCCATGGTATTGCTGGAATATTGCTGAAAGCGGTGTAAAACTAAACTCCCTCACTCCCTCTCCACACTCTGAAATCTAGCCCTATGATGGCTGTGTTGACCAGGCAAAACAGGGGTTAATGTCATGAGCAATACTCTGACCTAGGGTGAAATGAGGAGTATATAACACAGCAAGGTGAGGTGAGGTGAAATTGGGCGTCGATCTTGAGAATATTTGGCTCATATGACGCGCGCGCATGTGGTGTATGTGTATAATGCGGCTGCTTGTACTAGCCCAGACTTAAGCTGGTTTTATAGTGCTAGCCCACTGAGATACCATGCTGCAGTGAAGCATGAATATCCCACTCAGACACATTATACTGACTTCGAGCCGACCAGTCGTTGTTGTACATATTAATGCCGAGCGCCAGGCAGGGACCAACAAGTACCATATTTTAACGTCTTTTTGGTATGACGCGGCCTGGGATCGAACCCGCGACCTTCTGCTCTCCGGGCGGACGCTCTAACCACTACACCACTGAGGCGGTCAACACAGCAAGGGGTGGGATATAAGGGTAGTGTAGCAGCAGAGCATACTCTCGTCCTGCCAACACCCTTGGTTAAATTCCACAATGCGAAAAATGTCTGAACGCCTATTGTCATGAAGCTGTCATGAATTAATCACTAAAAACTGGATTCAACAATACTCTCTCTTTCTCTCACTTACTCTTTCAGGCCAGCCACTTAACTGAAGTGGAAAAGACAATCAACGGCCAGGCCAAATGTCCATACAACCCCTACCAGAATGCAACAGCGTTGATGACGCCGTCAGGAGACCTGTACACCGCCACCGTCATCGACATCACAGCCAGGGACCCAGTCATCAGCAGAGACCTGGGGCCTTCACAACAACTGCGAACAATGCAGAGAAATTCAAAATGGCTCAATGGTGAGACGTCAGTTCAATATGTTTTATTACAAAGTGACTTTTATACTGCTCAAAATTGTTAAGGATTACCCAAATTTTTCAAATTACTATGGTCTTGCTATCATGATGGATTATCCACAATAATATGAAAGAGTAAGGCAGTTGTTAACTTTTGGTGTGTAGTATATATGTGCCTCAGGGGCGGTGAGGTAGCCTAATGGTTAAAGCGTTGGCTCGTCACGCTGACAACCTGGGTTCGATTGCCCACATGGGCACAATGTGTGAAGCCCATTTCTGGTGTCCCCCGCCGTGATATTGCTGGAATATTGCTAAAAGCGGTGTAAAACCCAACTCACTCACTCACTATATGTGCCTCATGACTTTGTGAAAGTTTTATGCTGGAAATAACAATTCTGATTCCTTTTTAGGAATTAGAAATAATTCATTTTAATATTATTTTCAGTATTTTGTGTAAGTAACACTTAAATGAGACACAAATGATATTTTAAATGATGCAGCTCTAATTTTGGATTGGTAGAGCAAATTATGGCCTACTATGGCAGTAACTGATCTGATAAATGAACTGTTCAGTTTGGATGAAGTCAGATGCTCATGCTATCATCCACTAGAATGTCTGCATCAAATTGTCTAACACTTATAAGTCACATGTTATTAACATGGAGTATCAAGCCATGTATTTCCTTTTTACTTTTAACAGTCTCTATTGCAATGAAAGTCTAAGAAAAACATTTGAATTAAATATTTGAAAACAGAGTGACCTTGTTGACGTGCCAAATTACCTGAATTTATAAAAGAACTTTATTAGGCCATGAAAAGGGAAGACCCTTATCATGTTGGGGGTATTCCAGTTGTGCTGTGTAAACTGACTACTTTTCTTAGGCTATTAATAATTTGTTGTAACAAATATTAATATTGTATAAATATTACCTCTTTGTATGTCAAGGTCGTTTGGATTTTCTTGAACAATTATATTTCTCCTTGGGTAATGAAATAAGTTTTGCAGTATGCGAGGAAAAAGTAGTTAGTTGACTGCAAATTTTCAAAATATGCCTAAATCAAGATGGTTTTTGATGGCAAGGGAGAAAGGTAAACTGGTTCTTATAGTTCTCTGACATCGGATGCTGGTCAGTTTGGGTGTTGGGTTACCGAGTAGTGGCTACAGGAATTGAACCCTTCATGAGAGGTCACTTTCAGGAACTTTATGCTAATGATATCTAATTATTTTCCATATAGAGTTGATTGAACTGGTCTTCCTGTTCAAGAGAGGAAGTTCAATTTGGTGATCATTTTGGTGTTGGAAGTTCCGTGAATGTACCGTGTTTTAGACCTCTGTCTATATTTCAGGATAATAGTGCTCTTTTATGGTGCAAAGTTCTTTGGGTCAAGCTTGTTTTTATTCATATGTATTTAACTTTGAACATTTTGTCATGAGAAATTGTCAAAATGTATTAAATGCTACACAAACAATTTCTCTCTTCTTCACAGGTTGTTGAAGTGTTAATTTAAAGCGTTAAAGGAAAACCAAATTCAGGTCATTCAGAAGTTCTAAGAAATGTATGTGTACTACTATAAACACCACCTTCTGTGTCTGCTGGTTTAAATATTGTATATGCACCCAACAGTTATGAATTCGCTAATTACATACAGACACTGTCTCACTTTCACAGATGGTATTAATTACAGCGTCTAGGAACGAGGAAAATGGGAAACTGTGTAGTGCAGCATAGATATACTTTATGATTAATAGCGTATAAACAATATCTAAATTATGAATAATGCACAACATGTGACTACATCTTCTCCCCTTTCACCGTTAACCTACCCACCCCACCTGATCTGTCTCATCATATCGTCCCTTTCTCCCTCCCCCCCTCCACCCTCCTCCTCCTTGCCCTATGAGTTGTCGTGAGAGTCAGGACAAGACAGAGTAGTCATGACCAGAATGATATACGATATATCTCTAGGTGGAATAAACGATATATGCCATAGTTGACGTGCATATTGTACATTGTATCCATCACAGAATGGTCTACATGGGCCATGACACTTGATATATGTCTTTAGAATGCACGTTTTTCACATCATACACAGGGAAGTACACCACCAATAGTGGGCCTATGTATTCTCTGGCATGTTTGGATGAATATTACGTATTTCATAACTTTATACTTTTCTTTTGGTTTTGGGGGCTGATGGGGTGGCCTAGTGGTTAAAGCATTTTCTCATCATGCCAAAGACCCAGGTTTGATTCCCCACATGGGTACAATATGTGAAGCCCATTTCTGGTGTCCCCCGCCATAATATTGGTGGAATATTGCTAAAAGCGGCATAAAACCCAGCTCACTCACTCACTCTGTTGGTTTTGGTTGTTATGACTAAATGTACAGGAAAATTATTCAAAATGTAAAATATGATATATCTTTAAGACTTGATATAAGGGATACAGGGCATAACGAGACACCCTCGTGGGCAATATGGATGGTTAGGGCAGATTTTGTATAGTTATCATCATATTGATTTGTGATATAGTTTGGAGATTATGTTACTTATGACAATGTGCCTTTAGAAGAATAGACATTCCAAGTCAGGTACCTTTGGTTTTTGCAAACGAGACAAGTTGTCAGAAAAATAGCATCTTGGTTTTTTCTTAATCTTTTATCCAGGGATGTACATTTTTAACTTGAAATCAATCATCCACTTGGAAAGACATTAATCTTTCTTTGGACATAACCAAAAGGTCAAATATGAATCCAATAGTTTTGTTTGGGCTTTTTCCTGATGGATAAGCTTTTAGAGTTGTGTAGACATTTTGACACCGAGGTGTTAATGTGTTGCTAGGAATGAACCATCAACCCCTGCATACAAAAGTTTTACCTCTCAAGAATTCTGACATTTGTCTAAGAGCATTCTATACATGCTTACATGGAAGGATCCCTCTCAGGAGGGTCACAAGGTGGTGTCCATTTAGGACGTCTTCAAGCCTGGACAGTAATGGCCGATATGGGGTCATTTATTTATGTCAAACACATGCAGGACCTCAAGTTATCTCGCAGGAACACAAGACCAATTGTAGGAAGAATTTGTTTGTTTTTGCCTGCAGTATGTTGTAGATATCGCGTCAATTACAATAATGGTAGCGCCATTTATTTCAATCATGGTGGGGATCATGTGTTTCCTGCCTTGTGGTGGAATAATGGCTGGAATTGATAGGGGTCAGCGGTTATTTCAATAACTCTTACCGTGTCATGTCAGATTGTCAGCCTTAATGTCAGCCAGAGAAACTTGTCACGTGACATTTCCGTCAAAACCTATTTCTTCATGTGATAATATTTCAGTTGTATTAAGCTTATATTGTCATGAAAATATATGTAAGTGATTCTTTTCTGTTTTGTCTTCAATATTTAAGAAAGCTACCGGTATATGTAATAGGTCAAATATTGTATCAAGGCTTTGTTAGGAATATTTCATCATAATTTAATGCATTGATTTAATAGGTCAAATATTTTATCAAGGATTTTGTTAGGAATATTTCATCATAATTTAATGCATTGATTTAATAGGTCAAATATTGTATCAAGGGTTTGTTAGGAATATTTCATCATAATTTAATGCATTGATTTAATAGGTCAATATTTTATCAAGGATTTTGTTAGGAATATTTCATCATAATTTAATGCATTGATTTTGCTGGTCCCTTCGTGTCAAGCTTTGTATCCAACAGTAAATTGTTATAAAAAGGGGTAAAATAAATCATATTCACTGCAATAATAATAGAGTAATTACAAAACGTACAGTGTATTCCTAACAGCATATATACAATAAAAATAGGCTAATTGATTCTACAATGATTGAGATATTTTATCAGTATCTCCAACTCACAAACCTCATAGACAAGACCTCATAGAAGTTGTGTTAGTTATTGTTTATTGACAATAATATCTTTGATTTGCCACGATGTATACCTTCAGACACAAAAATAAACTAATTTCCTGAAACTAATTGAAAGGGTTCTTCTAATAACATTTTTCACTTTAACCTAAACCTGCCCTAACCATCCAGATTGTCCATTAGACTGTCTCGTTATTTCCTATAATCACAGACACAGTGAGGTGATGGACTGGTCAGGCCATATACTACCTCAAAGTAAACTAAGTGGTCAGCCAAGATAATAGGAATGGTCTTTATTCAATAAAAACCAGATCATAAATATCCCAGCCTGACATGAAGTGACCGGTAGTCACCGAGAGAGGTGTACAACAGGGTTGCATTCTCCTATTAATGGTTTTAAGTACATGTTTTATTTTGTCGGACAAGCCACTTAAATCAGATTGTTTATGTTTCACCCTCCATCAGGGGTCTATTGTTAGTCAAATTTATTAATGTCAGAAAGAATTTTGATTGCTTAAAGCTGGAGTTTAATTGTGTGAGAAGACGTACACACAGTAGGAAATACCTTTGTTTTCATACCAGAGCTTGTATGTGTGGAATTTCTATTTTATAAGGTTGTTTGAGGAAAAGTATTGATTTGTAGTTTAACCACTGAGGTGTATTCTAAAGTATTATTGAAATTTAATTTGAAATTTTATTTAAATTTTGTTAATTGTATTTTATTTCAGTTTTGAAGTGAATTTGTTGAAACTGTACCTTTAATTTAAGTATCCAATATGTTGCACACCTATTAATGTTCAAATAATCTGTTTCTGATTGCTTGACAAGCCCATTATGTTAGGCTTTAATTCCAACAAAAATACTTTAAAAGACTAAATAGCACAGAAACATTTGATTTAATCCTCAAGTTTAAAAAAGGCAGTTAGTAAATATCTCTGTATTTTGAATTTAAGCTTTAAGCTTTCCTAGAAACTATTTAAACATGGCCAAAGACTGTTTAGAAGTTCTCAAGTTCTAAGTCTTTAGTAAACTCATCAGTGATGTATGGGGTATACTGATGACAAGGTAATTCCTGGGATTATATTTTCACACGTAAATGTCAAGGGAAGATAACTCATCTTTTCCAGCATCCTAATTGATAATGGTCGGTGACACCAGTACATTGTCATCAGAATAAGCATCTCTTAAGACAGGCACTCTTTAAAATTGACGTCTCACAGGGAAGAAATGACACCATAGTAAATAGGTTTCTAAGAAACATGGGACTTAAGTCAGTATGAAATATTTCCCATCAGCTTTGGATTAATTAGATGACCGATCATTTCACGATGAATGTATATATTTCGTCAATTTTACCGACAGTCACTTTCAGCTGTCTGTCAACTGGTCCCTTGTCAGCAAGGTTGATGTCTCTTTCATTCCTTGGGGCAAGTTGAGTTGATGACTGGGTGTGTAATATATGCCCCTGGCATTGGGTAATCGGATTGCTAAACTGTTTACGATTCATTACAGCTGTTTCAAGCAACTGGGTTTTGGTGTCATCTCATTTGTATCTTGTAGATCAAAGGGTTTTTTTATCGTTAAATTAACAGCACATCTTGTATAACACGTTTGGTGACAAAAGACACATTGTTCAGTCTTGTTAACAAATTTGAAAAAATATAATCTCAAATGACTTCATGACTTTGATGTTCAAAGATGTAGTAGTGGCACGTGGTCCTGTGCATAGAGCTCAGGTCACAAATCAGGTGAAGTTAAGCAATGTTGGGTGCGGAGAATCATTGGATGGGTGACCCGCTTGGCAGCTTGACTCCGGATAGTTTCTAGGACTTCAGTCCTGCCCCACAACGAAGCATGTGTGATACATGTGGTCTCACCAGAGACATGTGAGCTTGTTCAAATTTGCCCCTGTTCACCCAGCAGAAAATGGGTACCCGGTGGGATAAAGTCATGTGACTATAACCCTCTAGCGCCTAACAGGCAGCTTGGGTTATTTGGGGTAATAATAATCAGATTGTTTGGGCGCTTCAAGCATGCATTGTGCATGAGCAGTGTGCATGATAAATGGACAAACGTCTTTGATGAAATATAAGACTACAGGTATCTAAGAAATTGAAACTGTCAAGGTTAATTATGTATATGATTATTTTGTTGAATATGTTTAATAATTCTAATTAATATGTAGTTTATAGGGAATAGTTTTCTATGATGGTCACTAAACAGAAGGATTAAATGATTTAGACGTATCGTATCACAAGCTCAAAGCACTGTGTTGACATATATTATCACTAAAACAGTGACACCTACCGATGCGTGGAGTTCTGCAGTAAATACATGTATCAGATTCACCAAATTATTCGTTGTAACTAAAAACTGAGTTATTTTCTTTGGATTGTCTGGTCTGGTTAAATCCATTGTGGGTGGGTAACATTTTGAAGTTACCAGCCTTGATGTCTGGCTAGGTTTTAGCTTATTTCATACACAGTGATAATGTTTAGCTTTTCTACGAAACTTGCAGCATTGCAGCCTCTGAATTGCATCGTTTATATAAAGGGATGCATAGACACAAGTGCTGTCGTAGATCAAGCACACTCTGAATCTCAGGGCACCTGTTAATGTTTTCTGACTTCAGATAGTCCTACTTAAGCAAGGATTTATGATAATTGTGTATACTATAGGTGGTAAGGTGATGCTAACGGTAATTGGCCTTTGTTTCACGTTAGAGGTGACCATTTGCCATCTGTAGAATATTTCTGTACGCAGGACCTGTGAGGGTTATCTAACAGTGACATCTTTCCAAGTGAATGTGTGAAATATGTAGGTTACACTATAGGAATGCATTCACATAATGGAATCTGTGGAAATGTAATCGTATGAAAATATTGGTAGAGTTGAATCTGTGGGAAGTCTAGGTAAGTTGAAGGAAACATTCATAGAGTGGAATATGTGGAAAGCCAAGGTCGTAATGAGGGAAAGCACTGATCTAGTTGAATCCATAGAAAGTCATTGTTATAATGAAGGAAAGCACAGGTTGAGTTGAATCTGTGGAAACTCAAGGTCACAATAACGGAAAGCACTTACCGGTATCAATTTGAATCAGTGGAAAGTCAAGGTCATAATGACAGAGAGCACATATCAATTTGAATCAGTGGAAAGTCAAGGTCACTATGAAGGAAAGCACATATCAATTTGAATCTGTAGAAAGTCAAGGTCACGATGAAGGAAAGCTTTGATAGCTGTTAAATGTTGAAAGTATAAGATTTACAACAACCATGTCTTTCGTGGGTAAGTGGAGTAGGTGCAAGCCAAAATAATATTGTATAAATTACTTCTGATCTATGGCTATGTGGTATTTATAGCATGTCATCATTTCTCTATCATAAAAGATCAGAAAAGTTTTTAAACAGTTAACACATTAACACACACAGGTAGAAGTTCAGTGCATAAAACTTTAAAAAAAATCATCTGTCTAGTCGTTCTGTCTGCAGTATGTTGTATAAACTGCATCATTTAGATACAAAATATCTAAGTAATATTTCATATGGTGATGGTAGATATAGTATATTTCAGGTTACCTGTTGGGAATAAATACACTTTTCGCATCCTCTCCTCAAATACAGATATCGTACAGAAGAAAAAGTCAACCCATGCTAAAACTGTAATTGACAAAATTACCTTTAGAAAAACCTTTGAAAAGGGCTACAAAGTTTTTATTGGTTTTAAAAGGAAGACTGTTAGAAGCTTCTGACAGAACTACAATTAGTGTGCGGATTTATTCTCCAGGGAAAGACACGATGCTCGTAATCTGATTACCCAGTCTTTGCAATTCCACAAAACGGAGTCATTGCCAGGGGCCCGGAACAGTTAGTTAACTGTTGGAAAAGACAGAAATTCTATAAATGAGGATATTTAGTTTGGGCAAAGATGAGTCAATATTGTAAAGGATTTCTATTTTAATGATGAAACATGGTGGGGGATGAGCTGATAATTTAAAATCTTTGTAGTTTGTTCAAGAGTGTGAAGGGAAAGTGATTAAGTAATTAATTAGCTTCACCGTTGAACTCCTCAATTCAGTTCAGGCTGTCGATTCTGATAAAAAAACAATTGTCCATCTGATAAATTCTTTTTAGAAAAGAAAGTGTTCCGTAAATTTATGAAAATTTGATTAATAAAACTGGAATTTTGTTTGTTGTAGCATATTAAGATATAACTGCACTGAATATTTTATTTTTTCAGAGCCCAACTTTATAGCTTCCTATGAAATAGGAGAATTTGTATATTTTTTCTTCCGAGAAACTGCAGTCGAGTTTATCAACTGCGGCAAAGTAAGTACTCATTCTTTTCCTGTAAGTGAATAATACAGTCACAGGGTTCATTATACAATGTAATGACAAAAATTGTACATCCGGCTTCATTCAATTCATTATTTGCTCAAATATTGATTGCAAAATTTCGAAAATGTTTCTCTGATTTTGGTTTTACTGATGTTGGTATTACTGATTAATTTGTTTTTTTCCTTGATATTGAAACCGATACTGATATTTTGTCATTTGTTGTGTATGTTATCACATTAGTTATTACATACTGCTGAAAAAATGTTGAGGAACACCCACAATTTACATTACCCACTGTGGGAGAACAGCAATAGTCACGTAAAAATTGTGTGTTGTTAATTTCTTTTGAGTTATATGTCTACTTGTGGAACTGTTAAATAACAAATTATCTCTTACAAAATATGTATAGATTCAATGTCTTGTGTTTTGTTTTTCAGAAAACATATTCACGTGTTGCAAGGGTTTGCAAGGTAAATATACTGAAGGGGATAAATAAGGCAACAGGGAACTGTAATGGAGATTTTTCAGTTTAGGGTAAATGGGAATAGTATGATATATGTCCATGGGAATATTACACGTCTGATATGACAGCAGTTACCTTGTGAGTGTACTGATTCATCTCAGTGAAGTCCTGGGTTTGAGGGGCGGTGGGGGTAGCCTAATGGTTAAAGCGTTGGCTCGTCACGCCGAAGACCCGGGTTCGAATCCCCACATGGGCACAATGTGTGAAGCCCATTTCTGGTGTCCCCCGCCGTGATGTTGCTGGAATATTGCTAAAAGCGGCGTAAAACCAAACTCAGTCAGTCAGTCCTGGGTTTGAGTCTACTAATGTGTGATGCACATGTTTGATGTCCCCATGCTACTAGATGCTCATGACCCTGCTTCATCTAAACCCTGTCAATGGATCACTGGGTCCTGAAACTTCATTCTCAACTCCCTGAGGAGTATACAACTCAAACTGACTATGAGATGTGAGGAGATTATCAGTCACATTACCATCTCGTCCTATCAGGTACCCATTCGCTACTGAGTGAATACAGGCATGTTTTTTAATGAAGCCATTTGCTGACTGAAAGTGGCATAACACTCACTCATTGTCACATAGGAGAACTGACAAGCAGTCATGTGAGATACATTTAGATCACCTGGCACAAATACAAGAGAGCTTTTGTTTCAGTCAGAATTTAGAATCTATTCTGATTTGCTAAATTTTTTTACACAAATATTTTGAAAATGTTTCATGTTTGAAGAATGTTTTTTGTTGTTGTTTTCAGACTGACGGAGGTGGGAGGGTTCTTTTAGAGGAGAACTGGACAACATTCTCCAAAGCCAGAATGAATTGCTCAGTACCAGGGGATTTTCCATTCTATTTTGATGAAATACAGAGTACATTTTTCTCTGAAAAGGAACAGCTTCTATATGCCATCTTCACAACGCCTTCGTAAGTGAAGCACTGTCTTTATCAAAACTAATTTCCTTGCATGTGTGTGATATCTGTATGTGTGTCTATATCTGTACACCTCTGTCTATGTTGGTCGGGAAAATGTACACCCAAGTCACAAAGCGAAAAAATAAGAACAGATTTTAACTCTATCTGAAAAGGGATTAGGAAGACGATATTTTTTGAAATAACTGAAAAATCGTTATTTTTTAACTTCCATTTTGCTGATATCTTTATAGATCATTACCGGTACATCTTTTGCTCTACAATGTATATACTACACTATTGACATGCATGGTAGCAAAAATAATGTCTATGGTGGAAGGGAGACAACTCTCATCAGGAAACAAGGATTTTATGTGTCTGTTTGGTTAGAGACATGTTCAAGAGCTTTGCTTCTTCCTGGTCATAGGTCATGCTAGAACAAATTATGGTGTCCTTTACAATCTTGTCAGCTTTTGTAGAACTACAGTGTGTGTAACATGCATTTAGTAAGCTCTCAATTCTCGTTTTTTCCCTATATGTACCAGGAATATGTATCCCAGTGTCATGGGTACAACATTTGATTTTCTGTGGGCTGGGGGACATGGTTTTAGATTTGCCATAATAACGGTAATCAGTCCTTTGAATGCTCTAAGAATAATTTTTATATCAGTTCTTATCCCAAAGCAATTCTTTATCTGTATGATATAGCTTCCTATATCGAAACTTATGTATTGCTGAACACCTGAGATGTTGGGATGTTGTCTTATTTTAGAATATTTTATGCAAAATTATAATTATTGTGATACAGTTTTTCATTATCGGTGCTCTCATTTGTTTAATTTCAGAAATAGTTTAGCCGGATCAGCTGTGTGTGTGTATAACATGTCCGCGTTCCAGACAACATTCATTGGGCCGTTCAAGTACCAGGAGAACGCCAAGTCTGCTTGGATGAAGCATGAAAACCCAACTCCATTGGAAAGGGTAAATACCAAACTAGCAGACACACTCAACCCTGCCTATTTAGACAGAATGGTGTGGAGCAAGACAACATACTCGTGCACTCACTCACTCACTCTTTATGTTGTGTAGGGGCAGGGGGGTAGCCTAGTGGTTAAAGCGTTGGCTCGTCACGCCGAAGACCCGGGTTCGAATCCCCACATGGGTACAATGTGCGAAGCCCATTTCTGGTGTCCCCCGCCGTGATGTTGCTGGAATATTGCTAAAAGCGGCTTAAAAAACCAAACTCAGTCAGTCAGTTGTGTAGGGGCGGTGGGATAGGCTAATGGTTAAAGCATCCGCTCGTCACACTGAAGATCTGGGTTTGATTCCCCACATGGGTACAGTGTGTGAAGCCCATTTCTGGTGTCCCCCGCCGTGATGTTGCTGGAATATTGCTACAAGCGGCATAACACCATACTCATCCAATCACTCACTCACTTTATCTTGTGTTTTGCCAAGCCAGTGGAAGTAGAGAGTAAACAGCTGTGCAGCCAATAAGATGTCACACTAGGACATTACCGAAATACTTTTAAAGCAGAATTAAACCTAACTCACTCACTCACTGATACTGTATGTTGTCCATCTCTGTCCAGTGCCCCAGCCAAGGCAGCGGAAGTAAGCGGTCAACAGACACGTCGGCCAGTAAACTAGAGGCAGCCAACATGTATCAACTGATGGACGCAGCCATACAACCCAACACCATCTCCCCGTTGTACCTTGGGGAGAACGAGAGGTAACTGCCCATGTTGGAAGTTTAATCAGACTAACGCTTGGTCTCTGAATATATATGATTTTGATAGTAACAAATAATCACATTTTAATTAAAAAGGAGCCCCAGTGAGATAGGAGATTCAGATCCTGAGGTAATCTAGACTTGCTTCATTTAGGCCTTTAGCATTGCAGGGAGGGCTGGCAGTAGGGAAGATGATGTGGTTCAGGGACTGTGAGACAGACTAGAGGTTTAATCACTGATTCATAGCTGACATTAAGGAAGTCATCATGTCGCAGCCTTGGTTTGGTATTAATCAGCATTTGGAATGAAAATTCTCAATTACTTTCTTTAATTGATGATGAAAGATTTCTTTTGATGTTTCTTCATCATGAAGTAAGGAAATTACATAAACCGATATACATATGGCAGGCAGAGGAAGTAGTACCTAGCAAGACTACTTGTCCTCATTTGCTTCATTTTCTGGTCGATTTATCAATTAATTAATCGAGATAATTGAAACGTATGTTTTCCCAATTTTTTCTTTCAGAGTAATAAACAAATATAGTAAATAGAATAAATATAAAGAATAAACAAAATATGTATACATCAACTTATTTAATACATAATTATTATTATCTCAAAGACAAACAATGAACTCATCTTTGATCGATGTGAATGCTGGTGCTGTTTTTTGTTAAAAGTAAATAATTCATTTTCCTTCTTAAAACAGCCATTAACGTCATTCTGCTGGAACAGAACAGTTTTTCAATTCTTAAATCAGGGCCTTGCACCACAAAGCAATCGTAGTGCTATAATAATTGTAATACCCGGTATTTACAGGTGGACTCATATCGTGGTGGACTTTGTGTACGGCAAGATGGACCTGTATGAGGTGGTGTTCCTGGCTACTGCCGATGGAAAGATTCGGAAGATGTTCAAGGTTCCCCGCTCCAACAAAACCTGTCTCATTGAAGAGATAAAAATTGTGCCCAACGGGGAACCTAAGCCAGTAAAAGCTATGAAAATCTCTCCAGAATCGGTAAAGTATATTTCAAAGAATCCTTTACAATGTGAGAATTCATTAGATATTTGGTCATTGTGACCAATTTTGAATAGTTTTATGTGAACATTATGTAATCCCATGATTCAGTGGTGAAAATGTTCCTTCCATCTTGTAATTCTTGACACAGTCGCTGTGAATAGCTGCAAAATTGCTGATGCTGCGTTAAGCAATATTTACTCACTGACAATAGTATATATATATATATATAATAACAAATGTTTCAGGCATCTGAGATAAAACTCATCCAATTTACATGACAGCAACATTTAAAGATGTTGTGAGTGGAACATTGCTTTCCTTTCTGTCATGCCTTATTAGCCGCCATACAGCTGGAATATTGCTGAGTGTGGCATAAAACTAAACTCACTCACTCACTCATGCCTAATTCAACACTACATTCACTCTAGACAATGATTGTCATTGAAATTTTGATTTTGATAGAAACAAGAAACAGCATTCAAAATGAAAAGGATCCATTGTATGATTTGAGATTTTAATTTTGAATGATATTTGACATTTTATTTCCAGGTTGAATGTTTTGCTGAAGATATTTTCCATTGAATGTTGTTATTGAAATTTTATTCATGGAATATTGTTTGTCCAGGGTGCAATCTTCATTTCCACCCAAGGGAGAGTGATAAAGATCCCTGTTGAAAGATGCAGCCGCTTCACAGACAGCGAGTAAGTCAAGAGACAAGCCACTTTGTATTTTCTTCAAGCAGCAATCTTTCATTCAAAACACTGTGTATTCATTTACTGTTATGTGGTAGTGCCCAGCTGGAATGAATTTAAAAATGATTTGTGCAGTCATGACTTATGGCTCTTTCTCTCTTAAATATATCTCTGGCCAACCAGTTAAACTCTCAGTGTCACACGGGATCGGGTGGTCAGGCTCGCTGACTTGGTTGACACATGTCATCGGTTCCCAATTGTGCAGATCAATGCTTATGCTGTTGATCACTGGATTGTCTGGTCCAGACTCGATTATTTACAGACCGCCACCATACAGCTGGAATATTGCTGAGTGCGGCGTAAAACAAAACTCACTCACTCAGTGTCACATGTATTGCTTTGGTCCAAATGTTTTGGATTTTGTATGTTTTTAAGTATAAACTACTTTCAAATTGAAGTAGTGGGTTGATAATTTGGATTTGATGCCACTTTCAGCAATACCCTGGCGGTACTGTATTGGGGGACACCAGACATGGGCTTCACACACTGTACCCATATGGTTATGTGAATCTTGGTCTTTGGTATAATGAGCAAATTCTTCAAACACCACTGACTGACTGACTGAGTTTGGTTTTACGCCGCTTTAAGCAATATTCCAGCAACATCATGGCGGGGCACACCAGAAATGGGCTTCACACATTGTACCCAAGTGGGGATTCGAACCCGGGTCTTCGGCGTGACGAGACAACGCTTTAACCACTAGGCTACCCCACCGCCTCTTTAAACACCAGGCTACCCAAGTGAATTAAAAGAAGGGCAATGGGGTAGGCTAGTGGTCAAAAAACATTACCTCTACATGGCTAGGTTTGATTCCCAACATGGGTTCAGTGTATAGGGCATATTTTGGTGTTCTGCACTCTGACAGTGATGGAATATTTCAAAAGTGGCTTAAAACCATTATGACTTGTACTTTGAAAATATCTTTAACAAATGTCAATAAAAACATTGTTGTGTTTATTTCAGTTTGTGTGTGAATTCCATGGACCCGTACTGTGGCTGGGATGCAGTTAACAACACCTGCTCACGTGCCCCTAACGGAAACCCTCACGAGGTCATGTGGGACCAACACATTGTCTCCTGTCCCATTGTCCAGTACCCAGGTATGAATAAATAGTCATACTTGAAGAACAATCACTTTCCAATTACTTGCCATGATTTAACTGTGTTCATGCTGATTATATCATTTTACATTAATCCCTGATTTAATGACGCATGAATTCAGACAAAAATATTTTAAAATTTGTATGAGATACATACAAATATAATCATCATGCTTTGCTAGTAACGTTGATGATGAATCACCTTATCCTCAGTAAAAAGCACCTGACCAATGAGATATCTAGAAAGATATTGCGAAAAATTGAATCCTTTTCTGTAACGCCACTAAGAAGAAACCATCCACTCAGATACCTTTAAGGGGTATTGATTAATGTTTATCACCATGTCCCAATTAAGTGCTGACCAATCACAAACCAAAATCTTGTGGACAATATTGTTGTTTACATATTGCCCTCTGTTCCCTCAGTAAACAGCATCTGCCCAATCAGAATTAGAAGTCATGGACAGTATTGTTAATATTGCCCTCTGTTCCCTCAGTAAACAGCATCTGCCCAATCAGAATTAGAAGTCATGGACAGTATTGTTAATATTGCCCTCTGTTCCCTCAGTAAACAGCATCTGCCCAATCAGAATTAGAAGTCATGGACAGTATTGTTAATATTGCCCTGCCCTCCTCAGTAAACAGCATCTGCCCAATCAGAATTAGAAGTCATGGACAGTATTGTTAATATTGCCCTCTGTTCCCTCAGTAAACAGCATCTGCCCAATCAGAATTAGAAGTCATGGACAGTATTGTTAATATTGCCCTCTGTTCCCTCAGTAAACAGCATCTGCCCAATCAGAATTAGAAGTCATGGACAGTATTGTTAATATTGCCCTCTGTGTCCTCAGTAAACAGCATCTGCCCAATCAGAATTAGAAGTCATGGACAGTATTGTTAATATTGCCCTCTGTTCCCTCAGTAAACAGCATCTGCCCAATCAGAATTAGAAGTCATGGACAGTATTGTAAATATTGCCCTCTGTTCCCTCAGTAAACAGCATCTGACCTATCAGACTTAGAAGTCATGGACAGTATTGTTAATATTGCCCTCTGTTCCCTCAGTAAACAGCATCTGCCCAATCAGAATTAGAAGTCATGGACAGTATTGTTAATATTGCCCTCTGTTCCCTCAGTAAACAGCATCTGCCCAATCAGAATTAGAAGTCATGGACAGTATTGTTAATATTGCCCTCTGTGTCCCCAGTGAACGGCAACTGGTCTGACTGGTCAGACTGGAGTCCATGTGAGCAGGTTGGGGCTGACCAGGCCGGGGAGGACTGTCTGTGTCGCCATAGAAACTGTGATAACCCCAAACCCTACTATGGAGGACGGCCATGTTCAGGGGCTTCCATTGAAGTCACCAACTGCTCAGGTGAGATGTTCCATCTTATTCTACTTTCCTGATTGAATCCTGAAACTTTTGTATCTGTAAAGTGATATATTAACCTGAACAGTACCTTTCTGAATGAAATTGCTGGACTTACAAATTTGCAGATTTATTCATTGTTAATTGATACATAAATAATGATTACTTGTGTGGATTCCTTAGCTATTTTTAAGAGGCATCTACATGGGTCAGGTGGTCTGGCTTAGTTATTTGGTTGATTGCATGTCATGTTTTTGTGGGCTCTCTGCTGAGTGAAGTATTGACTGACTGACTGACTGACTGAGTTTGGTTTTACGCCGCTTTTAGCAATATTCCAGCAACATCACGGCGGGGGACACCAGAAATGGGCTTCACATTGTACCCATGTGGGGATTCAGAACCTGGGTCTTGGTGATGAGCCAACGCTGTTAACCACTAGGCTACACTATAAAACCAGCAAGTCAGTGAAGTATTGAACAAGCCAAAACACATAACAATGTATGCATAGGTATACATAGATATTCCGAACAGAATCCTTCAGGAAGCTGTCATCTTGACCAGTCCTGTGTGACCTCTAAGTCTCACTGTATTTTTATTTCCCGAATCAGTTCTCTGTCATACACTAAAGACAGAAAGATCACAGTGCTTGATTTAAGTCTTTTCAAGTTGTATCATCTCTGTGTTTTCAGTTCACGGGGCCTGGACCCCATGGACCCCGTGGTCCAGCTGCTCCAAGACGTGCGGCTACTCCATCAAGAAGCGAGAGAGATACTGCAGCAATCCTACCCCTCGACATGGTGGATTCGGCTGCGAGGGCCGCCATGTTGACAGCCAGCTGTGTGCCGGTCTACCAGCCTGTAAATGTACGTACTCTGTGTGTTGTGTAGTGGGTGATGGGTCCCTGTAAATTGCTGTAATGTTTGCCATAAACTTAAGATGAGTAATGTTTTTATTGTAAAAGGTTTGTGTAAATATCCGTAAATAATGCTCAACATAATTTTAACTTTACTGTTTTCGAAATCAGTCTGTGTTGTGCATTTTCAAAACACTAATTACAGTAATGAATAAAAAAAATTGTGCAAATTTAATTTGACTGCTTGTACAATTTACATGTGTTTTCTTTTATGAGACTACCCACAGTTATTGACATTTTAACTGAGCCGAAAATATACTGTCCCCTAACCAATGGCCCCATTTTGTACTGACTGCTGACTTGTGAATGTATACTTGACATGACGTGTTTGTTGGAAAGTGACGTCTGTATCTGCTGTTGTCAGTGCCCCCTATTGATGGGAAATGGTCGAAGTGGTCTGGTTGGAGTACATGCACGGCCAAATGTCAGGGCGGTATCCAGACCCGGCGGCGGACATGTGACCAGCCCAAGTTGAGTCGTGGCGGAATCCCGTGTATCGGGAACAAAGAAGAAATGAGGATGTGCAACACCCAGAACTGTGATAGTAAGTTGTCTGCTGTACAGTAGTGGTTGGGGAAATAGCATCAAACAGCAGAAGTCGCGATTACAAGTATCACAGAAACAGGAAAGGAAACAAAGATGTAACAAATCAGATGCTAATTCTTTGAAACAACCTTAAAGTGATAATCCAACTCTCAGTCGTGTTGCTGTCACTACATTTGGTAGCCTGCATAATGACCATAGGTCAATTAACACTGTAAGACAAACCTGTTGACATTACGGTCCATGATAAACAAGTTTCAATCCAAGGACTTGGTTTTTTTGGTTGTTGTTTAATGCCACACTCAGCAATATTCCAGCTATATGGTGGCGGTCTGTAAATAATCGAGTCTAGAACAGACAATCCAGTGATCAACAGCATGAGCATCGAAGCTATGCAATTGGGAACTGATGACATGTGTCAACCAAGTCAGCGAGCCTGACCATCCGATCCCGTTAGTCGCCTCTCATGACAAGCATGGGTTACGGAAGACCAATGCTAACACGGATCGAATCCAAGGAGAAAAACTCCATCCTTAGTTCAATACAATCAAAGTTGGGGTGGTGCCGCTCTTTAATGTTTTCCTCAAATCTTAAAATATCCCAGTCTTCTTTCTCAAAGGGGGCGGTGGAGTAGCCTAGTGGTTAAAGCGTTGGCTCGTCACGCCGAAGACCCGGGTTCGATTCCCCACATGGGTACAATATGTGAAACCCATTTCTGGTGTCCCCCGCCGTGATATTGCTGGAATATTGCTAACAGCAGTGTAAAACCATACTCACTCACTCACTCTTTCTCAAAGAAGACTGAGTCCAAATTCACTGTGTTATTGACTTCTAGACAGTTGAGATCTAAACACAGTTCATTCCATGTCAGTTGTCGGAGCAGCCTTGGCACAGAATTCAGCTTCCTTTTCTCATGAAAAAATAGACACAGTTTGTTGGAATTGTATTTTGCTGAATTTCCCTTGATTTGAGTAAATATTCAAAATTACATTAAAACTGATAATGCAAGATTGTTGATTGGAGCCATATTCATTTATAATCAAAGTAATATGTTGTTTTTTTTAAAGTTTGACAGCATGACAAAAACATGTTGTCATGTTCATCTGTGAAATGGCAAATATTATTTTCATCTTCAGAATTTAATAAAACTTTATCAATATATTTGCAGAAGTGGTCAAGTTGACGCCGTGGAGCCCCTGGGTGAAGACAAATGAAACGCGAGGAGGATATTTCCAGCAGAGATTTAGATTTACATGCCAGGCCGAAGTGCCGGATCGCAAGATGATTAAATCCAAGTACTCAAAAAGCCAGGCCCGTTTCTGTTTCAACAACGATCGAGGCTGCTATACTCCAGGTGAGCTGAAGAACACCATAACATCTGTAGATACGTTTTCCTCCGTAGATAGAGTGCTCAAAAAGTTCTGTAGAATTAGGAGAAAACTGTTCAAAAAGTACTGCAATTGTCGGACATTGGGTGTGTTCCTGGTGTGTCAGAAGTGCGGCTACGGATGACTAGAGGGGTCCGCTGACGAGATAATGCTCATTCTGCTGTCACTAAGAAGATACCGAAGGAGGCCGCCATACTAACACCACAATTCAACTTTGATTGGCTACAAGATTCATCACGGAGATTCATGGCTTGATTTTCTTAGATTTTGATTTACCGTTATTTTTATTTTGCTGGACGTTAACATCAGAATGGAATGGAACCCATTTGGGGATCACTGCAAGCTTCGGGGAACACCACTACTATCAAGGGAAATGTGTCGCCAAATGCTCAAATCTGAAGAATTCCGAAAAACAGTTTAATCATGTCATGTGATCAACAGATACACCATTGTCCAAATGTCATCAGTGCTATGTTCCTTCCAACTGATAATGACAAAGGGACATATTGTTAAGCAAAGAAAATTATTCAGCATTTCACTTGTTACTGCATGTTTTTCACAATGCACAATAACTCACAATTTTCATGACATAGTGTCAATGTACAAAGTATGTATAAAGTGAAAAAATCCCTTTTAATATATTCCATCTATATTAGTACCAGCATAATCGTTAGAATTAAAGAATACAGAAATACAAGAAATCCTCGGGAGAGTGGAATATTATCACGCAAACTGTCCAGCAGACAATTCAAAAATATGTAAAAGTTGTACAAAATGTAGAAATAGTAGAAAAGATATAGACCAATCATAAGTACTCAAGAAAATAGTGTCAGTAAAACAACAACGGCGGATATGACAGCAAGTAGTATAAGTCTCGATCAGCGATATTTTTCAGTCATAACTTAGGCATCATGGGATATCAACCCCTTTGTATCAATTATGTGATCAAACTCAGACAAGGTGAAAACACAATGTTTGTATGTGTGAAGTGTATAGGAAGTTAACCGTACTGAACGAAAAAAATAAGTAAATAAATATTTCGGGGATATTTTTATGAAATTGTGTGCTTAGTCTGCACATCAAGAAATATCCTCCGGAATATTCATGTTCGCTAACTTTTTTTGTACAGTATATTATAGTTTTATATCAGTGAACAAGATTATTAAAATTGCAGATAAGTGAAATGAGTTTTTTATAAGAAAGATAAATTATGTATCAAATTCAAATCATATATTTGTGAAAATAGGCTAATTTATACTGTTGGTTTTATTTAATCAAAGAACTCAAAATAGGGTTGATGAAATGGTGTCAAGTTGTGACTGCATCGGAACTATGTGCAATATTCAAATTGCATTTGTGTTTGTCTCGATATTGCCATGCCGCATGCCGAACTAGCGACTTTGTGTGAGGGCATGTAAACATTTGAGTGCATGTCGACATATGCCACGCTTTCCAGGAATTAAGCTCACAGATGATCACAGAATCACAGACTTGTGTGTTGCATGTGTAGAGCTGCATAGTTCATACTCAGTGACGATTGGTTGGAGTAGAAAGTCACGTGGTTCATTCATTGTGTTTGTGACGTTGTGAGGACGTGTGTGACTACTTCACCGTGCAATCGTAAAGCACCAGTTATGTTCTTGTATCATTTCATGTGTTATTTGTGCACCATCACCGACATTTTGTTTGTTTGTGATTTTCTTTCTTGATATTTTACAAAATAAGCTACGGAATCTACAGCTGTAAAATGTGTTCAGACATGTTGAAAGAACAAGACCTGAGTTGCAGAGATGGACTCTGAAAGTTGTAGATTTTACATGACAGTATTGAAGTGTGTGAACTCCAGTTAATGTCACGCCTATATACCACTATACAGCCCAGTGATTCTGATCAAACTTGGTATGGAACCAAAATATTCCATTGGAGTTCAGTGTGGATACAACGTTTTCTTCCTTGCATGGAACTGAATACTTTTCAAGAGGAATGTGTAGATGATTATTCCTGTCGCCATGGCAACATTCAGCATACTGGGAATTTCATTGTAAATATCTTCTTACGTAACGGAAGAAATTCAGCGAGTATGTATTTATTATTGAAGAACTATGAAACCTACCAACATGTAAATATCACAAGATTCCTCTGGAGTGTAAGGAATGTTCCTATTCTCATGATGTAAATGGTCGATATTTATTGTAAACATGATAATTGAAATGTCGCTATGGTAGTTTCATGTGCTGTCACCATGGTAACATGGCACCACGGTGCTCTGTCTGTATACTGGCATCTGGATCAGCTGATCGTCATCTGTTATAACACAGTTGTAAATAATGTAGCTGCTTTTTGTATAAATGACATCATTTGTGTACATTTACATAAATCTGACGTCACCACGTTGAAAGGAGAGAGCAGCCAGGGACAAAGTTTCAGTATTTTGTAGACTTGTAACCGAGAAGGTACGATACTGATTTTGGACATTTCCGAAACCTCTTCTTTTACATGAATATTTGTATGACACTGAAGGCCATCAATCAGGCTTGTGTGTATGATATTATAGTAGATTATGTAGAGAATTCTTACCAAGGACACAACAAATTGATTACTTGTTCTTCACCATTTATGGCATTAATTCTTCTATCATTTTAATTCCTGCTTGTGTACCGTCACAGACATTTGTTTGTGACTTTAACCTTTTCTCTTGATGTTTTACACTTGTAAAATGGGTTCAGGGATGTTGAAAGGACATAATCTGCATTGTCGATAAAGATTCTTAGAATTAATTTACAGAATCATGTGCTAATGATGATATAGCCATGGTTGCTCCCTAGTACAAACTCTTCGATAAGATCCTCAATCAAACAAGGTCTGAACTAAGAATCTTTGCATGTATTACTTGAAAAGAACAGGACTCTTGAGTCTTAAAATTTGAGGTTCTTGAGAAGCATATAGAAGTTGGTGTTTAAGTATAAGACAAAATATTATGGATGTCAACTTCTTCTTTATTTTATACACGTTTCTGGGATTTTCCTTGCCCCTTCGTCAGGTGAATGCTAACTAACAGATATACAGGATATATATACCAGTAATGTACGCATGAAGCCAGAATGAATTTGAATTTGAAGAAGTATAATATCTTATGTCAAATGACCATATCAACAGTCACATTTTGATCATCTAACTACTGATCTGAATGGTTTTGCTACTCCCTCATCACTCTGTAGTCTGCCATGTACCATCACTTGGATCTTTGAAAGTTTTGAGGACCAACCTATTTCTTTCAGACACAAGCGTTAGGGGAACAAACAATTAATTTGTTGTGGCCTTGACATCGATAACCAACAATTGTCAAAATCTATTTTTCAAGGAAGAGAGGGAGACTTATCGAAGCATGTTTCCGAAAGTATGTACCACGATAATGGTAGAAAGGAATATGGTGATTTTTGTCAGAAACTATTTTCAGATCTTCTTTAGGCCAGTAACTGATGAAAAAATGCAATATTTTCATACTTTGTCTTTAGTCATATATTACAAGTATACACCATTTCAGAATGCTCAAACATTTGTGCACTTTTTTAAAGATTTCCTCCTCAAGTCTTCCATGTATTTCTACAAAGCAAATTACAGTTTGAAGTAATGTGAATGTTTCATCCTACTTTGTTTCATGTATACTACTCAAAAGAAGTGGAGGACACCCTTGTTTTCTTATGACAAGAGTTAATCTGTCATGGCATTGCAACCATACCTGCCAATTCTGGGTGTTCCTTAACTTGTGTTGAGCAGTATACCTCCATGTTCATCTGAGCCAATCAAAAGCATTAACTGCCGTTTTCAAGTAGTAGCATATTTAAATATCATAATTTGTCTTTTGAATAATTTTGAAATGTTATTATGGTTATGTTCATGTGAAATCATGTATCAATTTTTGTTTATAAACAAACACTAAATCACTGCTTTTTTATTTATTTTCATTAACTTTTTTTTTTAAATTATATTTGTTTTAAAAAATCTTGAAAAGGGCTTGATCAATAATCTCTAAACACCAAATATTTCATTGTGATAATCTTTCAAAACTTAGGATTATTATCATGTAATAAAACTGATTTGACTTGACCAATACATATCAAATCAATATTTCAAAAAAATTAAAATTGAAAAAATATGTAAATATTGATGTGTAAATTATATCATAAAATGTCAGAACCCATATTTTTTTGTTTACGAATAATTAAGCTTTTTTCGTATTCTTACCTTTCCAGTGTTTTATTGTTGTGTTTATTTTTGTAAAGTTGTGTTTTTGTTATGTTTTTATGTGTACAAATCGTTAAAAGGTAAAAGAAACAATGAAGATTCTAACTTGAAAAACTGGTTACAGTACTGATACTTTGAGAAATAATTACAGTTTATTTTAATGTTTCTCTCTATTGAATCAAGACCGATAGCTTGTATATACTTCTGGTTATTACAGGATTTGACCGTTATTCAAACTGTACACATTTACAGATTTATTTTACATTTATCTTTGAATACCTCAACTTGATAGTATTTCAACTTGTCAAGGGTAAGAAAGGTGATGCTGTGTCATAATAATTGTATGCATAATAGATCCATGTCTTTTCAAGTGTAATGTTTGCAAACTTTGCCCTATGGATGTATAGGATAAATATTGTAAGATGTTACAAACCACACCTACTTCAGTGTACGAAATTGTCTTCATACGTCGTTTTATGGAGTTTATGTTGTTAAACAACAAGTGAAAATATGCAACAAGCTCAAAATCTGTGAATGATATAGGGCACAAAACAAAGTCATATTTTCATATTTTGAATTAAAATGCAACACTATTCATTAACAAATTTATCATATATTATCTATATCCCAAGCTGCAATACCTCTACACCTCTCAGTGTACCTTCAATTTAATGCTACACAAATTATTCTATGAGAAAATATTTCATAATACGATTATATTTTTTTTTTTATCATATTTGACATATTTGACACAATTCCTCTCGATCTGCACATTTTCATCAATGAATATACTATTTCTCAGTTATAGCAAACAGTCCTCATCTCTTATAGAAAACATTTATTTATTGTCTTTATTTATTGTCAATTATGTTTTTTTTGTCACATAATAGTCCCTGTTTGTAAATAACTATTATTGTTACGCCTACAATAAACATTTTCTGAAAATACTTTGTGTTGTTTTTATTACTGCATGGATCGTGTGATGTCCTGGCTTGTAGATAGTCAATGTGTCTTCAGGAAAATATCATATTGTGAACTATCAACCAAAGACTGATATGCCAACCAAACAGGAACTCCACAGTATTAATACAATCTACGATATACCGAATGGGAAGTCTGGACCCTGTCAGCCATTACTATGAGGATAGAACCCAGTATGAACACACAGGGTTAGTTTCATATCAATGTTAACCTACACATTCACTCTTAAGACGAATGAAATATCCAGGCACTGTATTTAAACCATTATATGTTATTGAGAACAGAACACTGTGCTGACAGAAACACAGAACATCCCGCCATAGCCAGGCAGAACCAGGATCCAAGATATAGATTGGTGATGATGATAATTTGGAGATTTTTACAACATTGATTCATAGTTCACACACATAAAAATTAGCAACAGAACCAGGCTATTTATAGGGGACATCCTTTAAAGTATCAGGGGCGGTGGGGTAGCCTAATGGCTAAAAGTGCGGATGGCTCGTCAAGCAGAAGACTTGGGTTCGATTCCCCATATGGGCATAATGTGTGAAGCCCGTTTATGTTTATGGTATGGTGTATCCCCTACCGTCATAATGCTGGAATATTGCTAAAAGCGGCGTAAAACCATCCTCTCTCACTCACTCACTCACTATGAAGTATCAGGATGGTTAACTGGGAGGGTGGGAGGGAGAGAGGTAGGCCACTAGACAATATATATATATACATATATATATATAGAACACAGTATTTCCATTTTGAGAGGAGGTTCAGTAATGGGGTATTCACCAGTTTAAGAATTACACGGAACTATAGAAAAATCACCTTGGTTACCATATCGTAATTAAGAGACATTAAACATTAAAGACACAGACTTTTATTTCCAAATATTCCTATCAAAGAAACGTTATATAATATCAGCAACATGAATACTATATATGTTATTAACAGAGACTAACAGCCTTTGTTTTCTGTCTCTATTGAATGTTCACTATTGACATCAATGTATAACATATATGTAGATTAGTTGACTATGTATTTATAATGTGTGGCACATTATTTACAAATTGTTCTAAATTTGTTTACAAATTCACCATAATGGACTATTTTAGTATATCTCAAAACATGAAAAGGACTTTGAAAACCTCAACTGTTGCATTGAGCTCTAAAATCTCAAAGTTTCAAGTTAAACTTTGATTCATGAATTCAAGATGTTTTGAGAAGTTTTTCAGGAAGTGTTAAGGATATGCATGGACCTGTAAAGTCGTATGTAACACAGGTAAGACCAACAAATAGACCGTTTTGTTTCAATAACATATTAACTCTATTTATCTAACTGACACAGGAAAACTCACCAACACCATGATGAGAGACGGTATATATCAACCACTTAATGACCAAACATTATTTCTGGTCATTAAAACACTGTTTAAGGATGTGACACTTTGATGATTTGCCTTTGGGAACGTTGAAATTTGTTATTTAGGATCAAAATTTATAAGTTTAGTGACATTCTGATACTATTTTCCTAAAGGTTTTATAAACAGCCTGAAAAATTTTCAGAAAGAAACAAAATTCTGTGTACAAGAAGGTATGAAATACTTAAAAATTACAACTTTATTGTAAGGATCTTTTAGGTCTTCTTCTTGCCCATTCATCAGGTGAAAGTTGATTTTATCAGATGGTAACACTGCACATGTATTTAAAGTCTGCAACAGAAACACACCACCCCTAAACTTAAGTAAAATCTCTAATTTAATTTCACCCATTTGTCTTCTGATATCAATCCATCAATAAGTGTTGAAATATTTGATTTTAAAAGTTACAAGATTGAGATTCTGTTTATCATCCCAGATCCTTTTTCCAACCTCAGTTTTGTAAACATTAATTGACCAGTTTCTTGAAAGTATAAAGTACGTCCAACAAACTTCAATGGCAAAGAAATTTGTAATGCTGGGATGGCATGGTAATAAATGACATCATAATAGCCTCAAACATTCTGATGAATGTCATTGTAGTAATAGGTCCCAAGCAATATCTCTAGCCTCCAAGCAATATCTCTTGTGGAAGACATTATTGGATGATATAGGTGTTTATCCCACATCAAACTGTTCAACAGCATCTGTACCATTATGTATGTGCACATTCTGCATCATGTGTGTGGTGAGTTTTCCTGCAGTTCCTTTTCTAATATCAGGGCCTGTGCATGCTTCCTTGGGTCCATTGATCCCATCAGGGAAAATGGTTACAATCTATTTTACAGAGAGTATGGATGGCCAGTTGTCTTAGGCACTTTGGCTTTCCATCAGAAGTTATGTCCCTTGAACATGCAAGGATTCAGTTCTCTTAGTGTCAAATGTCAGATTTTGCCCTAGCTCTGTTTCTAGGTTTGTCAGCCCTGTTTGTACCATGGCAACAGTTTCCGACATTCAGCCTCCCACATCAAGCTGACATAACCCAACCCACTCACTACAGTTTGATTGCAAAAAACAAACAAAACAAACTAAAACATTTAGGTGTTAATAGATACTTCAGATTTTTCAGGAAATATATTTCTTCTCTGAGGCAAATTAAAGTATGTAATCTGACTATTACAAAGATCTGACAAGTCTATTCGAATCTTAATTGTATGATCACTAGATATATGATGCCCCAAGTTATGTTTCTCAGATGCAGGATCAGTTTCAATTATGGATTACTATAACAAAAGACCTGACACGGTGCTTACATATAAACTTTTGTTTCTACTAATTGTTGCATCGTTCCTGAATATAATGTATTGACATTGGAATGTTTATGCATGATATTGTTTATTAACAAAATTAATTACAAAGTTACAAATTTTCTTGTTCCAGCGCAACACCAACCTCGATTATCTGGGCATTGTATCTCCATTGCAATGATAAATGACCTGGACTTATTTACCACCATAGCTTCTTTCGGTGTCAGATTTGCATGATGCTATAAATAGACATCCAATCAAAATTTCAAGGGGAGACAGCTCTTGTGTTAAGATGGATAGGTGAAACTATGACATCACTTCCAACTTGAAGCTTTGTTGGTGAATGTGTCCAGGTTATGTATCTTATGGAATTGAGATAAAATACCCTTGATGATTGAGGATGGCTTGCCACTTAGTAAAACACTTCAGAATGAAGTTGCAGATATATATGTACACAGCTCAAGTGTACACTCTCCCTTGCCAACCTAACTGCTTCAGATCGTGCCCCTCCCGTCTCCCAGCTTATAATGTTTAATATTGACCACTAATTATTGTTGTGACTAGTACTGAACTGTTTGTTTCTGGGGAAGGTATACATAATATATAGCGTTACCATCAAACATATATTACATCACAATTCAAGCACTTTTATATAGAAATAAAACAACTTTTTAATTGTTTGTGTAATAAAGATCTTTTCTTAATATCAAAAAATGTTGTCAGGTTAAATCAAGCACTTTTTATATAGAAATAAAACAATGATTTATCATTAATAATATTTCAAACTGACATGTTTAGGTGTATGTAAAAGGATGCAATTTTACAAAACTGATGCATCAATTGATTTTGTTGGTATGTATTTTAATATACGGAACAAAATGGTTTTGGGTCTTGAATATTTTGGGGGATACATTTTATTAGATAATGTGCTCAGTCTTAAGTACAAAAATGCATCTCCCAAAATATATTGATGACCCCTAATAATTTTTGACAGTATATATTGTGAATTCTTGACAATATTTCATTGATAACTGTATCAGTTTTGAACAAAATTACCCAAAAGGTTCACTCTACAAGTTGGTTTTGAAAGATGTATGTACAAATATGTCTATGAAACATAAATAATCACTTCAGATTTGATGAAGCAGTTGATGAAGTTTTAGGTTTCAGGAACAGAATATAGTGAAATAAAAGATCTGATTAAAGTAAAAAGTGTAGCAATATCTCCTCCTAGTGTGATCCTCATCAGTGATAAATATTTCTGTCATGATGAAATCACATTGTTTTGTTCTGCGCTGGTTTCAGACTCGCCACTCTTGGTACATCAGGATGGTGGGTGGTCCGAGTGGACGGAGTGGTCACCATGTGACCAGGACTGTGAGGGAGGTATGCAGTGGCGACGTAGGTCATGTGACAGCCCTCCACCAATCGGGCGAGGGAAGGACTGTGATGGGCACGGGAAGGAGGGAAGACAATGCAACACGCATTCTTGTTATGGTGAGGATGTTGACGTAGTTGGAGCAGGGCATGGCGTCATCCCACAAATGGCATCATTATCTAAAGTACCATGACATGAGACTTAACACCCTGTCCTTCAGTTAAAAAATAGTAGGTTACAATAAGATTCATGTAAAAAGATGTGTTACAATTCAAATGTACAACCTCCAAGCAGGTGTTACTATTCAACTGTAAAACCACCAAGCAGGTGTTACAATTCAAATGTACAACCTCCAAGCAGGTGTTACTATTCAACTGTAAAACCACCAAGCAGGTGTTACAATTCAAATGTACAACCTCAAAGCAGGTGTTACTATTCAAATGTACAACCTCCAAGCAGATTTTACACAAACAAGATTCATGTGTAAAATATACAGTTTAAATGTCAACCTTGAAGCAATCAGGTTAAACCAGCTTCTGCTTACCAGGCAAAACACTGTATCCACTAGGCCACAGAGGCAAAGTGGGCTTTGCACTTCAGGCCTTAACTCATGCCAATATCTATCTGAAATACTGTGACCGCCTCTGTAGTGTAGTGGTTAGAGTGTCCGCCCGGAGAGCGGAAGGTTGCTGGTTCGATCCCTGACTGCGTCATACCAAAAGACGTTAAAATATGGTACTTGTTGGTCCCTGCCTGGCGCTCGGCATTAATGGGTACAACAAGGACTGGTCGGCTCGGAGTCAGTATAATGTGTCTGAGTGGGGTATTCATGCTTCACTGCGGCATGGTATCTCAGTGGGCTAGCACTATAAAACCAGCTTAAGTCTGGGCTAGTACAAGCAGCCGCACATACACATACACATGCATGCAGGTCGTCATATGAGCGAAATAATCTCAAGCACGACGTAAAACCCAATTTCACCTCACCTCACCTGAAATACTGTGACATTTAACTCAACCCACTCACTCATGCAATGTGTGATTGTTCACCAGGTGAGTGGTCCTGCTGGTCAAGCTTCGGCCCGTGTTCAGTGACCTGTGGTACTGGGATCAAGGCCCGCAGTAGGACCTGCTTGACCCCAGGCCTGGACAGGAAGACCCCGCTCGGATGTGTTGGCAGTACCAGGGATATGCAGACCTGTGAGATGGAGCCTTGTGAAGGTGAGGGAACTCTGGGTAATAACTGCAGACGTGTGAGATGGAGACGTGTGAAGGTGAGGGATCTCTGGGTAATAACTGCAGACCTGTGAGATGGAGACGTGTGAAGGTGAGGGATCTCTGGGTAATAACTGCAGACCTGTGAGATGGAGCCTTGTGAAGGTGAGGGAACTCTGGGTAATAACTGGAGACCTGTGAGATGGAGCCTTGTGAAGGTGAGGGATCTCTGGGTAATAACTGCTGACCTGTGAGATGGAGCCTTGTGAAGGTGAGGGATCTCTGGGTAATAACTGCAGACCTGTGAGATAGAGCCTTGTGAAGGTGAGGGAACTCTGGGTAATAACTGGAGACCTGTGAGATGGAGCCTTGTGAAGGTGAGGGGATCTCTTGTAATAACTGCTGACCTGTGAGATGGAGCCTTGTGAAGGTGAGGGATCTCTGGGTCATAACTGGAGACCTGTGAGATAGAGCCTTGTGAAGGTGAGGGAACTCTGGGTAATAACTGGAGACCTGTGAGATGGAGCCTTGTGAAGGTGAGGGATCTCTGTGTAATAACTGGAGACCTGTGAGATGGAGCCTTGTGAAGGTGAGGGAACTCTGGGTAATAACTGGAGACCTGTGAGATGGAGCCTTGTGAAGGTGAGGGAACTCTGGGTGGAGACCTTACTGGAGCCTTGTGAACATGATCTCTGGGTAATTACTGGAGCCATGTGAGGGAACTCTGGGTACTTACTGGACACATGTTCGAGCGAGGGTATTTGATATGGATGATAATGAGATGGGACTGTGTGACAGTGTGGCGACTCTGGGTAATTATTGGAGATGTGTAATGGTGCGGTCCCAGTGCAGACCTTACGCTACTTGACCTTCTCAACCTGAAGGTCAAGTTGGGGGTTCGAGCTGGTCGAGTTTCAGAACGAGTTAGGTCGAGTCAGATCGAATCAGGTCTACCAAGTTTTTGATAAAATTTTGACAATGTCAAAAAATTTCCCCCAACTTCCTCTTCGACCTTTGGTCCGAGATTGGGTTGAGAATAGGTCGAGGTAGGTCGAAAAAGGTCCAGCTTAGGTCGACATTAGGTTGAGTTGGTCGAGTTGAAGGTCGAGCTGGCCTGTCATGCCGATCTGTGTTCGTCTTAGAGCCGATCTGTATACGGCCTCGACTCGACCTTGAGTCAACCAACTGGAACTGGCCTCAACTTGGACTCAACCTGGAGTCGACCGACTCGACCTGAAATCAACCTTTCTCGACCTCAACTCAACCTAATCGAGTCCGTGCCGACCGCATAAATGGTCGCCATCTTCCCAATTGCTTAATAAAAGCCAAACGTCAGCCAGTGGTAGCACATCATCTCTACACCAACCTGCTGCCACCCAGAGATCCACCCTGAGCACACCACCCTCTTCAACACGCCGCAAAGCAGCGGAACAGGCTGGTATCTTCCCCAGCTTTGACTTCAGTGCTGCAGCAGGTATATCTCTGAACCTGCCAAGATTTAAAAGCGTCTCTTGGACCCTACACACACCTCAGAGGATCAGTCACATGTTCAGGACTCTCAGCAAGGACAGTGAAACTGAGAAGTAGAACTTGATACTCATATATTGTCATGAGCACTTTATACTGATGTGAAATGTTACCTTCAGATTATTTAAATGAGTTTCCAATAAAAGATTTAAAAGCTTTTTTTCATCTGATATTTTTTTGAATTTTCCATCCATCGCTAAGTTTAAAAGTAAATACATCTTGTACAATTGTAATAGAGTTTGTTTTGTTTACCATGTATATAGTTTTCATTTTTTTTTTCCCCCGGATTTACCAATTGTAAATAGTGTAAATAAAAAACAAACAAGAGTTCCTTTGTAAATGAAGTAGTCCTAAATAATAGAGTACACTTTAAAGTCATTTGGATATCATCTCCTCTTGCCAATGAACAGCTCCTGGGCCCATAAAATGGTTTCTTTGGTTGGCGCCATCTAGAGGGGTAACGTTCCTCGCACCCCGGTTATCCCCATCAAGCAGCTGTGTGCAGGAGCGCCACTCGCCTGGGGTGAGTGAACAGTCCTCATTCTCCTGGTCTTTGAGGTTCATCTGACTGTTCCGGTTCCTCGTTCTCAGCATGTTGTGTAAAGTGACGCAGGCCAGGGTTATCTGTTCAGCTCTGTCTGGAGTGCTATTTAGGGAGCCGAGGAGGATCTAGAACCTCATAGCCACAATCCCGAAGGTATTCTCGACCACTCATCTGGCCCGAGACAGTCTGCAAAAGTCACAAATTAAACATTTTTAAGTCAAATGCATTAAAAATTCAAAACCTTTGATATTATATTGTATACACTGAAAGATACTAAGTTATAATTTGATTTAGGTATTTATGGAAAAGAATAATTACCTGCAGTTGAAGATCTTCTGATGGGGTCTATCTGACGCATGGAAAAGGACTTCATTCAGGGGCGGAGTGGAAAGGCATCGTCGCCGATGAAGTATGGCACACCATATGGGGAATACAAGATTATTGCCCTTCATCCGATCTTGTGAATGGTTGAAGACCATCAGCGTCTGATGCTGATCCCTTGGCCCCGACGTTCACCCACGGGAACTTGTAGTCGGCATCCGCGAGTGCCAGCAAGACAATAGAGAAGAAGTTCTTTTAGTAGTAGAAGAGGGACCCGCTTTTGGGAGGCTTCTTGATGCGTATGTGCTTACCTTACCGTCAAACGCACCGGTGCAATATGGAATTTGCCACCTATCCTTGAAAGCACGGGCTACAGTATTCCATCTGCTCTGATCCCACTCATCTGACCGATACTCAGCTTTGAAGGCGTCAAGGATGGGATTGGTTTGCTTACGACTGAGGCTTTGGCTTTGGAGGAGAGTTGGCATTATCCAGGTCTTCCACTAGTTCAAGCAGGTGCCAGGCTATCTGCACCCAAATGGTAAGCAGTTTTCGCTTCTCGGGGCTCACCAGGTTTACGTCAAGGTTCCTGATGGTGATGTTACTACTTTGCAGACCTCTAATTGAATGGGTACCTGGTGAACATGCACCCTGTAACATATACAATTTGGAAACCAAGGATCTACTCGGCAGAAAAATGGAATTTCCGTCAAGAACCAGTCTCTCCAGTTGAACACAGGTCGCGTAGAGGTCGGGCCGGTCGACTTAGTACGAATTAATTCGAAATTAGGTTGATATACAGGTCTAGCTGGTCAAGTATAGGTCTTCTCAACTTGGCCGACCTGAGTCGAGATAGGTCGACTGAAGTCGAACTAAGGTCGTAAAGGTCCTTACGAGGTCGTTATGAGGTCGTTGTGAGGTCGAGATATCCCCCAGGTCGAGACAGGTCGAGTAGTTTGCGAGGTTGAGTCGGTCGAGCTCCTGAGGTCGCCACTGGGACCACACCATTAGACTGAACCATATGAAAATGAGCATGATTGTAACTTGTGGCTGTGTGGGAGATGTTGAAAAAGAATGTTTCAATTGGAACTGTGTGTAGGTAGTGAGGGATTTGGGTTTGAGCCAATCGTGATGTGAAGCTACCACCTACAATCTAACTCACCCAGTATATCCTTGCGTCATGGCCTGAATGATTTTGCAGATACACAACCCATGGTAGGAGACTGGTCAGCCTGGACTGAGTGTTCTCCCAACAGCGTCCAGTACCGGCACCGCATCTGTGATCAGGACCAGCTGGGTCTAGACTGCAGCCAAGATGTCATACAGCTCCAGCACTGTACATACAAGATACATGGTTAGTGGTCAGCATATATCATGATGAGATGATTACCAAACTGAATGGCACTGGGGTAGCCTAGTGGCTAAAGCGGTCACTCGTTACACCAAAAACCCAGGTTCAATCCCCCACATGGGTACAATGTGTGAAGCCAACTTATGGTGTCCTCTGCAGTGGTATTCCTGAAACATTGCTTAAAACAACTTAAAACTATACTCACTCACTCACTCATCCTGAAATGAAGAGACTAAACCAGAAATCAGTTCACACAGAGCTAATTGTGAAAAAAATACACGACCATAGAATATCAGTGGATTTACATTCAAATAGGCAATACAATAGGTCAAATATGTGGTAAGTCTTCAGTCCAGTATAGGGGCGGTGGGGTAGCCTAGTGGTTAAAGCGTTTGCTTGTCACGCCGAAAACCTGGGTTCGAATCCCCACATGGGTACAATGTGTGAAGCCCATTTCTGGTGTCCCTGCCGTGATATTGCTGGAATATTGCTAAAAGCGGCTTACTCACTCACTCACTCACTCACTCACAGTCCAGTATAGTGTGGGAAGCCTGCAAGACTTCAGTGTTTCTAAATAGGTTTTCAAACCTGACTTTCCAAATAGATTATTTAACCAGGCACAAAAAGGCCTTGAATTGCTATCTTGTCCCTGTTACATACACTTTGTCTCTGAACATACATAATTTTTATAATAGAAAAAATTCCATCTAAATTATAATGGAACCACATTGAGACGGGAGATTCAGAGGAAATCTGGACTTGGTTCTAATGTGGTTCAGTGACTGTGAGACAGACTAACAGCTACCCTTCTAGGAAGCATAACGTCTTAAACAATCAAGCCTGTTCTGGTCATGTAACAAGGGCAGATAACTCTAATCATCTAAACTTAGCAAAAGAACCTTGTATAAATCTCCACTCCACCTGTTTACTTCAGTTCAAATCCTGCCATAAAAGCAATTGATAATTTTTACTATTTCAATCATTTGCTGCCACAGACAATTAATGCAAGTATATTAGAGTAAACTACTTACATATATAACAACATTGATTATAGGAAACATACATTGTATATATTCTATTGGAATCCAGAAACTGTACTTATATTTTGTACCTTAAAGACAGTATTCCCCATATGAGAAGATCAATTTTAATTTTTAAAGATGCCTCCTGATTAAATTTATAACATTTTTTTATGTTCCAGTGATGGAGGCAAGTGTCGGTGCTAGTGTTGCCGCCAACAAAAACTACTCTCGACGAGTGGGTGGGGTATACCTTGTTATTGTTGCAATCATTGCATTTGTCATCGGCGGCCTGGCATCAGTGGGACTCTTCATGTACATCCAGAGGTACCGGGACCAGAAACATAAGGATGAGGCGGAAGTATGCTGGGTCTCCAAGAACGAGATAAACATGAAACCAGTAAACACTGCAGAATCCTCACAAATTAGTCTGGATTTCCAGAACTTGGCGCCATTGATGTCACCTAATAATCGGTTAAGTCTGAATACTTTTGGGTCCTTGAAAAAGGAGAAGATGACTGTAAATGAGGCAAGCACACTGAAACGGAATTCCATGTGGACCAACTTGTCTGTGAATGAATTATAGACATATATATATATGTGATGTCAGCAAGTAGACCATGTGTATTCCTGAAATGTGATTGGTGCTGATGGTTCGGTATACACTATGTTCCTCTATTGTACATTGGACCTTTCGTGTAGAATGAGGCGAAGTGAGCATACCATTACACACACTGTAAACACAGATGTTATTGAATGAGGGGCGGTGGGGTAGCCTAGTGGTTAAAGCGTTCACTCGTCACGCCGAAGGCCCGGGTTCGATTCCCCACATGGGTACAATGTGTGAAGCCCATTTTCTGGTGTCCCCTACCGTGATGTTGCTGGAATATTGCTAAAAATTCTAATGTGGTTCAGTGACTGGAGAGACAGACCAACACTACCCTTCTAGGAAGCATAACGTCTTCAACAATGAAGCCTGTTCTGGTCTGCAGTGTAACAAGGGCAGATAACTCTAATCATCTTAAACTTAGCAAAGAACCTTGTATAAATCTCCACTCCACCTGTTTGCTTTAGTTCAAATCCTGCCATAAAGCAATTGATAATTTTTACTATTTCAATCATTTGCTGCCACAGACAATTAATGCAAGTATATTAGAGTAAACTACTTACATATATAACAACATTGATTATAGGAAACATACATTGTATATATTCTATTGGAATCAGAAACTGTACTTATATTTTTTGTACCTTAAAGACAGTATTCCCCATATGAGAAGATCAGTTTTAATTTTTAAAGATGCTTCCTGATTAAATTTATAACATTTTTATGTTCCAGTGATGGAGGCAAGTGTAGCCGATTCTTCACTAGTGTGCCGCTAACAAAAACTACTCGGCAGTGGGTGGGAGTATACCTTGTTATTGTTGAAATCATTGCATTTGTCATCAGCGGCCTCGCATCAGTGGGACTCTTCATGTACATCCAGAGGTACGGGACCAGAAACATAAGGATGAGGCGGATATGTGCTGGGTCTCCAAGAACGAGATAAACATGAAACCAGTAAACACTGCAGAATCCTCACAAATTAGTCTGGATTTCCAGAACTTTACGCCATTGATGTCACCTAATAATCGGTTAAGTCTGAATACTTTTGGGTCCTTGAAAAGGAAGATGACTGTAAATGAGAGGCAAGCACACTGAAACGACGAATTCCATGTGGACCAACTTGTCTGTGAATGAATTATAGACATATATATATATGTGATGTCAGCAAGTAGACCATGTGTATTCCTGAAATGTGATTGGTGCTGATGGTTCGGTATACACTATGTTCCTCTATTGTACATTGGACCTTTCGTGTAGAATGAGGCGAAGTGAGCATACCATTACACACACTGTAAACACAGATGTTATTGAATGAGGGGCGGTGGGGTAGCCTAGTGGTTAAAGCGTTCACTCGTCGCGTCACGACGAAGGCCCGGGTTCGATTCCCCACATGGGTACAATGTGTGAAGCCCATTTTCTGGTGTCCCCCGCCGTGATGTTGCTGGAATATTGCTAAAAGCAGCGTAAAACATAACTCAGTCAGTCAGTAATACAGAAGTTGTTCATCGTTGTCCTTCTTTGTGTAAAATTTGTAATCTGAGAGCTCATTGGGTTGTACACACTGCTTTCCTGTTGGCTTAAATCAGAACTTCATTTGTCGGTTTAAACTATAGACTATGTGCATATTGACCTAATGCATTCATGGGTGATGGAGGCAGATAGTGCATACAATCCTGTAAGTATTGACAATGGCGAATACCAAACAATAATATATGCTGACGGTTTAAGCAAACAGCTACAATCGTTTGTTCCTGTGACAGTGACTATTAGATGAAGCGTATGATCGGTGTTTTGTATTAAGAAGGATATTGTTTTTTATTCTTCTCACTAAATAAACTGTTTACTAATTTGTATGTTTACAGTGAAGGTGCACTCCTCACTCCAGTTGGGTACTAGTTGCTTATAGTTTCCAAAACTAATATTAATATATTTATTAATATCATTCACCACAGACATAAACATTTTATGTTATCTTAAATGTTTAGATTTGTAATCAAAGCAAATTAATATTGTTTGCATCTTTCAAAGTGGGTAGTTGGAAGGGGAAGTATTTTAACACATTGACAATGGGATGCTGAAATGTTATTGATTACCCATAGGGTTATAAATAATCTCAAAAAGTTCATAAAACTCGAATTTGCACTAGTGCACACATCCTTGGTAATCTCCAGGGTATACGTTCCGGAGATTTATCAGAACGTGTAACCTGGAGATTATCAAGTATGTAGTGCACATCACTTCACAAACACCAGTGTAATATATATGTCATCTGGATGGAAATGTTGACGTCATTCAAGTCTTACTGTGACATAAGGTCAGAATGATGTCACAATGAAAACAATGTTGTACCTCTGGCAATTGTGGTTTTCTGACAAGGTGGTTGTGATCAGTACTTTCTTCCAAAGGGGAGCTCAAAAGGGTTACTGATAGATATAATTGGTTATATACAATTATTACACTTACATGTGTCATTCAGATTTTACAAAACTTGCGTAATAATTATTCATTATTACGTTTGCCGATTGGGAAATACAAGAAGTAAATGTTATCAGCATGACACACAGTCAAATAATAATCTTGATGTATGATGCGAAATATTTATGCTTTAAATATTCACATGTAATATTTTGTTGTTATCAGATTACTTTGTTTTCTGATTTTCTTACAGGACTAATGTCCAAATGTGCAATAGTAACTCCAGCTAAATTATGAAATATAATTTATATGTTTAAAGCTTGCTTACCCCTATGAAGCAGATGAGTAATACAATGGGACTAGATTTTCAAAGTTCTCTTAGCGTTAAGATAGTCTGAGTTAATGTTAATGTATGGCACTTACAACCATCTTACCACTAGTGGTGTTCCGATTAATTGAAATAATCGAAGATTGGTTGCAGTGACCAAACGACTAAGCAATCGATCACATTTTCTCATAATCGAACATAAACGATTTTTGAACTACTTTTGTAGTCTTTGAAATACTTGACAATGGAACATATTGTTGAAGTTGTCAGGGCCTGAAAACGTGTTTAATTCTTAGAAAACTCACTTCACTAACTGAAAAGCCATGACTGAATATTTCTTGAAGACTGCAGGAAGTTTATGTTCATGATATATAAGTCATCACTTTAAAGTAGCAAGTTGCATCTTGTTATACTTATCTGCAATAACAACCTGGATAGGAAAATCTGAAAAATGACACTAACCAATTTTTTTCGATGATTGTTCGTTGGTAATGAAGCAATCATCAATTGTGAGATTTCAACCAATTCCCAACACTACTTACCACTAAGAGACCTTTGAAAATCTAGACCCAGAACAATACCTGGGCCTAGATTTTCGAAGCTCTCTTAGCACTAAGATAGTCGTAAGTGCCATACATCAATATAAATTTAGGACTATCTTAGCGCTAAGAGAGTTTGAAAATCTAGGCCCTGGTTTCCAAGTGTATCTTAAGTATTTACTGTATGCTGTATTTATTGAATTTCTATTTATATCTTTCATGTTTTGTAAATCGATTGTTCATAGACATGTATGGTCAGACTGGTTGCTCCTCAGCTATGTATACTACCCAAAACAAGTAAAGAGCACCCTATTATTTCATGGTATGTGGGTATGGGTGGTTGGTTTTGCAACAGGTTTTCACTTGTGAATACTTATTTTGAGTAGTATATATGCTTCATACATCATGTGTCAAATGATCTCCTCATTAATATCACTTATATATTCATGTCTTCTATGGGGCCCTCCTTGTAATATTCTATTATTGTTTTCTGCTTCAATGTGTTTCTTGGATTATTTTTTTTCACAACACATTTTGTTCAGGACATGTCCTGCTTTCAAATAGTATTATTACACCTGAAGCAAGTTATGTTTTTCAGTATTTGTTGAACTAAATTTTTGTACAGAACACTCTCTGGTCTACTCCCTGAGAATATTAACTAGTTTTCCCCTAAATGTGTAAAACAAGTCATTCAGACATACGCCTATGCCATTTCATGACTAAACAATATTCCAAGATAAGGTTTTAGATTCTGAGGCAAGCTCTTGATATCTTGTACCATTATACAGATATAGGAATACTGTATGTGCAAGTCATGAAGTAGATACGATGAAATTTGAGATTGTGATAACTTTTTATCTGCTATGTGACTGCATGTCTTTCACCAAAGTCTTAGAGTTGGTCTCTCCTCCCCACTATCTTACTATTCAAAGCCATGTCCAGCTCATCTCACAAACGGCATTGATTTGCAAGACATTACCAGAAGTCCTGAGATCTAAAGACATCAGCATCAGTTTGTCATCACATGGGATAGCCCAGGAGTTGGAGAGTTATGTCCCTTAGCCATGCTAGGATCTGCTGAACATGGGTTTGAATCCCAGGTTCACATGATGCAATCCTTGATTTCTTTGCACCATACCCATGGTAGTATCTTTCACTGAAGTAACAAATGTTGATTACCTTTGTGCCTTCCGACTTCCCATACGACTGAAATACTGTTAATATCGCAGTGTTTAACACACCCAAACCAATTGGTGTCCATGTCAAACGACAAAAAGATAACCCTTTGCAAAGGATGTTAAGTGTGACCATTTCACGAGTTTATTTTTGTGTACAATGTGCCGTCTTCTCAAAGACATTTTGTGGCAAGTGAAAAGCTTTCTGAATCTTTATGATGCATGTTAAAATGATAACTTGTTACATGTCAGATATAAGTAGAAGAAAATCAAAACCAATGTTTTTGAAATTGTCGAAATTTTCTGTTTGATCTCGTCAAACTTTTCGCTACTGTACAGGGCAACCATAACAAGTTTCCAGGCATCGTAGTGTGACTTAAATTTTCTAAAACTGTCAGATTGCGGCAAAGTGTATTGTTGCAGAACCCAGCCTGTTGGATTTATCTGATAGAAGTGTGCACTTATGTTGGATGTACATGAATACTACAATGTATTTTGTTCAACAAATGATTAAGATCTATTTTTCCACAGTTGACACTCAGGACATTTATCATACTCATTCATTGGTCGATCTTCAAAATGTGTTCAATACTAGATAAGCGGATCGTGAATATTGATTAGTCAGCAATATTCAACAGTATAAGTAATCAGGGCTCTCCCAGGGAAACCTGTCTAAATACTTCAATGTTTTCTTTTTACAGTTTTACAAAAGCGATTGTAGTGCTACACAACTAAGGTGGTAACTACTATAATATACATATCACGACAGTTGTAGTGCTACAATTGGATTTGCTTAGCGAAAAACTTGTGCCGAAGAATTTTCAACCCTTTGTTAGCTTTTTACATTTTCAACTCCTCTGCAACCAGAAGGTTTAATCTAAAGCGGACAAGTAACTGATAAGCACAGAAAACTGGAAGATATTCACATAATTACTATGTCAAGTATTACAGTGATGTTGATTGAGACTTCTATGAATATTTTGTTCTACTCTGATAATCAAATGTTTTATAATCAGTTTTACTTTGAAGTTGTAGTGCTACAAACGTAATTGCTTTGTGAAACAATCCTAAACGTAAATGTTATCAATTCATCTAAGCTCTTACATTTTCAACTCCTCAGAAAGGCTTCATCTGAAACTGAATGGAAATGACGATGTCGATCATTGCAGCAATGTTGCATGCGACTTTTGTAAATATTTTGCTCTACTCAGAAGGTAATGGTTGTATCAGTTAATAAATGGCAGTTATACTTTGAAGCAGTTTGGCTGACAGTTTGCCATTACCAATGACGGTGTCGGCAAGTCATGACTGCAAGTGTTTGTTCATGAAACCCCTGCAGTCTATCTCTGAAGACATGTTGAGGATCATCTTCAGAACAGTGGCAGCTGGTATTTATGTTATTACTGATCATTTGTAGTGTCTGTATAATTAACTATTAGCTACTGTCTACCATATGATGTACATCTAATACTTTGTAATTATTGAATGTGATACAAGTCGTGTATTTTCTACAATAAATCTATGTGAACATGTTTGTTACTGTAACTTGTACATGACATACAGATGTATGAAGACTCATGAAGATCTGGCTTAGAATTGATCTTCAGCAACCCACGCTTGTCGTAAGAGGCGACTAATGACATCAGATGCTCTGGCTTGCCGGTAGACACATGTCATGTATTATCCCAATTGCATAGATTGATGCTCATGCTTCTGATGGCTGAATTGTCTGCCCAGACTCGATTATTGGCCTAGCGAGCCTTGAAATTGCTGCAGCTAAGCAAAATGTAATTTTAGAGCAAAAATTGATATTTTATACTCATCCTGACTCATGCTCTCTTTTGCTTGTCTTCTTCTTCTTGCGAACATAGTGGAACACTTTGTATCTCCTTGTTGAAGCTCCCTTCAAAATAAAATCACTAATTGGTACTCACCGCCAGTTTATGTCCCCTTTGTCTCCCCTGGGCGGAAAAAGGTAACCATACCCTCTGGCCATGTGCTCCACTCTCTCCTGATTTAGCGAGCCCAACACTTGAATTTACAGGAAATCCAAAGTGTTATGTGGGGGAGGATGGGAGGGCTAACCTCATGAGGTCAGGATAAGTATAAATATCAATTTTACTCTAAAAATTACATATTTTCCTTATCCTGACTCATGCTCTTCTGTTTGTAGCATCCCAATGAGCGAGGAGGTGGGTAACATGAATACTTTGGATTTATAATTAGTGATTTTGTATAGATATACTGTAACTTGTGGCTGTGTGGGAGATGTTGAAACAAGAGCGTTTCAATTGGAACTGTGTGTAGGTAGTGAGGGATTTGGGTTTGAGCCAATCGTGATGTGAAGCTACCACCACAATCTAACTCACCCAGTATATCCTTGCGTCATGGCCTGAATGATTTTGCAGATACACAACCCATGGTAGGAGACTGGTCAGCCTGGACTGAGTGTTCCCCCAACAGCGTCCAGTACCGGCACCGCATCTGTGATCAGGTCCAGCTGGGTCTAGACTGCAGCAAAGATGTCATACAGCTCCAGCACTGTACATACAAGATACATGGTTAGTGGTCAGCATATATCATGATGAGATGATTACCAAACTGAATGGCACTGGGGTGGCCTAGTGGCTAAAGCGGTCACTCGTTACACCGAAAACCCAGGTTCAATTCCCCACATTGGTACAATGTGTGAAGCCCACTTCTGGTGTCCTCTGCAGTGGTATTCCTGAAATATTGCTAAAAGTAACTTAAAACTATACTCACTCACTCACTCATCCTGAAATGTAGAGACTAAACCATAAATCAGTTCACACAGAGCTAATTGTAAAAAAAATACACAACCATAGAATATCAGTGGATTTACGTTCAAAAAGGCAATACAATAGGTCAAATATGTGGTAAGTCTTCAGTCCAGTATAGTGGCAGTTGGGTAGCCTAGTGGTTAAAACGTTCTCTCGTCACGCCGAAGACCCGGGTTCGAATCCCCACATGGGTACAATGTGTGAAGCCCATTTCTGGTGTCCCTGCCGTGATATTGCTGGAATATTGCTAAAAGCGGCTTACTCACTCACTCACTCACAGTCCAGTATAGTGTGGGAAGCCTGCAAGACTTCAGTGTTTCTAAATATAGGTTCTCAAACCTGACTTTCCAAACAGATTATTTAGCCAGGCACAAAAAGGCCTTGAATCGCTATCTTGTCCCTGTTACATACAGCCACCTAGACAATAGCTAAGATACATAGCGTTCACTGACATGAACGCTATGCAGCACCTCCATAGGCCGCAATGGTGGAAATCCTTTGTCGCTCTTTCGCGCACTCGTTACGATTTTTTCGCATACGAAAAACTTATATGAATTGCCGTTGTACTTATACCTACGTCGCCCTATTTTCGTTATTAAAATATCCAAAAATATATATTTACAAGCCATCAAACATCTCAGTTGATCGCTCACATATGGCGGGGACATTTTGAATCCGTGACCTGTGGCGATGGAATTATCACTCCCAAAAATAGTAACACCGTGTTCCATACCTCGTTGCTTGTTTACAACACATTTTTCATACATTTTAGGCAATTAAAGCGATTGTATGGAGATTTTCGTTTCCAATCTAGACTGACTGACCACCCCTGCTCTTTCAACAGCTGTTTTCAAAGGAATTGCTGGTGAGTTTTCAATGCTTCATATAATATAAGATAATTGCTGTCACCTTCACAGTTTCATGGATGTCTCTGTACTACTCATGAATATTTGCCTACAAAACACAGTTTACTAATAAGACTTATTAGAATTTAGGAATTAAATAATTAACGAGTTCACGAATCAATTATCTATAAATTTCATTTGTACCATATAACCTTAAATATTTCTCATTTCACATTTCTCCTATCTTCATCATCATATTTATTTCCTCCTTGGATAGGAGATTAGATGTTGATTTCATCAAGGGATAGTGTTTTTCATCATGAATTATTAACAAATACTAAAACAAGGGATACATCTAGAAAGCAATTGTTAAAGGGAAGGATCATTCAAATTACAGCACAAAGCCAAATGCAAATTATTAAAAATCGCTCCAGCCGATCCGTCCATGCACATTCGTCTTTTCGAGACAGATCTTCAGAACCGTTCACTATTTCTTCACCAAACTTGGCATAGATAGATCTGGTGGTGTACTGGTGTCTTTTGGTAGTTTGGGATTTCTGTATAAACTATTTTTTGTGTGTTTCCATGGCAACAATTTAGACTTTGACTGAAATTGGTGGTAGTGTTCTTTTCAGGAGCAGAACTGTAAAAACCGTTCAATATTTTTCACCACAAATTGGTATATATATCAATCAGAACCTTAAGTGGTGCCATGGCTATTTGCAGATTTTTTGACATTTTGTATTTTTCTCGGTTCCATGGAAACGATTTGGACTTAGTCTCAAAAAGTATGGGTGGGCTTCTTTTCCGGAGCAAAAATCGAAAACCTTTCATTTTCTTTCAACAAAACGTAGCAGATATATGAGACAGATCTTGAAGTGGTGCCTTATGTTATTTCAAAGTTTTAGTATTTATATTTTTCATGATTTCCATGGAAACATTTTGGACTAAGTAAAACAAAATCAAGTTGGACTATCAGTAACTGTCAGATGATTTGTTCTTTCAAATTTCCAGAGCCTGGGGGGATTTGTCATCTTTTGATGACTCTTGTTTTGATAAGTTATAGCAGTTAGTTTCACACAAAAATAGACATGTCGTCAAACGCTAAGCTGTAACTATATCTCTTCCATCACTTTGTTTTTGTCTTGAACTTGCCCTTTCAATGGGCACAGACAGTGTCATCCATGGTTTCTTCTCTCAACTTTCAACCTTTAATACCAGTAAATAAAGTACATATCAATGTTAATTATTAATTATCACTTTAATTTAACATGAGTTTAAACTTATACCTTCAAAAGAATAAACTTCATGCACAATTTCATATCATTGTTAATGTTCTCAATAAACATAATTGCACCTTGAAAAGCAGACTTTCTAAACTAACACTTCATTGATAATTTGAAAAACCTGCTATTTTTGCTGTCAAAGATAAGAGGTACTGTAATGTTTGCAAATGAATTTTCTTCAGTTGACCCTACTTGAATAAAAGCCTTCTGTCAGTGGTGTATGCACAAGAGTTTAAGTATGATATTTGGCATTGTGCTGTAATTTGAATGATCCCCTCATTCAACAATTGATTTATTGGTGTATCCCCTTATTTTAGTATTTGTTTATAATTCATGATGACTAATAACACTTTTTGGCCACTTGGTTGCTAATATGGGAATGAAAAGATGATTTTGGCAAGGTTTGTAGCTGGTGCTTGAGACCTAATACAACATGGAAATATTTAAAATATTATTCAAGGTAGGAGAGTGTTGAACTGAGAAATATTTAAGGTTTTTGGGTATACATGAAATTGATAGATAATTATTTCGTGAACTCATTGATTTATTAAGTCCTAAATTCAATGAGTAAACTGTGTTTTGTAGGCAAATATTCATGAATAGTACAGAGACATCCATGAAACTGTGAAGGTGACAGCAATAATCTTATATTATATGAAGCATTGAAAACTCACCAGCAATTCCTTTGAAAACAGCTGTTGAAAGAGCAGGGGTGGTCAGTCAGTCTAGATTGGAAACGAAAATCTCCATACAATCGTTTTAATTGCCTAAAATGAATGAAAATGTGTTGTAAACAAGCAACGAGGTATGGAACACGTGTGTTACTATTTTTGGGAGTGATACCCCCATCGCGTCACAGGTCACGTGATTCAAAATGTCCCCGCTCATATGTGAGCGATCAACTGAGATGTTTGATGGCTTGTAAATATATATTTTTGGATATTTTGATAACGAAAATAGGGCGCACGTGTAGGTATAAGTACAACGAAGTAATTCATATAAGTTTTTCGTGCGCAAAAATCGTAACGAGTGCGCGAAAGTGCGACAAAGGATTTCCACCATTGCGGCCTATGGAGGTGCTGCATAGCGTTCATGTCAGTGAACGCTATGTATCTTAGCTACCTAGACAAACACTTTGTCTCTGAACATATAAATTTTGATAGAAAAAATTCCTTCTAAATTAAATTAGACGGGAGATTCAGAGGAAATCTGGACTTGGTTCTAATGTGGTTCAGAGACTGTGAGACAGACTAACAGCTTCCCTTCTAGGAAGCATAACGTCTTAAACAATCAAGCCTGCTCTGGTCATGTAACAAGGGCAGATAACTCTAATCATCTAAACATAGCAAAAGAACCTTGTATAAATCTCCACTCCACCTGTTTACTTCAGTTCAAATCCTGCCATAAAAGCAATTGATAATTTTTACTATTTCAATCATTTGCTACCACAGACAATTAATGCAAGTATATTAGAGTAAACTACTTACATATATAACAACATTGATTATAGGAAACATACATTGTATATATTCTATTGGAATCCAGAAACTGTACTTATATTTTGTACCTTAAAGACATGTATTCCCCATATGAGAAGATCAATTTTAATTTTTAAAGATGCCTCCTGATTAAATTTATAACATTTTTTTATGTTCCAGTGATGGAGGCAAGTGTCGGTGCTAGTGTTGCCGCCAACAAAAACTACTCTCGACGAGTGGGTGGGGTATACCTTGTTATTGTTGCAATCATTGCATTTGTCATCGGCGGCCTGGCATCAGTGGGACTCTTCATGTACATCCAGAGGTACCGGGACCAGAAACATAAGGATGAGGCGGAAGTATGCTGGGTCTCCAAGAGCGAGATAAACATGAAACCAGTAAACACTGCAGAATCCTCACAAATTAGTCTGGATTTCCAGAACTTGACGCCATTGATGTCACCTAATAATCGGTTAAGTCTGAATACTTTTGGGTCCTTGAAAAAGGAGAAGATGACTGTAAATGAGGCAAGCACACTGAAACGGAATTCCATGTGGACCAACTTGTCTGTGAATGAATTATAGACATATGTGATGTCAGCAAGTAGACCATGTGTATTCCTGAAATGTGATTGGTACTGATGGTTTGATATACACTATGTTCCTCTATTGTACATTGGACCTTTCGTATAGAATGAGTGAGTGAGTGAGTTTGGTTTTACGCCGCTTTTAGCAATATTCCAGCAATATCACGGCGGGGGACACCAGAAATGAGCTTCACACATTGTACCCATGTGGGGAATCGAACCTGGGTCTTCGGCGTGATGAGTGAACTCTTTAACCACTAGGCTACCCCACCGCCCCATGTATAGAATGAGGCGAAGTGAGCATGCCATCTCACACACTGTAAACACAGATATTATTGAATGAGGGGCGGTAGGGTAGCTTAGTGGTTAAAGCGTTCGCTCGTCACGCCGAAGGCCAGGGTCGATTCCCCACATGGGTACAATGTGTGAAGCCCATTTTCTGGTGTCCCCGCCGTGATATTGCTGGAATATTGCTAAAAGCGGCGTAAAACATAACTCACTCACTCACTATTATTGAATGAAAATGGGACTGAATTTAAACCAATCCAATGACATGAATGACAAAAGTGTTGAGTCCAGGAAAATCTACGGATCATTATCATGTTGGACAGTAGTGTCACACAAACGTAGTAACTACTCGGATGATGGCACGTCTTTATGAGAAAGCTGTCCTTTAAAAGTTAGGGCGATGTTTCACAGGTGTTCAAGTGATTAGCAAGAAAACAATGAATGTTTATTAAAATCCCATAACTAACGGATATACAATGGACACTATTTATTACCATACATACTGAATGACACTAGTTTCAGTGCGGATTTGTTGATTTACAGTTTGAGAAGTGAAGTGAAAAAGACTTGGGAGTCCTTGATTACGAAGCAATTTAACTGAGACCACAATATCGCGAAGGGTGTTTTTGCAAAAGATGAATGTATATGTGATAAAGCAGTTCATCTAGGTTTGGTCTGTAAATAAAGTAAGTCTGTGATGTGCTTTGTCCAAACACTACCAAAACATGACACCATTATCAAGCAATTGTAAAACAGAAGTGGGCGGTGGGGTAGCCTAGTGGTTAAAGCGGTGGCTCGTCACGCTGAAGACCCGTGTTCGAATCCCCACATGGGTACATTGTTTGAAGCCCATTTCTGGTGTCCCCCGCTGTGATGTTGCTGGAATATTGCTAAAAGGTGGCGTAAAACTAAACTCAGTCAGTCAGTAATACAGAAGTTGTTCATCGTTGTCCTTCATTGTGCAATGTAAAATTTGTAATCTGAGAGCTCATTGGGTTGTACACACTGCTTAAATCAGAACTTCATTTGTCGGTTTAAAATATAGACTATGTGCATATTGACCTAATGCATTCATGGGTGATGGAGGCAGATAGTGCATACAATCATGTAAGTATTGACAATGGCGAATACCAAACAATAGTATATGCTGACGTTTTAAGCAAACAGCTACAATTGTTTGTTCCTGTGACAGTGACTATTAGATGAAGTGTATGATCGGTGTTTTGTATTAAGAAGGATATTGTTTTTTATTCTTCTCACTAAATAAACTGTTTACTAATTTGTATGTTTACAGTGAAGGTGCACTCCTCACTCCAGTTGGGTACTAGTTGCTTATAGTTTCCAAAACTAATATTAATATATTTATTAATATCATTCACCACAGACATAAACATTTTATGTTATCTTAAATGTTTAGATTTGTAATCAAAGCAAATACTTCAATTAATAGAGATTAATATTGTTTGCATCTTTCAAAGTGGGTAGTTGGAAGGGGAAGTATTTTAACACATTGACAATGGGATGCTGAAATGTTATTGATTACCCATAGGGTTATAAATAATCTCAAAAAGTTCATAAAACTCGAATTTGCACTAGTGCACACATCCTTGGTAATCTCCAGGGTATACGTTCCGGAGATTTATCAGAACGTGTAACCTGGAGATTATCGAGTATGTAGTGCACATCACTTCACAAACACCAGTGTAATATATATGTCATCTGGATGGAAATGTTGACGTCATTCAAGTCTTACTGTGACATAAGGTCAGAATGATGTCACAATGAAAACAATGTTGGCAATTGTGGTTTTCTGACAAGGTGGTTGTGATCAGTACTTTCTTCCAAAGGGGATCTCAAAAGGGTTACTAAAGGATATAATTGGTTATGTACAATTATTACACTTACATGTGTGTCATCAGATTTTACAAAACTTGCGTAATAATTATTCATTATTACGTTTGCCGATTGGGAAATACAAGAAGTAAATGTTATCAGCATGACACACAGTCAAATAATAATCTTGATGTATGATGCGAAATATTTATGCTTTAAATATTCACATGTAATATTTTGTTGTTATCAGACTACTTTGTTTTCTGATTTTTTTACAGGACGAATGTCCAAATGTGCAATAGCAACTCCAGCTAAATTATGAAATATAATTTATATGTTTAAAGCTTGCCTACCCCTATGAAGCAGATGAGTAATACAATGGGCCTAGATTTTCAAAGTTCTCTTAGAGCTAAGATAGTCGTAAGTTAATGTTAATGTATGGCACTTACGACCATCTTAACACTAAGAGAGCTTTGAAAATCTACACCCAGGACAATACCTGGGCCTAGATTTTCGAAGCTCTCTTAGCACTAAGATAGTCGTAAGTGCCATACATCAATATTAATTTACGACTATCTTAGCGCTAAGAGAGCTTCAAAATCTAGGCCCTGGGCCTACATTTTCGAAGCTCTCTTAGCGCTAAGAGTCATAAGTTAATGTTAATGTATGGCACTTACGACTATCTTAGAGCTAAGATAGCTTCGAAAATCTAGGCCCTCGTTTCCAAGTGTATCTTAAGTATTTACTGTATGCTGTATTTATTGAATTTCTATTTATATCTTTCATGTTTTGTAAATCGATTGTTCATAGACATGTATGGTCAGACTGGTTGCCCCTCAGCTATGTATACTACCCAAAACAAGTCAAGAGCACCCTATTATTTCTTGGTATGTGGGTATGGGTGGTTGGTTTTGCAACAGGTTTTCACTTGTGAATACTTATTCTGAGTAGTATATATGCTTCATACATCATGTGTCAAATGATCACCTCATTAATATCACTTATATATTCATGTCTTCTAAGGGGCCCTCCTTGTAATATTCTATTATTGTTTTCTGCTTCAATGTGTTTCTTGGATTATTGGGGCGGTGGGGTAGCCTAATGGTTAAAGCGTTGGCTTGTCACGCCCAAGACCCGGGTTCGAATCCCCACATGGGCACAATGTGTGAAGCCCATTTCTGGTGTTCCCCGCCGTGATGTTGCTGGAATATTGCTAAAAGCGGCGTAAAACCAAACTCAGTCAGTCTTGGATTATTTTTTTCACAACACATTTTGTTCAGGACATGTCCTGCTTTCAAATAGTATTATTACACTTGAAGCAAGTTGTTTTTTCAGTATTTGTTGAACTAAATTTTTTTACAGAACACTCTCTGGTCTACTCCCTGAGAATATTACCTAGTTTTCCCCTAAATGTGTAAAACAAGTCATTCAGACATACGCCTGTGCCACTTCTTGACTAAACAATATTTCAAGATAAGGTTTTAGATTCTGAGGCAAGCTCTTGATAATATCTTGTACCATTATACAGATATAGGAGTACTGTATGTGCGAATCATGAAGTAGATACAATGTAATTTGAGATTGTGATAACTTTTTATCTGCTATGTGACTGCATGTCTTTCACCAAAATCTTAAGAGTTGGGCTCTCCTCCCCACTATCTTACTATTCAAAGCCATGTCCAACTCATCTCACAAACGGCATTGATTTGCAAGACATTACCAGAAGTCCTGAGATCTAAAGACATCAGCATCAGTTTGTCATCACATGGGATAGCCCAGCAGTTGGAGAGTTATGTCCCTTAGCCATGCTAGGATCTGCTGAACATGGGCTTGAATCCCAGGTTCACATGATTGCAATCCTTGATTTCTTTCCATGGTAGTATCTTTCATTGAAGTAACAAATGTTGACTACTGTTGTGCCTTCCGACTTCCCATATGACTGAAATACTGTTAATATCGCAGTGTTTAACACACTCAAACCAATTGGTATCCATGTCAAACGACAAAAAGATAACCCTTTGCAAAGGATGTTAAGTGAGACCATTTCATGAGTTTATTTTTGTGTACAATGTGCCGTCTTCTCAAAGACATTTTGTGGCAAGTGAAAAGCTTTCTGAATCTTTATGATGCATGTTAAAATGATAACTTGTTACATGTTACAAGATTTTTCAGATATAAGTAGAAGAAAATGAAAATCAATGTTTTTGAAATTGTCGAAATTATGTGTGATCTCGTCAAACTTTTCGCTACTGTACAGGGCAACCATAACAAGTTTCCAGGCATCGTATTGTGACTTAAATTTTCTAAAACCGTCAGATTGCAGCAAAGTGTATTGTTGCAGAACCCGGCCTGTTGGAGTGATCTGATAGAAGTGTGCACTTATGTTGGATGTAGATGAATACTACAATGTATTTTGTTCAACAAATGATTAAGATCTATTTTTCCACAGTTGACACTCAGGACATTTATCATACTCATTCATTGGTCAATCTTCAAAATGTGTTCAATACTAGATAGCGAGATCGTGAATATTGATTAGTCAGCAATATTCCAACAGTATAAGTAATCAGGGCTCTCCCAGGAAACCTGTCTGAATACTTCAATGTTTTCTTTTTACAGTTTTACAAAGCGATTGTAGTTCTACGACTAAGGTTGTAACTACTATAATATACATATACGACAGTTGTAGTGCTACAATTCGATTTGCTTAGCGAAAAAAACTTGTGCCAAAGAATTTTCATCCCATTGTTAGCTTTTACATTTTCAACTCCTCTGCAACCAGAAAGGTTTAATCTAAAACGGACAAGTAACTGATAAGCACAGAAAACTGGAAGATATTCACATAATTACTATGTCAAGTATTACAGTGATGTTGATTGAGACTTCTATAAATATTTTGTTCTACTCTGAAGATCAACTGTTTTATAATCAGTTTTACTTTGAAGTTGTAGTGCTACAAACGTAATTGCTTTGTGAAACAATCCTGAGCGTAAGTGTTATCAATTCATCTAAGCTCTTACATTTTCAACTCCTCAGCACCTAGAAAGGCTTCATCTGAAACTCAATGGAAATGGCGATGTCGAGCATTGCAGCGATGTTGCATGCGACTTTTGTAAATATTTTGCTCTACTCAGAAGGTAACGGTTGTATCAGTTAATAAATGGCAGTTATATTTTGAAGCAGTTTGTCTGACAGTTTATGTCATTACCAATGACGGTGTCTCCGAGTCATGACTGCAAGTGTTTGTTCATGAAACAGCTGCAGTCTATCTGTAGAGACATGTTGAGGATCATCTTCAGAACAGTGGCAGCTGGTATTTATGTCATTACTGATCATTTGTAGTGTCTGTATAATTAACTATTAGCTACTGTCTACCATATGATGTACATCTAATACTTTGTAATTATTGAATGTGATACAAGTCGTGTATTTTCTACAATAAATCTATGTGAACATGTTTGTTACTATAACTTGTATATGACATACAGATGTATGAAGACTCATGAAGATCTGGCTTAGAATTGATCTTCAGCAAGCCACGCTTGTCGTAAGAGGCGACTAATGACATCAGATGCTCTGGCTTGCCGGTAGACACATGTCATCGGTTCCCAATTGCATAGATTAACGCTCATGCGTCTGATGGCTAGATTGTCGGCCCAGACTCAATTATTTACAGTTTTATGTGCCATTCATGGATAAAATCATCCAGAACAGACATGCCGAACGAGCCTTTGAAATTGCTGTAGCCAAAGACTAATAAATTGAGGACTAGTAAAAATATGAAGGTGGTTATCCCCGACGAGAATGATTTGAGGATTGTCAGAATCGGGGAGCCATTCCACAAAGTGCCTGACGAGAATGATTTGAGGATTGTCAGAACCAGGGAGCCATTCCACAAAGTGCTTAGTACTAACTCCCATACTTAAACATTGGCTTACGATCATTGTAACACTAAGATCACTTTGTGCAAGTGGGCACTGAGTAACACTGACAGGACAAAGGAAACTTTTTCAGAGTGAGTGAGTGAGTGAGTGAGCGAGCGAGCGAGATATTACACCGCTTTTAGCAATATTTAGCAATAATCCAGCAATATCATGGCAAGGAACAACAGAAATGAGTTTCACACAATGTACCCATGTGGGGAATCGAACCACTATGCTACCCCAACACATTTTTCAGAACTTCTAAAGCTGCACTAGCAATATTACAGTTAAAGGACGCCACGACTGGCACAGCATCAGACACAGGTCGCTGAGTCAGTTTGCAGTGCCTTGACCATTAGGCTTCCCAATCACCCTGGAATAGAGAGGGCGGTGGGGTAGCCTAGTGGTTAAGGCGTATCGCCCCTCACGCCGAAGATCCGGGTTCGATTCCCCACATGGGTACAATGCCTGATTCCCATTTCTGGTGTCCCCCGCCATGATATTGCTGGAATATTGCTAAAAGTGGTGTAAAACTAAATCTCACTCACTGGAATAGACTGAGATTGACTGACTGAGTTTGGTTTTACGCCGCTTTTAGCAATGCTCCAGCAACATTACGGCTGGGGACACCAGAAATGGGCTTCACACATTGTACCCATGTGGGGATTCGAACCTGGGTCTTCGGCATGGCATGGCGAGCCAACGCTTTAACCACTAGGCTACCCCACTGCCCCACTGAATAGAGAGAGTATAGTATTATACCACTTTTAGCAATATTCCAGCAAAATCACCGCAGGGGACACCAGAAATGGGCTTCACCCATTGTACGCATGCAAGGAATCAAACCCAGGTCGGTACTGTGAGGAGTGAACAATGCAGCCACTAGGTTACTACATCGCCGCCCTGGAGTAACCCCAGGTTTCAGTATTCAGCGTGTCATCTTACGCAGACATAGTTCTGACACAGTACCACCCTGTATGTCAGAGAAAAAACAAAACACTCCCTGTTATCCACTTTGTTGTATTGTTTATTTGTACATCAGCCCCTGGTTGTATAAAATATCTACACAAGTTGACGTCCACAGTCCAACATGTAGAAAGCTTTCAGATGACGTCAACTGTTTTTCGGTCAAAGCATTGTGGGTACAGATGACGGACTGTTAAAGATGTGGCCCCGCCCAAGTAGCGAAATCTCACAGGAATACAAGTCTTTGTACATGCTTCTAAAATCAGCTGATAAAACATCAAAGAGCTTGGAGGACAGAGATAAAGAAGTATATTTATGTTAATAGTGTCTTCAGAAGATGTACAATGTCAGGAACTTAAGTACAACACACATGGCAAATGTACAACTTTGTACAATTCAGATTTGATGCAGTCTAAAATAAGAATTTTACAATAGAATATGAACTGTAAAATATTTAAATCATAAAAGAAAAAAAAAAAAACAACCCCAAAAAACAAACCCACATGCCCTTTCCTCAATGTAAGTCAGTCGATCAAAATAATCTTTAAACATCAAATATGACCCTAAGCAATGCATGGTTAATGCTTGAAATGGGATTCAAAACAATCATCACATCGTTCCTTTCATGCAGCACAGGAAAGACAGACTGTCGTAATAATAATCATTATAATAATAAAACAAGATAGGTAAAATATGGATAAACATGATTTAAAAAGTACAGACTTTACTGGGAAAGTTTAAAAATCAAGTAAGTTTTGCAAGGGTATGCATAGAAATATAACGAACAACGACTGATATGATTTATTGTGAGCAAGGATATAAGGTTTACCTCAAGCATCTAAAGACTGGAAACCTACTTTGCAGGTCCTGAATATCAGCAAATACTGAAAGCTTTAATTTTGAACAATAGATTAGACATTATTAGTCGATATTTATTTTAGCAATTACATTTCTATTTGACAGTGAAAATACAACCTTACTAGCACAAACTTCGAGCACAGACCACACTTGCTATTGTTTTCTATGTGATGTTGAAGTATGATCCCTTCCTTTCAAACACATAAGGCCACAACAAATTGATTATTTGTTCATAAGAATCGCATCATTTTCCTATTATACAGGTTGTCTTTAGGAAAATATAACCAAAAAAAAAAAATACTTGGCATAGCCTGACCTGTCACATTTTTGTAATTATATTTAATTCAAGCTTATTTCACTTACCATGTTTAGTAGAAACTACGGGTCTAATATTAGGTTATACTTATAAATGAAAGTTTGGCACACATATACTGTAGTGTAAGTTAAACACAAGTGACAGAGTAGTGTCACATATAGACGTTTATAATCACCATTTGCTTCTAAATGCCATTTTTCAATATGGCACCAAACTGCAGCGTAGCTATCAGTGGGAGAAAATGAGATCTAGGAAGCAGCTGGTTCCCAATTTCTTAAATTCCAAAAAAACAAAAAGGACGAAAAAAAAGAAAAGAAATTAGTCTAAAATTATAGCCATACTAAGATCTATGTACATCTAGGACTGCTGTAAGCTAAGAACAGCTCATGTTATGTACATACGGACGAACAAAATATTTTAGCATCTCAATAACAATTGCACTGCAGTTTTGCCAGTCTCCACAAATGGCATACAAATAAATAGGACTTCTCATGGATCTACTATACACTAACATGAATGAAATAAATGTTGTTGATAACCTGGATATAACTTAATTAGAATAAATGACAACAAATGTATGATGATGGTGAATAATAAAGTTATACATTAGGGTTGACACATGATCAAAGGGAAACAACTCTAGCTATGTGCTTGCAAGGGAGATAATTTTGGTGGTTCACTTATGTTCCACAGTTGTGTCAAAAACATTGTCAGCACCTAGTCAGCAATATCCTTCAAACAAGTAAATAAGAAGAACACTCTTTCCAAGTTGAAAAGACATTCCTTTTTCAGATATTTTCAGTGTCGCATAGCCGTGAAATGATGCTTTGAGATCAAGTTTAACATAGAGATACCGTGTGTCACTATTTGCATAAAGTCATAATGGCCTTTAAAGGAGGTAGAGCATACAGGAAATCATCAAAGTAACTCAACAGTTGTGTAAATACTTCATAGGACTGGCGATAAATTGATATCATGAAGTAGCATACAAGATACTAAAAATTAACATTTATATTAAACCAGAAACAGATGTGCATACATTTTGTGCTTCAAGACATTATCTGAATGTTTTCCTACTGCAAGTTAGCAATGTCTAACGACGTGTTCAAGTTAAAGTGATCTGGAAAGTTTTTAACTTAGAAATCTGGAAAGTTTTGAGCCATGAAATAAGAGCTAGTAATTAACAACTGCTTCAACTGGATCTGATAAGTTTTGTGACATCCAGATGAAACTGCTGACAAAGCTACTGTAGCATGTTATGTAATACATGTAGGAGTGACTGACTGAGTTTGGTTTTACGCTGCTTTTAGCAATATTCCAGCAACATCACGGCAGGGGATACCAGAAATGGGCTTCACACATTGCACCCATGTGGGGAATCAAACCCGGGTCTTCGGCGTGAAGAGCCAACGCTTTAACCACTAGGCTACCCCAGCGCCCCAATACATGTAGGAAGCGGAGTGATGAAATAATAAGTGTTACAGTTGAGTATTAAACCATAGCTGCATGTGTGTTCTTGTTGACTGGAGTAGTGCGTTAACCTAACAAAGTAGACAGGCTTGCTTATGATTTGACTCCTCAGAGTGACGTGAGTATGGTTTTACACCACTTTTAGCAATATTCCAGCAATACCATGGCGGGGGACACCAGAAATGGGTTTTACACATTGTACCCATGTTGGGAATCAAACTTGGGTCTTCAGTGTGGCGAGCCAACGCTTTAACCACAAGGTTACGCCCCTGATCTGAGCCTGAAGATTAGTGGCAGGTTGGAGAATTCTCCTGGTTAGACTACTGACACAAAAAATAATGTGTATAAAGGACAAAACTGATGTGAAGATTATCTATATAATCCTGAAGTGACAATGTTTGGAAGTGAACAAAGGATATAGGCCACCTTGCATTTTGTGTATGTTGTTTGTCTTACAAAATGGGAAATTTTAACTATAAATTGTATATTTATATACTTATCCTATCTCATGTGTCAACTATTTAGATCATGTCACTTGCAGATTCCAAAGTACTTTCTGCATACAAAACTTTCCAGATTTACATTAACGTGAAATCATTAAAATGAAAACCATTGTGTCAAACAATTTCCCAGCAGGCATCAGAAAGTACCCATAACCTCTAAGTACACACATAACCTACGAAAAAAACTCAATGTACAGTTTCTTACCTCACATGAAAAGTTTTTCTTAACAAAGAAACCTCCTTTGAATCAACTTCCTGAGAAAAGTAGTTTTGCATAGCCATTTCTAAGTAGAAACACAAAATATGTGCTTAAGCCATACATCCTACTCCACATTTGCTAAGGATCAAAGTCATCTTCAGTTAAAGGTGTAGTCCCTAGCAAATGTATAATAATGTCTGAAACTTAACAACATAACCCGTTCCACATGTATTTCTACAAAATGTTTGACAATGAAAACCTTAGGACATTAATTTGAAATTTCTTCCAGTAATTGAAAATTTTAGGTGAAACCATTCCTGTTAAAGAAGACCATTAACATGTTGGATGCAAGGACCTAGTTCTGGGAGTTGGATCCATTAAATGTCATTGTTCAATACATTCTCAGTACCTCGGTTTACTCTATCAGAGACCCTAGAATGAAATCTGATGGAACATCATGGTTTTCAATGGTATTGCAATCAGTGGTACAGTCCTAACTGAAATAATTCAATAAATTTTCCAGCTTGAATTGTGGTTTAATTGCATCATGACTAAATCAGGTTAAGTTGTTGCCTCATTGTTAAAGAATGTGAATACATATTAGATACAGTTAACACCAGACAGATACACTTGACAGATTAACTAAAGCAAAATGAAAGAAATAGGCAGTCCTTTATTATTTTTTTAACAGAATAGCAATGACAATTTTAACTACCCCTATATTCTTTCCTAATTTGCTTATCGAAAATGAAAGCCACTTAAGGAACTCATGGTCAATGTGAGAGTTACTTCCCTTTATACTACAGAGTTGTCTACCCTACTTCATGTGTTGTATTTGCATATCAGGAAGTACTGTGGATATCAGGAAGTAGTTCCAGACAAGCCTCGACCAGTAGATCAGGTCACATGAATGAGATGTGCGGAGCAGTTGTCGTTCTCTTCTTATATATTGTCTCAGTGCATGTGGAAATCAGTGACTGTTAAGTCTTATGCTGCTCTTGGCAATTTCCCAGCTATATCATAGTACATCATATAAAGAATGTACTTAAATGTACCAATGTGAAGAATCAAACCTGGAATTTTGGTGTGGCCACAAATGTATAACTTATACGTTACTAAACCCCTAACAGTATCAGAATTAAACAACCTATGAACAAATCATGACTGAAAAGGTGATTCTGGTTTTCTGAAGTTTAGAACCTCCAATAGTTGACATTAATAATCTGATGACATAAAATACATACTTGAGACACATGGAGGGTGATGACAATCTATCCAGGCTAAAGTGATGTTGCAGCTTAGCAGTGAAGGAAGATCAGGACAAAAGCAGACACTTGGCACATGGGAAATCAAGTCGTCAAAGATAAAGCCATTCAAAAATAATTTGATTTACAATTCACAAAGCTATTTTCTACCTGTTATTAGAATTCATTTTAACAGGACATCAGCTAACAAGAACATGAGTCAAAGTCATACTGAAAACATGACCATGATTAACATAGGTCCCTTGTCCCAACAATTCTATTTCCAAGTAATTCCTACCCTATTGTTTTGTTTTCTATCAATCCGATGCCCTACTCTTACACAAGGAATTTCCTTTTAAATTTCTCTGAACTAATTTACATTACTCAATCACTACTGCATTTACAAGATATGAAAATAAGTATCTAATGAATGTATACATTCAGTTCCAACCTGCTTGATTTCTCACCTATCTAGAGAAAATACTAAGCAACTCCCATGGCGCTTCCTAAGCAAGCACTAACAATTACTGCATGTGTTCTTCAATCTATCAATATGCTGCAAAAAACCAACAAACCTAATCTCAACAACTTGCTAAAGGTTAACAAATATCTAAAAATATACCATTAAAAAATAGTAGGGGATATTCCATTTTGTGAGTATACCACTAACCAATGCCAATGCATATGAGAAAAGTATTATATATCCACACAGATGACACATTTCCAAAGGAATGGAATAAATTGTCACATTTTCTGAATTTCCCTTCATCATCTGTTTCCTCCTTGGCTTCATCATTTGCATTTTATCAATCTTGTAAATCCAATATCCCCTACTTGTTTTGGATGGTATATGTTCTATAGATTAAGTAAAGTGTGAAAAAAAAGAAGAAGAAAAAAAGATGAATTCTCTTGTAAATTGTTGTAATGTCTCATCCAGCTCCTTTTGTTCATCTGTGATAATATATTCGCTACAATTTCCCAAAGTGCAGCTGTTAATTCAATAGGTCTTCTATTTCAATATCCTTTCCATGTATCAGACCTAAAGAATCAGTTATTTGTGTGCTTCAAAGATAAGGTTCCAAAATACCTGCACATTACTGAATGTATCTGATTGGGCACATGATTATTTATTAGCTCACCATGGTAATTGAAGAGTTTATCCTATGACCTTTCAGTCATGTCTATTTGACTACAGTTAGAATATTTACCTACTTTGTATAATGGTCCATAAATGATATAGTTGATTACAAACTAATAACACTGATACTGTTTCAGGCATGGGGCACACACGATTCTGAAGTGCATCCAAGCCCCATGTCTGTTTCTACACCAAATGCCCTAATCGTGACTGTACTAAATCTTGCTTCAAACATTAGATAACATGTTAACAGTAAAAATCACATAAAAAGACACTGCCACAAACCTAACATATGACAATCTTGTCAAGAAGTGTGTTGAACACCTGAGCAATCGTTAATTAGTCATTTTCATATACCTGCTTAAGTAATGACTGTTAGAGTATATTAAGTGACTAGCTTCAGAGATGCATCTGATTGGTTAACATCAACATGAAATGCAGCAGTGATAACTATTTCAACAATAACTACAAAACAGGGTGTTTCATACTTTGCACAGATTAGCTCAAATAACAAACTTTTAACACAATGCTGAAACGGGAAGAGATCAATCTATCTATAGATTAACGTGATTGAATAGAGAATGAATTTGGACAGGTTTGTATGACAATGGGATTTCATGATAGGACAGAAAATGTAAATGTCGAATGCCGACAAGGGGTATAGGATTCAAGATCAACAAAGTAACAAAAGCCAGAGCCTGCTGCCTAGACCAACAGGTCAATACTGTGACAACTAGTTGTAGGAAGATACTATCTACATCAGCCAGCACTTATATTGCAGAAACAGTTGTAAGACAATTAGTACCAGGGTGTAGATGACTCTCAACAGTTTGGGAAACCCTTTAACACACAGAGATCAACTCCTACATTAGCCATCACACCCAATAAATAATACTACCCACAAGAAGTTAAGAACGCTAATTGTTTTTCATTTGAAATGGCCATGACAGGGTAACTATAGTCATATGAAGAAAATCAGGGTTTTTTTTAACTTCTTTCAAGTAGTACATACTTCTAAGTATTTCTACGTTCGTATACTTTTATTGGAAAGAAATATCAATTCCAGGCGTAATTTGACTACAAGTATTGAAATGTTATCCTAGGATACTAATAACTATGGAGAAATTGAAAGGTAAACGGTTTCTTCATACACGGACACTATTGAGAGTTCTCCACACCAAAGTTGTGATAAAACATGAGCACACTTCAAGAATACCTAAATAAAACAAGAGTTGTCTACCCTGGCCTCCACTCAAAATCAATATTGCACTCTCAACTAACAGCATAGTTTCAAAAACAATTTCAACATGTCACATGAAAATGCATTCATATGATTAGTGTCATGTATTGACGTAAATGCTTGTTTCCACACAACTGTCCATTAGTATGAAAAGCTTTTCACCAAAAATGCCAACAATCAAAACGTCACTTAAACCAGATTAACACAACTCATTGGTTCTGTAACTTAACACAACTGAAAAACACTACTACTCATGCCACAGTGATTAGATGATTTCACAGCATATTAAATGGAAGTGATGAAAATACAGAATCCTTAATAAAAAAAAATTGAGTTTTTTTTTGTGGCATGGAGCATGATTACCTAACTAAACGATGATAACAAGATCCACACCGACTCCTACTGTAAACAAAGATGCTCTGCTATCTTCTGGTGACCAGGGCAGACACATGAGAAATCCCTATACGAAGTCACAAGATATGATTGCATATCTCCATACAGAATAATTTACACGGTCTCTTTATCACAACATTATAACGCTTGTAGTCGGTAACTTCCACGCAGTTACCTTGGATTGTCCCAACCTAAGCCACCATTTTGTGTCAGGGATTCTGGGAAGGCAAAAGTGATCCCACTGAACGAGGATGTCCCTTCCTCAAGCTTGACCTCAATTGTGAAGATCTCCATTGGCAGTAGCGTCCAATCCATCATCCTTTGCACTTAAACGCTGACATCAGCTCAAGGCAGTGAAACCGTTTAGCACTGGTTGCTCTACTAGTGTGCAACTGAAACAGGGCTAAGCAGCGAAACATTGACACACATGCGTTATGGGCTGGTACGTCAAACTAAGGCAATCTAGCTAATCACCTTTCACGTACATATGCCATCACTGCTGTCAAAGTGGTATCGAAACGTGACATAACCTCTGAACCTCACTGACAACACCAAGTCGCACTGGGACTGCACTGGGACTGCAATGGGACTGATATTTGTGTGTGGTTTCCATGAATACTCAATGCTTGTGCCCTTCACACTCGTGTCTTTTCGGTCTGTGGTAACTGCTCAAATAACACTTGCAGGCAATTTGTCAAATACATCATTTTTGCCCGAGGGCTGAGCACTGCCCCTCCTCCGCGGCAATGTAGGATGTTCGGGGCAGCCATTGTTAATAAGGAGCTCTACACATTCTGTGGATCCTGAACTCTTGGCATACCACAGAGCATTCCGGCCTTCGTGGTCCACCACCTTCACACTGGCATTATTCTGGAAATTAAATACAATGTTTTCATTACTTAACAGGCTCAGCTACATCTCTCACTGAAAATTTTATTTCACAAGACTGACTGACTGACTGAGTTTAGTTTTATGCCGCTTTTAGCAATATTCCAGCAATATCATGGCGGGTGACACCAGAAATGGGCTTAACACATTGTGCCCATGTGGGGAATCGAACCCGGGTCTTCGGCGTGACGAGCCAACGCTTTAACCACTAGGCTACCCCACCGCCCCCTATTTCACAAGAGACACTGCTACAACAAAATAGCATCACAGTGCTTCGCTTTGGTTACTAGGGATTACGATCAAATGACATCCGTTATCCGCCACTGAATCTGGTTATGAGTACTTTTTAACACACTGTTAACAGTGTGATAACTTTAACAGAATAATTTTACATTATAAATTTTACATATAAATAGAATCTCATCCTTATTTCTTTTGATATAAAAGATATAGACTTGTGTCAATAATAAGCAACATATTCATACATCATGTAACTTCTTTTAATATATTGCCACTGAAACTTCCATCGTATTGTTCCACTTACCCACAGCAACAATTGCACAAAGACTACATTTCCCAGTGCTGCAGCTATATGAAGTGCTGTTCGGCCATCGTCTTTACTGTATGGGGCATTGATGTCGTCTGGCTGACCATGACCCAGGATTATGACAATATTTCGGATATCTTCGCGGACCAAAGCATCAATCAGTTGCTGTAAAACAAAAGTCACAGAGCGTCCACAGTGAATTGTACTGAATTAAGTCTTTAAAACCTATGCTGGTGGCAAAATGATGGGTGAGGGATTCATGCTCAATTTTGTGGTTAATCACTTAAAATGGACACTAGTCCAAGGAGCCTTGCAAACACATTAGTGCATATATGCCTGCAGATGTGTAAGTGCATTTATCCTGAATGCAATGTAGGAGACATCTCACACCTCAACTCACTTCACCTCATATCACACGTCACCTCAGCTCACATCTTACCTCAATACATCTCACATCTTACCTCATTACATCTCACATCAACACTTCTCACCCCACTTTACCTCATATCTCACGTCACCTCACTTCACCTCATATCTCACGTCACCTCACCCCACTTCACCTCATATCTCACGTCACCTCAGCTCACATCTTACCTCAACACATCTCACATCTTACCTCAACACATCTCACCCCACTTCACCTCATATCTCACGTCACCTCACCCCACTTCACCTCATATCTCACGTCACCTCAGTTCACATCTTACCTCAACACTTCTCACATCATACCTCAACACATATCACATCTTACCTCAATACATCTCACATCTTACCTCAACACTTCTCACCCCATGTCTCACTTCACCTCACATCTCACCTCAAACGTCTCACCCCACTTCACCTCACCTCAAATCATCTTGCCAGACAGTTTGCACAAGGGAATAATTTTTTACGTTTACAAAATACATCTTCTAATGAGGACCGCCTACAGAGGTAATAAATCTCAATTCCTGAGACTAGCTTATAACAATGTAATATTCGCAATTATGAGGACCACCAATGAACATGTTCAGTTTGTACTTTGGCACATCTTTGCTTTGTTCCAAGATGCATCTGATGCAGTCTACTCACCTGGTTTACTGGGATATCCACATAGGGGAGAGGTGGTAATAGCTCCTTAAGTTCATACTTGGATTTAACCCATCTCTCCTTCTCATCTCTGAAACAGTCATCAGCAATTGTGTCTTATATTAAATGAGAACTCACAGTAACTGATAAACATGCTTTTGACACTGAAATAAAGCATGGCATGTCCTAATCCAAAGCTTTAGAATGAAGTACTTACAAATATGTTTTCACTCTTTTTCGTTTCAAAATTAGACATTTATAAAGAATAGTAAGCCAAATCTATTGGCAGTTCATAGTGCAAGCATGATTATGCAGTCAACAAGACTTATGGGAAGCATGTACAAAGTGTTGCATGTTTTTGTTTACAATATTTAGTGTAATTAACTAGTTAATAATTCAGTTTGAGCCAGCCATCTAAGTGGTTGACATTCAATGCGAGGGCAAGAACACCCTGTCTACTAAGATGCACGCTGAAACAACCTAAACCCATTGTTTGTTTTGAAATACCTAATTCACAATATCACACCTGTATGACAGCAGTCTGTGAATAAACACAGCTGGACTAGACAATCCAGTGACTGATATTATGAGCACCGAGCCAGGCAGTTGAAGTACAATACAATGCATGGGCGGATCCAGACATTTTGAAAGGGGGGATTCAGGGGGTTCGAACCTCCTGACCCCCCCAATTGGCTCTGCCAACGAAAAAAAGGATATCTTCAATGTGGTCTTAAGTCATTTTCAAAAAGGGGGTGGGGGGTGGTTTGACACCATAACCCCCCCACCAAGATCTGCCAATGCAAGGTAATCAACCAAATCACCAAGCCTAACGATCCAATCCATTTGGTTCACCTGTAAGACGATTGAGTGAGTGAGTTTAGTTTTACGCAGCACTCAGAATATTCCAGCTATATTGCAGCGGACTGTAAATAATCAAGTTTGGACCAGGCAATCCAGTGATCAACATCATGAGCATCAATCTACACATTTGGGATATGATGGCATGTGTCAACCAAGTCAGCGAGTCTGACCACCCGATCTCACTAGTAGCCTCTTAGGACAAGCATGTGTTGCTGAGAACTAATTCTAACCCAGATCTTCACAGGTCGGCTACTCTTATGACATGCAAAGCATATTGTAGACCTGCCCAGAGACCCCAAGGGTATTAACAATGAGCCTGTGGGGGTGTTACCTAGGGGAGGACTGGGTAGGCTTGGTCCTCTCCTTAGCACCAGCACTAGCTTCCCATACAGAGTTGACCGTACTATTGCCAATAGCAGTCATCACCTTCGTCACCTCCGGCCTAGCAACAAATGAAACATACTTGAATGGATAAATAGACAAAGACATAATAACATTTAAGTAATGTCCTCGGATGCCAAATAGATTCCTCAAAGCTGCATATAACTTTTCATATTTTTACAAACCAATAGTTAAGACCACATGTACAACCAATTCCAAATTATATCATTTTTTATTTATAAATTATAACAATATCTTTCACATTAATTACAATACATCTGTTGCAGTTACAGATAAGAATTAATTAGTAAATCACCATTCGGATTGATTTAAAATGTCAGTATTTTTCATTCAATGTTGATAAAGTTTGATTCTACCTTTCACTATATTAAACTTATACAAACCTGTGGAGGTTATGAATTCTTTGAAGAAAGTCCTTCTTGGGGTACATATAAGCATTCAAATGTCCATTTTAAAAAGCCTACGACAGTTGTAACTATATTTTAATAAAAATATTTACAAAACAAAACATGTTTTGTCTTGTGAGACCACCCCTATAGGGCCCCTGAGGGGCCCCCTACCGGCAAGAACAGGTAACTCTAGCCAACAACCTCGCACCTCACGTGTTTTGTTTTGTAAGGAGGACTTCTTCTGAAAAAGAATTGTTGCACTCAGTGCACTTACGGCCATTCATCCAAGTCCAGAGATCTAACTTTGGAGATGTGAGTTCCTAGGTTGCGGTGGATGCCAGAACACTCTATACAGATCAGAGCTCCCATGTTAATACTAGCCCAGTCAGGGTCTGAAACAGAGGTCCAGTCATACAAACATTGGTGCCACACTGTCAGTGCCACTACCAGTCAATCAGATACTCTCTCAAACACAGATACTCCCACTGATCAAACCGGAATAATTCATATTGAAAAGCTGTGGTATTGCAGGTAAATGACAACATAATGTTGGTACTGATCTATAGTGAGTGAGTGAGTTTAGTTTTACGCCGCTTTTAGCAATATTCCAGCAATATCATGGCGGGGACACCAGAAATGAGCTTCACACATTGTACCCATGTGGGGAATCGAACTTAGGTCTTCGGCGTGACGAGCGAACGCTTTAACCACTAGGCTACCCTACTTCCCCAACACATATCTATAGTGAGTGAGTTGGGCTTAACACCCCTTGGGACAGTATTCAGGGTATATGAAATCATATCCGATTACATTGGGAAGAAAGCGTCTCAGACTTTTACCACTTTGGTCAAGTACTAAAGCATGGGTAAGGTGCTGTCATACCTAGAACATGTGTGTCCTGTGACACGTGACTGACTGACTTTGGTTATACGCCGCTTTTAGCAATATTCCAGCAACATCACGGCGGGGGACACCAGAAATGGGTGTGACAAGTGAACAGCTTCCCGAACAATTGGTTTCTGTCTGTTGCAGACAGTGGAAAGCAGCAAAGCAACCTATCTTCACATGACTCCATTAACTGTCAGTCACCAGCAGGTAATCATGGAAATGTATCTCATCTGGATGTGACCTTGATATTGTACACACTTAGTTTGACAGCAGCCATTTTGTCCCTTAACGCATGAAGTGGAAAATCCAGTACCAACTGACAGGTGACAACATGCATCCACAGTGTCAAGTCTTACTTGGAGAGCCACAGTCTGCACAGGCATTGTTTCCCCTCACATTTCGGATTGCTTGCATCCCTGCTACATCTGTCAAGGCCTGTAAAACAAACGTTCATACTATATTCCTAATCACCATTTATTTATAACTGTTCACAATTCACAGGGATTGAGGAGCAACACTGGCATGCAAAGTATTTTGTTCGCTAGTTTCTTTAACTCAGCCATTTTCCATCAATATGGCGGCGATCTGTAAATAATTGAGTCTGGACCAGACAATCAAGTGACTTCTTTGAGTGGCATTTTGGAAGTCAGATAGAACAAGTATATATGGATGACAACTTCTTTTATTCTAGAGCACCACGTTTCGATACAGGTTCTTGCATTTTCAAGTGTGAATGGTACAGGGAGAGAACAGGTGATATATATATACAACAAGACTAATTAACAAGGTAAGGTGGAATAAGAATGTGATGATAACACATAAAGGCATAACAGAGGATTCCAGGGATAAACATAGAGGCCAGTGGAAGCCAATCAAGTGATTTGCCAATGTGATATGATGAAATACATCAACTGAATCAGCAAACCTAATCAGCTTAGTTTAAGCCTTTACAACAGGTGTTCCTAAAGAACAACCCGTATCTTCACAGGTTTGAAAAATATTTCAGAGACATCACACAATGTCAGTGTGATGTGAAAGAAATCTAAAAGTGATAAATGTCTAAGATGGTGACCACCTAGGTGAGACCAACAAGCCCTGGTTTGGTGCCCACACACCTAAGGGCGAACCAGGATCTGAACCCATGATCAATGGTCAAACAGATGCAACTCTTCACAGAACATCAGAGTGCCTCAAACATGTGGACTATCAGTGACTTGAAGTCCATGATTATTTGAAGCAATTTAATTTTACCTGACAATACATAGAGACACCTATCTGGCAAATGCATATATAAAAAGAATCTCACCCAAGTGTCTTTGATATCAAATATATCACGAGTTGATAAAGTTACAAATATCCGAGGCTTGCCGAGGATGTTTTTACTTTTATCAACGAGTGTTGATATATTTGATATCAGGAGACAAGAGGGTGAGAATCTATTTATCATCAAAACATCACTCTTTTTTAGTTTTCAATGAAAAATGTACATCTCTGAACACAGTACTGCCATTAGACTTGCAGTGCAGCGATGTCTCAGCATTGTGACATCATCAAGCTCATGACGTCATAGCATTGTCAGGGCATTGTACAAAATCTACTGGCAAAACGATATCTCCTAGGAGAAGTGGAAGGAGAGCATTGAAAGGAGCAGTATCACCAATTTCAGTCTCAGTCAAACTTGTTGCCACGGAAACGCCAAAAATATTTTATTCAGAATTACAAAACTACCAAAAGGCACCAGTACACCGCCATACCAACCTATGTGCCAAGTTTGGTGAAGAAATATGGAACGGTTTTAGAGTTCAGCTCTGGAAAAGGGCACAATCACCAATTTCAGTCTAAGTCAAACTTGTTGCCATGGAAATGCCAAAAATATTTTATTCAGAATTCCAAAACTACCAAAAGGCACCAGTACACCACCAGACCAATCTATGTGCCAAGTTTGGTGAAGAAATATGGAACGGATTTAGAGTTCAGCTCTGGAAAAGAGCACAATCACCAATTTCAGTCTAAGTCAAATTTGTTGCCATGGAAATGCCAAAAATATTTTATTCAGAATTCCAAAACTACCAAAAGGCACCAGTACACCACCAGATCTATCTATGTGCCAAGTTTGGTGAAGAAATATTGAATGGTTTTAGAGTTCAGCTCCGGAAAAGAGCACTACCACCAATTTCAGTCTAAGTCGAACTTGTTGCCATGGAAACGCCAAAAATATTTTATTCAGAATTCAAAAACTGCCAAAAGGCACCAGTACACCACCAGATCAATGTATGTGCCAAGTTTGGTGAAGAAATATTGAATGCTTTTAGAGTTCTGCTCCGGAAAAGACAAATGTGCATGGACGGACGGACGGACGGAGTCCATTTTAATACCCCCCGCAAAACGCATTGCGGGGGATAATTATTGCCTTCCAAGCTAGTGGGCAGGAGAGACCCAGTGGTTTTAGGCAACATTCTGATTGCTATGTTTTTCATTATGAACTGAGAACATTGTATGAATTAATACTCATCTAAGAAATGGACACAATATAGTGTGATAAAGTTCATCTTCCCAAAATATCCATGTGATATGATTCAACTATAAACTTAATCCAATTACCTTTGACTTTGAGCTATCATTGCCTTGAAGACTAGTAAGAATTTGCTGCTCGATGGCACACACCCATTCGTCTCTTTCCTGAAATAAAATGGGGCAGGAACTTTAACAACATGACATTTTTCTTACAAAAATATACTGATCATAGCTTCTCAAAACTGAAGAATTTCAAAACAAGCTTATCCTGCTAGCCTGAGTCATCTTGACCAATGGTATATATAAATTTCAGGCTCATCACAGGTATAATTATTAGTCTGCTTGTGATTTATACCAAGCATTCTATACCAAGCAATATTCCAGCTATACCTAATAATTATGATAAGTTAACTACCAGGCAAAGATTAATCAAATACCCACCAAATAACAGTTCAGAATTGCTGCTTAGAATCAGTGCATAAATTATTTTTGAAATGTGGCCTGTCCATGGACTGGCTGGGCAAAAAAAGTGACCAGTCCAGAACAAAAATACCCAGTCCCAAAACTAAAACTCTTCATTCAAACCAAGTTAAGTTTATTTTTTCAAATATTCCCCCCCACCAAAGGACAGTGTTACTTATTCAAGAGACTGTCCTTCATAAAAATAGACCATCAAGGACGATGGGATGGGCTATATTTTATACACTGTTAGAATGTACATTTCAAGTACCATGAAAACCTGAACATGTGTACCTACCTCCCCATTTCCAGCCTCAAAGTGCCATTGTTTATTTTCTAAAGAAACTATAACAAACTCGTAACCATCAGAATCTGAAAAAGAAGAAGAAAAGAATGTAATGAATATCAGTGCTACTTTATTTCAGCATATAGGCTGGGAAACAGATAAACAATAAAAATACACAACACAACTGAAATGCGTACAAGAATCTGTTATCCTGTTACAAAACTCGAGGATGAAGTATAATTGAATTAAGTAGTTGAATTAACTCAAAATCAGGGGCGTAGCTACCATTATGAAAAAAGGCCCGGGCTTACACATGGTTGTTGGGCAAGCCCTCAATAGTCAATAATATCTAAATATAAAGCTTTGCAACCTATTGGGCTTACATGAAAAAACTGGCTTGCTACGCATCTGAAAATGAAGCCCAAAGTGAGTGAGAGTGAGTGAGTGTGGTTTCACGCCGCTTTTAGCAATATTCCAGCAATATCACAGTGGGGACACCAGGAATGGGCTTCACACATTGTATTTTCAGCATGACAAGCAAAAGCATTAACCACTAGGCTACCCCACCACCTCAAAGACAGTTAAGTTTTACACCTCTTTTCCCAATATTCCAGCAATATCATGGCAGGAACACCAAAAAATGGGCTTTACAGCTCTAACACCCAATCCCTAAATGAATTCCAAATGAATTCCACACTATTTTGGCCATAAATTCCACAGACCTGCATCCACACACTTACCATCTCCTTGACTAGGATCAATATTTTTAATCCCTCCACTTTTCGCTCTCCGATGCCTCTTTTTCACATTGGGAGTCTCTGCTTTGGAGCTCAGTGCTGAGTTGTTGATACCCAACCTTGGTACTCCTGAAGTTTTCGGTCGAGGAGGTGGGCGTGGCGAGGGACGTGGTGAATCAGAACCATCAAAACCAGCTGTAACCAACAAACACAATCACCATAAACACTTCATCTCTGATGATAAATACTGAAATAAAATACTTGGAAAAATAAATAAGTTCTGAATAGCATGTTCTCAGGAAAGTAGCTTTATTGCCTCAAAACTGTTAACATTGGATCACCATAATATCAGGCTTAATCAAAAGTTCATTACATGAGGGTACGAGGACAAAAGATCAGAGATTGAGTATTAAAAACATCATTCTAAAACTTATAATTGCAAAATTGTTCATCTTGTTGGGGAGTTACTTGTTCAACTCATCACTAAAAAATTAAAATGATTGTTATTATATTGATTATTCTAAAAACGATCAGATAAGATTAAAACAAAAGGAAAACAAAGTGATTTAAAATGATTCCAGAAAAAGGGAATAATGCAAATTGGGTGTAACAAACGCACAATCACTTCGACTGAATGTAAGTGGAATGTCAGTTGATTATTGTTACGAAATGCAAGTTCCCATCACCAGTAGCAATCTCCAAGTATCTGTATCCATTAATGCCTTTTTACAAGGTAGCATCAGGTAGTATACATATATATCTATACATCTGGAATACATAAATTAGTATTTTACAAATGTTCTTTCATCAACTGTCTTCTTAAGAGTTGAAATGTCTCATACTCGAATTCATATTCCCAGACTGTAGAGATATTTCAAATATTCTTATGGTCCTTACTACCACACAAACAAACTTGAATTTAAGGTGAAAAGTGAAACATGTGCTGTACAAGTGCACCATAACTAAAACATCACATATCACATCGATATTTCCAGAGAGTATAGACATTTCAAGTATTCTTACAGGTCCTGATTATCATCCATATGCCCTTGAATTCGAGGTCCAGTGCTGTACAAGTTAAGTCATTACTACAGTGTTCTACCAAATTCACTTATCCTGAATGTTTGGGTATCGCAAGTACCGTGGAATTTGAGGCGAAGTCAAATATAAGCTCTACCAAATTAGTTCAATGCATATACAGATATTGTTATTAAATGAAATAAAAGCTGTTCAAGCGAGATCCCATCACCTTGCCTGCATATGATGTAATAAGCAAGATTTGCCATCAGATTGGACTAATTATACTGCCTTTCATATAGCATTAATAAAACCACACCTTGCAAACATAAAGTACGATTTATCATTACTCACCGATATTAATAAGTAAGAATCCATTTCATGTGATATTTTTATAGTGAGATTTTATTTATCACTCTTTATCACTTCTTTTTCAGTAAGTAATAACCAGTAATAACAGCAATGACAAATATAAAAGTATAGCTAACCACCTTCAGTTACAGAGAAATTAATGATGTCATACAAATGATGTCATAGAAACAGATGATGTCATAATGGTCTGCAAAGCATTGTGATGTCATTCAATGCAGCAATATCTCCTGTGGGAGCCAGTTTTGGATGATAAATATTACTTTCTTTCAGACTACTTAAATGTGTTGAAGGTTACTTAGTCATGCCTCCCTTCAATGTCCTGTTGTCAGACAGATCTACAGATCTCCGTAATGATAAATCTGTTACAAGCATTGGTCGTATGTAAGGTGTCTCCCCACAGGAGTTCTCAGAGTTCTTCTCAACCCAAATTACCAGCATACATTCAGTATAACTCAAATATCCAAACAGTTTAACTTGTGAGGTAGTGAACATTTCATCTTCACTCTATCATCCTTCCAAATATAAAGTCTGAGCATCACTTTATTTTTCAGTTGCAAATCAGAGTTTAAATTGAAAGTCCTGGATTCCTTGAAGCGTCTAGAATAGGTACAAGAATAGGGCACTGACAGATACCTTGGATACATCGGTCGCATGGGTTCTTAGTAAGACCTAGGTACATGCATGATAACCACAACTGTGGTTAGTCACAAGATATGTTAAATGACACAGGTTACACAACTCATTTGTGTTTGCATTACGTTTTGACTATTTCTTCTTACCTACACTTTTGAGTACATATAAAGCTGCATCACACTTCAATGTATGAAAGATTAGATTGTATTAAATATTTTTCCAGGGCTAAAGCAGAACAATTCTAAACAGAACATTTTGTATCAAACTCTTTGAGACCTACAGCACATACCCAAGATCAAGAATTAAGGGGTAAGGTATCCCAGTAGTAAATCTGGACTCATCCCAGCCCTAACCATTAAACATGGAACTTCTACTTCAAGTTTATGACAAGGATCCCAGGACTTTCATCCTTACCTTACCATCAAACACTGCCATGGAGATAACTAAAATACCATTGCAAATATGTACAACTGACTGAAGGAGCTGTTGGTGGTAATACACCAATATAACACCTTAGACTAAATATACCACCTCACAATGAATGATAACTCTCCTGTGGCGAACACCTGTACATAGTGACCAATACCTGCAACTCTCATAACAAGGCATGAAGGAAAGCAAAGATGAAAAGGGAGTAGTATAGCAGAAGCAGTTATGGTGAGGGGTGAGTGTGGTGGGCGGCTTACCGCAACATCGACGTATGTGCGCCAATTACGTAGAGGCGATAGAGACACGGTGGAGTAAACAAGGAAGGAAAGAAACAAAACATTAGCTTGGGATTCACACTTTCCGGATTTGTAAATTTGACTTGAAATCAAGATCCCATATGTTGAATAAAAAAAGGTTAAGGATCATGGATCCCTTGAGGAATATAGTAATGAAACTGTGCACATTGTCTTCAATACCAAATTGTTTTGTTCAATATTAACCAAACACTGCAATTATAGGAAAATGCTTCACTTCTTTGATTTTTTTTTCAATTTTCTTTTATTATATCTTGTTAAAGTCTTTACTAAAGCTCCATACTGAAGGCAAAACTTTAAAATCAGACACGAAGAATCTAAGACTTCACCCCTTTGTATAACGTATACAAAATGTTGTATACACAAACTGTTCTTGTCTCACAGTCATTAACTAGCATCTCAACTGAGTTTCTGAAACTGTGGTACTTACGTGGGGTTATTGATGAGTTTGGTATAACTAGAGAGTTATCTATTGTAGGAACACCACCGTCTTGCGTAGCTTCTGAAACTGAAACACAACACATTCATGAGCTTGTATCACCTTAGATCTGTTTGCCAAAATGTATGGACTAGTTGATTGATGAAATATTTATTTGGTCTGGGTTTTGTATCACATTAGTATCATGAAAGGTAACAATAGCCAGGATGCTGATCCTGAATCTGCATTAGGTCCTCATAGCTGGCACCATGGTTTAAGCATAACACTTAAGATGCACTCATCTTTATCAGTAAATATGATAATAAAACAACCCTTTCCAAAACATATTTGACCATTTCTAAATTTGGAAGGGGGTATTTTTTTTCAGGTCAGTTTGCAAAAGAACTAAATTTTAGGATTCATTTTGAAATTACTTACATACTGCTAATCAAACTCAATCCTGAAAGACATGCTGGAATGTTGTTAGAGTTATCTGCCCTTGCAAATGACTACTTTCTGGGAGAAAAGAATTTCAACTGAAAGGATGAAGTCCGAGTTTTTAATATCAAATGATTACTAATCGATAATAAGGTATCAAGGGTTTCCACTGTAAGTTGATAACTGTCCCCCCTCCCCATAAAACATCATAAGAGCTTTCTATACCAGATAGACTGCTGATATCTCCATTGACTGGCGGTGGTGGTGGGTGATGGGCGGTGGTTGTAGTGGTGGTCGTACGAGAGCCGCGAGGCCGCAATCCTGGTATCTTCACCGTCGTGTGTACTAGCGGAATCTCCTTCCCGTGCACATCGTCCATGTAGTCCTGGCAACACAGGGGGGATATACAGCACTTGACTAACAACCAGGTACTTATTTAGGACTATGTTTGTTGACCTGGAGAATATCTTCAGTCTCCCCACTGATTGGCATATTATTCATAAGAATTAAGGATTGTTTTACGTCTTTTGTGCATTTATTGAAGGATAAAATCATATATTTTGTTACCATATTTGTAACAATTATGAAAAACCCTGGACAGATGGCAATTATGCTTTTACAATTACACAAAAGGCCACTATGAAAAAGATGTTTTCTGAAGACTTGTGGAATTAAAAATTAATTTCTAACCATGTATTCTCACAATTTTAGAAGGTATACACAACAAAATAACAATCTTTTTTCTATCTGTCCCACATATTCACTCTCAAGTGTTCTATACATAGCTGGGTCCAAAGTTCTCTGAAGTAGCACATGAATCCTCTTAAATCACAAATATCTAACAGAAGGGTTATGTCAAGAACCCTGTGACTTGTATGTGCCATTCCAACGCTGATTCCAACACAGCTGATGAGGTTGTACTTACATGTAAACTAGGATGGTACGTGAGCTTGCCCTGGTCTTGCAGACACACATATTTCTTCTTCCACTCCTTGTTCAAGCCATGACTCTTCTTGTACAAATAACCCTGAAATATCATGGAGCAAATCGTCTTAAAACATAGTGTTAACTATATGATGAAATAATCTCAGTGATTTGCTTTGAACATAATTTCAGTCATATCACAGTAAGTCAAATGATATGAGAGGCAAGACTTAAATAATGCATGTCTGCCATGCTGACACCATCAGTGAAACCACTGACTATGGGTAAGGTGCTGACAAACATCGAAAGGGCAAATATGGGATCAAAATTCATGAATTTTATAGGTTTTTGACTAGCCTAAGGGATGCAACTCTGATAACTGGGTCATCACTCACCCTCTGTTCCACTAGCACTCACTGATCACCCAGATCAGTTGCCTAATCAATGCAGTCCTGTCTTACAACCAGCAGACGTTGCACATACAACCAGCAGAGGTTGCTCTTACAACCAGCAGAGGTTGCACATACAACCAGCAGAGGTTGCTCATACAACCAGCAGAGGTTGCTCTTACAACTAGTAGAGGTTGCTCTTACAACCAGCAGAGGTTGCACATACAACCAGCAGAGGTTGCTCTTACAACCAGCAGAGGTTGCTCTTACAACTAGCAGAGGTTGCTCTTACAACCAGCAGAGGTTGCACATACAACCAGCAGAGGTTGCTCTTACAACCAGCAGAGGTAACTCTTACAACCAGCAGAGGTTGCTGGGGACTAATTCTGACCTAAAATCCATACCAGCCACCAAATATTGCTTAATCAGCAATCTTGCAGAAATTCGCATGGGTGGCAAGGCTAAAGTTCGGTGAAACCATCACCCTCAGTATGATGCAGACAGATCAAAACTCATCGTCAGACTCAAACCACAACCCATGACCAACCAGAGGATCACGCTGAATGAGCGAAAATTCAAGGTCGACCCAACACACTGACCTGTTTTAGCGGTATTGCCCGTCCACTGCCAAGCTTCTCCCCCTCACACTTCTTCTCATCCTCCTTTTTGGCCTGCAACACAACAAGTTCATCTCTACACCTCTCTTTCTCCCCACACAATTCTTATACTGCACCTATTCTAGGTGTCCAAGAATTCTATCCTTTTCACAATTTAACAAATCAACATTTTGAAGTGCCCGAATTGAATAATGCATCTAGTGTAGAAATTACTCCTTCGTTACTGTTTTCAAATATGGTGTTGAGAACATGAAGATATTTAATTTTGAACCAAGTTATCAAGCGACATAATAATTACTGATACTTTCTATTGAACAAAAAGTATGAACAGGAATGTACACGCCACACACACAGACAAGAAGAGAGGAGAACAAAGACTTACAAATCTCAAAACATATTTCCTACTCCATGATAAGATTTTCATTCTGAGATGACAAATTAGGCCATAACCATCAACACATATATTGTCAGCCCTAATCTACAGTTCTATATACATTTAATAATAGTATACCACACCAGTTTTCATGCATGTTAACTCCATAACAACAAAATATGTTTGCTTCAAAGGTAAACCCTGCTACATCCTTAGTAATTGTTATAAATTAATCTTACTATACAAATGCATTCATGCACTAACTGAAATAATAGCCAGTCTTGTATCAAAATCAGCTTACATTGTAAGCAACTCAAAGCATATTCATTCAACTTAACAAACACTGCTCAGTTGCAAGGAAGTTTGAAGCTAACACTGTTAAGATTGCAGCATTCTTTTGTCACAAAAATCAGTTTCATGCCAATGTTAATAAGTCAAGTTATTTGTTTACAGTACAGCAGTAGTCTAATTTCTATGGTTATTCCATTACTAACTGTAATGTCAACATTTAGTGCTTTTTGTATGTTTGTTATTTAATGACACTGTGCAATATTCCAGCTGCAGACAGGGCCTGTATTTGATGGAAGTCTGAACCAGAATATAGAGACTGATACTCTGAGCAACTATTCATGTTGTTTAGGTATGCTGGCATGCCACCAGCCAGGTATGTAACCACCTGCTCCGTTACAACCTCTACAACCTAGTTTAAGGACAAATTTAACCTTGAATCCCCAGCATCTAACAGTGGAAGGAAAATATCGCCAAATCCAGACACCAAGTGCCAAACCACGATATCACTGGCCAACATTTTGACTAAGGTTTAAACCAATTTGCACCCAGCGTCAGGATTTCACCATATTTTCCTGCCATGAATAAAATGCCTTTCATTTACTCGAATTATCAACTCTGCAATTCACACTTATCATTCACCAAGGAAGGGCAACACAACCTAAATATGTACATTATCATAGCTTAATTGATACTATTGTGAATATCATTTCCATGACAAGTTCTGATTTCTCTACTGAATATCAAAAGTAATCCTAAGAAGGACAATGGTCTATTTGCACAAAAGTATTAAGATCTATGACAGATTTTATTGAATGTTTTATCCAGACCATGAGCGATTTTGATGCCAGTAGCCTCCTTCTTTGGGGAATATATAAATCTAATCATTTCAATTGATTTTTATAACAGCCGATGCACAATCCTGGCACTATTCCGCAAAACGAACTGTGTTCCACAAAACAATCTAAGTTCAGGATGACCATAAACTGCAGAATTTAACATTTAACTTTCATGATGGAAAGGGCCCCTGTAGGACAAGAAATAGTTTTGGTGGTCCATGTAAACTTAACACTTGATGAGCCTTTCTGTTTCTGCCAATCTCATAAAATCAGATCTGAAGACATACCATTAAGGGTCTCCCAGAATGACATTCCAAACATCTGTCTGCCAATCTCAAAAAATCAGATCTGAAGACATACCATTAAGGGTCTCCCAGAATGACATTCCAAACATCTGCTTTGATGAATCTGAATGCATTTTAAAAAAATACCACGAAGAGGTTAACGTGAGGCATTCTGAATGAAGCACTGGTTTTCACTCATTCCGATGGGGGAAACATTTAAAAGGGTACAAGACTTTCCATACCTCATGAATGGTTAGACAGTCTCAGTTTTCAAATTGTGAATCAAGATCAAGACCATATTCCAAAGCACAGTCTGTATGGAACGAAACCAGTGCCACAAAGATCACAAAAACTGCTTTCTCATTGGCTAACATCAATTTCCAATTGGTTATTGATTGGTCAGTCGAAGTTTGTAAAAATTGCTGTGATATGACCTGCAATGGGATGTCCTCAGTTTACATAGATACGACTATAATGAGATTGTCTTTCCACAAGTGAATATTGTCCAACACATTTACATAGATCTGACTATAATGAGATTGTCTTTCCACAAGTGAATATTGTCCAACACATTTACATAGATCTGACTATAATGAGATTGTCTTTCCACAAGTGAATATTGTCCAACACATTTACATAGATTTCACCAAACATTTTAGAATTCAATCAGAATTTTAAACTTCCTTTCTAATGTTATTTCTGACAGAACTTGAGCAAACAGGTGAGTACAAACATGTCATTCCCGGACAAGGGTAGAGTAGACTGGTGGTGTGTCTACCTGGGAACACCATGCCAGCTTGGTGCATGAGACTCCTAAATAGACAACAAGGGTGTGTGGTGCGGCGGTGACATCAACATCTAGGTCTACGACAACACTGAGACTCCCTTTTACCTTCTAGAATAACACTGCTACTCTACTGAACACATTTGTGTAGATCCGGCTACTCTACTGAACACATTTGTGTAGATCCGGCTACTCTACGGAACATATTTTGTGTAGATCCACCCCTACATTAACTGTCCCCTTATACAAACAAGACTATTTTCCTCCTTCACATACCCAAAAAACTTACCATCGAAATCAATACAAATACCCATCACAAGTTTAGAACAAATGTTTCTCTCACCCTTTCATTCCCAAATCAGTAACACATTCCAACACCTCTTTCACTCCCAAATGAACATTTACACTCATTCCTTTAAGTTAACACATGACTTTATCCACCCCTCTGACTATTAGGTTGGGGTAGGCCAAGTGGTTAAAGCGTTTGTGACGCTGAAGATACTGGTTCGATTCCCCATGTGGGTACAATGTGTAAAGCCAATTTCTGAACTCCCCTGCCATATTGCTGCAATATTGCTAAAAGCAGCATAAAACCACACTCACTTACTCTCACTGGCAAGTCAACACATTTATCCAACCCTCCCATCTTTATCAACACAACTTTCAAAGTCTTCACAATACAATACAAACCTCAGCTACTTAATGACTTAAAACATTGTAAACCTTTTTTCTTCTACTTCTAATTATGAACATCTTAAACCAAGTGTTGCTTTAAAACGACTATTCCCAAAGTAACACAAATCTCACATTGCCTAGATATACATTCATATATGGTATAAATGCGATATCAACTGGCCCCTGTGGTGGATCTACAGCTACTAAAGATATGAACACCATTCAAACACACGGAAAGTTGTCACCGCTACACATGTCGGCTTACATTGAAGAGATTCGACCTCCGTCTGTTTTTTCTAGACTGCGTTGGAGTGCTTGTTGGAGTAGGCAAGTCTTTCCCTTCAGGCTTATCCTGTAAGAAGGTATATATGGCAGACATCGTTAGTCCTTCATCTATATGCTATAGCCAATCCCATGCTCTAAGTAATCACCTACCGTAATCATTGCAAACTGGGAATTATCAATCATTACTAAAAATTGATGAAGCAAAAAAAAAACTTAATTGCATTATAATTTAGATTTTATTAACTCCCAGTTTACAGCATCCATGAGCTTCATGCTGTTTCCTGATTGGCCACCTGTTATATTACCCATCATCCTGTAAGTGCTATCCAATCAAAGGCAGACAAAAAAGCCACCGTTTATATAAAAGCCATGCACACAGTAGCCCATGCATTCAAATCATAACATCAAAAGAAGTGAATTACAAAAATCAACACAAGAAATATTTATTTTAGGAAATCAAAAACAAAAGTGGCAATGACAACCTGAAATGGCAGAATCTGTTTTACAATGAATTGATGATGAGAAGGAAATTATTCAAGATATGAAATGTGAAATCACAGCACAACTCTAGGTTTGAAACCTATGTAGCTAGTCCACGCCCTAAATCATAATTCACACTACTAGTGCAAAAGTCAATGTGTGAGCAATCAGCCAAATTCAAGCCGCAAAAAGGTGATTGGTTAATCCTTCCATGCTGTGTAAAAGTTAATGGCTAGTTGCTATGGCGATGTGAGGGAGAAAAGTTCCGTCCAATCAGCTGTAGGCACTTACTAGTATGAGGCTGGATCTGACACGTGTCATTCTAGTCAGGAGAGGGGTGAAAGGACTATTGTCGTGAATTTGTAATTCCATCATGTAAGAATCCATTTTTTCCTACAAAAGGAGTCAGAGAATCGCATAATAAAAATAAATGTTAATTAGTTTCAGAATTAACTGGACACAGTCCATAAAGCAACGTCTATCCACTGTAAAAGTTATTAACATCAATGCGACACCATCTGATCAAAGGTTAATCATAAACCAACAGCATATGAATTTTACGGAACATCATATTTCCACTTACAGAAGATTTGTCTTTTGGACAAATATTTCCTCACATAAGGGATTTCCATTACATATTTCTTCAAGGGCTTATTAATAAGAGCTGTAAGTTTTAATTTGAAGATCAGTCAAATTTTAGTAAGTCTTAATCTGTATTAGTTGACAAGACATACAAGGGGCTAATGCTAGACCATTATGACAAGTACACACAAAGGAGAGAGCTGAATTAACTGACCGCATATACAGGCTCAGAGATTATATTGATACAAGTACCTATAATGACAAGCCCGGTATACATTGAGGGGTCAGTAATACTATAGTAGCCACTATATGACTTAACAAGAACATTAAATATATTTAACACAAGTTTAACCTAAACGTGTATATAATTTCTCTTCAAAGGAAAGACCATCAACCTTCCTCCCAAAATTTGAACTGAGAGTTTAATTTCCCTTTTTTAAACTAAAACCATAACAATCAGATCCAAAGAACTTTCCAAAGTAATACTTCTACAATTTATTTTTATTAAATCCTCATGGAGGTGTACATGATGAATCTGTCAACAAGATAAAACAAACTTCAGCTATCAAGTATTTTGAAAAAGTAAATTTTTTGTGATTGAATTGAATCCACCTTCAGGAATCTGTAAACCCCATCACAAATTTAATCTCAGTATGACAAATGTATGCCATCCAACTGAGCAAAAAATGTAGGAATAACCTATTTCTTTCTTCAAACTGTGCAATAAAAATATTATTTCTCATTCTAATGCATATTAACTCCATATTACAAGATGTCATGGTATTGCTTTGATCAAATAGTCTCTAATTAGGATAAAATGTTGCTAAAACACTACCTACATGTATATATCGCCTAAAAAGCTAAGCAAAACTTTCATTATTAATCTACCAGTAGTATTGGTAATTATATACCAATGAGATTATTATCTGTAACATAAATATATACAGCAGAGTATATGAACATTAGTTAACTTGGCACGAGTTTAGTATTACAGTTAATGAATTCTTGCTTATACAAGTTGATTTTCTTAATTTACCATCGCAAGGGCCTTAGCACTCTACCCTACATCTCTCTTGGTCCCAATATTTGCTTAATGTTCTTTAAGGGCACATTCAGCAATATTCCAACTGTATGATAACAGCCTTCAAATTATCCAATCTGGACAGACAAACCAGTGTTTTATGATAACTGTCCAGCCAGTCAGGACATGGCAAAACGTGGCGTCAACCAAATCACACAACTCAATAGGAGTCTGATCCTTGATGTAGTAAGGCAGATGTCAATAAAAAATACCCTCTAACTTGGACCATGTATACAGTACAAAATATACATCATCAGTTGCAGGGAGAATACTACCTATCATGGTTGTATCAGATTGTGACTCGTGCCTTTGAAAGACCAACTGGGTATTACAGGAAACACTTAGAAAAGGGTATAATCTCTAATTCATCTGTAGCTTGGAAGTATTCAAACTTTTGTGATTATGAATCTCAATCTAAAATGGTTCAATCCACTTGTTACCTGAAGAAATCTAACAACCTAACCCCTAATTGAGGGTGGAGAAAAATCCCTATATCAGTATACATCTGTGTACCAACAGAAAAGGGTCTGAATGCATGCATGTTCATGTGGCCTTCAGTGAGTTCCGAGCACAGTGAAGGCACTGTCTATATTACGACAGCTGTTATTGTATTTCTTTACAGGTTAAATACCAGATGAAATCACTGACTTTTTTAGGCTTATTTCAAATCTAGATAGATAGATCCACCTTCCTGGTTGAACCTGTGGTATAACGACCATATCATCACACGATGGAACCCATCTTCATATACACCAGTGCCCTTATTCTCAAAGCGTTTGCAGCTACGGCCAAGGTAAGTCTATGTTGTGCTATAGTAGTTACAAAAGTCGTAGTGCTATGATCGCTTTGTGGACATGAGCCCAGATGCTAGTGTTTCAAGACTTGTCTAGACTACGGACTTCAGTAAGTACAGTCTGTTATACTGAAAGAAACACTGACAGAGACACAGACGAGACAATACACTACAGAGCATACAAGAGAGTGGATATGATGTTAGTAGATACACGCAGTAATGATGGAAGGCATGCACACGTCTCAGACCAGACGCGCTTCCACAGACTTACACTCATGAAAGTGGGCTTCAGGGATTGTTTGTTTTTCCGAGCCAAAAAATTGGCCGTGGAATGGTGGACATGTTGGCGAAGATCAGTAGCTCCCTGTCAAAACAAAGGTCCACTCACATGCATTTTGCAAAGCTAAGCCATGGCTGGGAGGTAGGGGACAACCCTTTCCAAAACATAGGGTCACAAATACTGTTCACTTATCAGATTATGGGAAGGTACTCTTAATACTGACCCAAACTTGACAATTTGAAACTCGAGTTCTTCTGAAAGATTCCAGTTTTGAAGGTTTCTTGTTTAAATTATAATTATTAGAAAAGACTTTCTTAGCACTTCTTAATCTTGCTGTTTGGAATTTCAGCATTTCAAATGACACATTCGTGTTTAAGCAGATCTAAAATTTAGTAATGAGGTACATAAATTAAGCTGATTTTTCAACCATTTTGATCAGTTCTAAAATGATTTCTGAATCCCTCTAAATTTGTAATTTAACATTTTGTTCAAAACAAGTCAACAACTGATTGAACTATTAAGCCAATAGTCAACAGACTTATGGGAGACATTGTAAGTTAACAGAACGATAATTTGCCATGTTGTCCCCTCCTCTCTAACCTCGGGGGGCACATCCTGCTCTTGGTTGACACAAAGCTCCATGTACTATTGCAACAAAAGTCCTGGCAATTTGCCCAAGTAGCCCTAGCGAGAAGCTCAGTTCACCTTAAGCACCGACTGCACAAACATACATCTACATACCGCCTGCATATTCAAGAACTGTAGATCAATAATCTAGTATTATTAAAATTACTGCCAAAAAATATTTTTACAAAAAATGTCTTCAATCTGGTTCTGAAATAACTTTTAACATCCATTAGAAAGAAATGGGTAAGTCATATTAAATCCCAATTTGACCAAGAACGTTTGCGATTCAGTTTTAACAATTTATTTGACAATTTTGAAATTAAATGAAGTCACTTATCTTGCATTAAAAAATGTCATATAGTTAAGCTATTTGAGAATTAACAATTTTGGGACATCATTGCCTCTGAGACATGAGACTGTGTGAAACAGTTCATCCACCTTCTGTATATATTGTGCAACAATGCTAAAGGCAGTCTATCAAACAAAGAGATAGAAGTATTGCTCTCAGGTGTACCACTGTAATCAGACTGATAGAAGTGGTAGCACTTTCAATAATCCCCATTTTCCAGGGCTCTCTGAACATGATTCTATCGTCCTAAAGAGCAATACAAGAACAAGATGCCAACGGAAATGAATACAACATTGAAATAAAACCAGCATAGAGGATGACAAAACATAAAATGAAACTGAATTAAAACTGAAACAAAAATACATGATGCAAAGAAGGCTTTCCCCTTTTTACTACTTGGATCAAAGAATTTCCTCCATAAATCTTGCATTAAAGGATTGTTTTGTCATAGATTGCATGAAAATAATTGCATAGCCTTTCATTTCAGACATCTTCAACAATCCCTCCAAAGTGTTTAGTCCTGTTTGGTATATTGTTTAACACTTCACTAACAGTATTCCAACTATCTGGTCTCTAAATAATCAAGTCTGGAGCAAACTAGTGATTGATATCACGAGCAACGATCCACACTGTTGGGGAATGCTGACATACAATCAACCAAGTTATTAAGACTGACAAATCTTGCTGGTGACCTATTCCAACTGGAATCTCCAAAAGGGTTTTGATATTCAAAATGGTTGACTTGGGTTCCTTTTCAGGTTTACTCCTGTTATTTGACTCTAGGGACCCAAACATCTTGAACTGTTACCATTTGGTTTACAGTGAGGACCCCTTGACTTTCATGCTTAATTTCAGCACAGCTTTATTTTTGTGTATCACTACCAGATGCATTTGCCTTTAAGAACTTTGAGTCCAACTCTGTTGGTTCTTTCAAAATTTTACTAACAGTGCAAAGCTTGGATGAAATAAGATAGAGGTAAACAAATCTATCTTTTCCATCTTTGGCAAACATCTTTGATCCAAGTAACAAATCAGGTTGGGCTGAATGACACATGACATGCATATGCAACGATGCTTTCTTAACTAGCAGTAGGATTCATTCATGAAATATGACAGTGGTGCTTATGTTCATGTACTGGGTAGCATGAAAACAAGCATAGGTGATTAATGGGGAGAATACAACAAAATCATCAAAAAAGCAAAAGCTCAGGAACGGAAAGTAAATGAGGAACTATGATAAATGAACTAAATGAACTAAATGAACTACCACTCTGACAGTCAGAGAACATGAGTGAGTGAGTGAATTTTATTTCTCCAGAAATACTCCAAAATAGTTAGGGGTCTCCTAATTCTTTCACATCCCCAAAGCTAATCTGTCATGCCAAATGTCATAGATGACCAAGTGCAGTAATGTGAAAGAATGTAGCAGTCCTTGATATTTTTCAGCAGTTTATTCCAGCAATACCATGGCTGTATGTAACTTAACAAGTCTGAACAGGCAAAACCTGGGACCCTAAACATGACCAAAGACCAACATGTCATGTCATGGAAATCACGGGATCTGATCACCGAGCCAGATCACCAGAATAATTTGAGTGAATGAATAAGGTTTTACACCTCTTTAAGCAATATTTCAGCAATACTATGACAGGAGACACCCAAAGTTGGCTTCATACATCATACCCATGTGGGGAATCAAACCCAGGTTTTTGGCATGATGAGCGAATGATTTAAACTGCAAGACTACCCACCATGACGAATCATTTGAGTTGTATTCTTGAAATCAAGAACTGATTGAAAGATGTTTTGTATCATAGTTTGGGACAGACAAACCAGAGCTGTCAACAGAAGAGGCAAGCAGCCCCACACTAGGTAAAGGCACACAGACAATGAACAGTTGGCAGCTGGATGCTTGTTTATCCATCAGGACACACATCAGGCAAGTACACTTCTTTCTTCCATGAATATCATTTAATGTTTTCTGACTGCCAGATGCTAATTAGATAGGATGACATGCATGATATACTACTCAACATTTGACAAGCACCAAAATAGTCTTTCATCAGGTATGGTCCTTACCAATTGTTGAATAGTATGTACTGGAACACATCACTTAACAATGTCATGGAGGTGAAGGCATAATTCTATTTTTATGGGTTTTACTTGTTGGCAAATGACTTTGTTTTCAGCATTTTATGTACATGATTCTATCTTCAGTTCACGTCCATGATCTGTATGTAGGTTTGTCAAGTGAGGGAGTGAAATGCACATGCTAAATATTAGTATATACGTTAAATACACATATTGTCGTAAGTAGAACATTCACATGGGTTCTGTCTTCACCAACAATTTGGGCAATGTTACGTCAGTGAACTCAGCATTATTTTCATAAATACTATGTTCATACAAACATTTCTCAGTTTTATATAATTTCCTTTGACAAAACACATCTTCAAAGATTAATTTTCTCTGAAGAAAATTCTAAAAAATCCTCATGTGCAGGGTATTAAGATGCTAAAACAATAAAGGTTCTTTGTGAATATAACTGTGCTCATTTAAGTGAAATTATTGTGCAAGTGGACTATCTGCCTTCCCAGTCAGGCTTGTGAGTTATCTGCCCTTGCCATAGAGGGAACTACTGGGTGATGAGCTACCCTACACCAAAGCCCTTCACCAAACTGAATGAAACAGAGGATGTGAGAGGTAGAGTTCTGCTCATAATCGAAAACACTGCTATTGCTCCCCAAAATCTATCAAATTTTAAAAATAAAAATCCTTTTATAAAAAAAGACAAAGTTTTAAACATAAAAATCCTAATCCCCCATGGGCAATTCTTGCACAATCTTAAATATCCCTTTCCATCATGGTTTACAAAATTTTCATCTCCCTAAACAAACTCAAATACATTTTTCAGTATATGAAATGTTTTCTTTCAGACCTTGTTCCAGGAAATGTCATCAAAATTGCCCATACCAATATCTAAGTATTTTCTACACTGTACATAAATATATCTGTTGCACTGATAACAAATTATTTGTGTCCCTGATGCAAATTTCCAAAGATGATAAGCAGTCCGTGTTTAAGATGCTGAGACAGTGAGTCAGGTGAGAAAGGGCAGAGTGCAGAATAAACAGAAACTTACACTAAAGGAGTTGGATTTCTGAACAGAAGCGGTGGGTTTTTTATTTTTCCGAACAGCCAGAGGTGTCGATGCTGTTACTTCTCTAAAATCAACTCTATCTTCCTACAACAAATACGACCCTTCTGCATGAAAACACTTCACAATTTGGTTGATAGGATCAATAACATCAAGTATCAACCACATGGTAATGCTAAGTTGACCAGGGGACTGACATCTATCTAAAACAGAAGCAGCCCATTCCTGAGGTCCAGTATCTGGAATCATACAAAGGAATTTGTGATAATTGGGTCTGGACGCTATTGTGAACAGTTTTTCACTCACAACACACCTTGTCAGCTTAATGCTAAGTAAATGCCCTTGTGAACAGGTGTTTATCTTTACCTCTTTGTTTAAACCCCAGAGGAGTGAGTGAGTGAGTGAGTGAATGAATTTAGTTTTATGCTGCTCTCAGCAATATTCCAGCTATATGGCGGCAGTCTGTAAATAATAGTCTGGACCAGACAATCCAGTGATCAACAACATGAACATCGATCTCACGCAAACCCTCCGAGGAATGGTATGATGCTGACAAACCAAAGACCAATATAACAGCAAATCAGGGATTCCACCTACTACCAGCAGATCCTGGCATCACAAAGGTTCACAACTCTGCACAGTGAACTGAGGCTCTTCAGATGACACCTGTGTTCCGTCACCCATGAGATACCAGAAAATGGAGACTTTCAAACAACGCCTGGCACAATGTCTTCATGTTGGAAGATCTGTGTAGTAATTGTATCTTTTGTTTCTCGTTGAATTGCAATTCAGGTATAATTAGAATTAACATGGGGATCATAAAACAATTACGTTAATGTTGATCAACAGGCTAAACCATATGATTTCAATATTTGTCTTCCATTTAATCCAGCTCTCAGCAGTATCCCAGCTAAATAACAGCTGTCTCTTTTATACAATTTTGTCTGAACCAGACAATTTGGTGATGGACATCATCACCATGCTCTTCACAAATGGGATACAATGACATGCATCAGCAAAGTCACTGAGCCTGACCACCCAATCCCGTTAGTCGCCTCTTACAACAAGCATGCATTGAAGACCATTTTTAACCATCCATCTTGTATGTCAATGGATACTGCATTTTTTTCCACGTTTTAAAGGATAAACCATTTAAGATATACAAGGATATAAACGAAGACAACACAGTATAAAATATGTCAGGTCCACGAGACAACATGTACGAGAGTCATGCATACTTAGTTTGTCATTAGTTAGTGCTTAAGTGGATCAAATTTGTAGGTAAGTTAAAGAGTGAATATATTGAGTACAGGTGTTTTTTCAAATTCATAAAAGGTAAGAAAAGTTTGGAAAAAAATAAGAAAAGAAAGGATACTTGAATACCAAGCAACTTAAACAACCAAGAAATTCATTGGATGATGGGTACAAATTTGCATATTTAAACATATTTCCTGAAAAAGAATACTTAATGGTTAGATATCTGAAATAAACATTTCAAAAATCATTTTCAAAATATGCAGCATACAGTCAAACATTCAATCAGTGTGTAAAAGTTTGTTCCCAATGTGTGAGACACATCACAGACATATACAGATTGTCTATCATATACATTTAGAAACATCTTGGAGAAAATCCTTTTTAGAAACATGTGAAGCACTTGAACCTTACATCAATCACAGAATTAAATACATACATTCATATTAGCCAAAGACTTATTCTGACACGAGAGAGTAGTGATATTCAGGCAATTACCCCCAGAGTCTACAATCTTGCTGTACCTACACTGGCCTGACCCGGTGGGCTTCTGACACGGGAGAGTAGTGATATTCCGACAATTACCCCCAGAGTCTACGATCTTGCTGTACCTACACTGGCCTGACCCGGTGGGCTTCTGACACATCTGGGAGAGTAGTGATATTCAGTCTACTATCTTGCACCTACCCCCGAGTCTACGATCTTGCTGTACCTACACTGGCCTGACCCAGTGGGCTTCTGCTGTGCCTACACACGCTACTAACACAGAGAGTAGTGTGATATTCAGACAATTACCCCCTGAGTCTACGATCTTGCTGCACCAACACTGGCCTGCGCTACTAACCTGTGAGTCGGGCTCGGGAAGAGGTGGGGGGAGTTGCTGGGGAGGAGGGAGATGCTGATGCTCCTTCTTCTTCCTATCTGACTTCTCCTTTGTGGATTCTCGCATCTCCTTCTCTTTGGTACTGCTCCCTGACTGCTGACCCTGTAGAGAGTGAGTGAGTGACAAATGAAAAAGTAAGAAAAGCACTCACTGAATTAACTTCTTTGTTTGTTGTTTACACTAAGTGATATTTTAGCAATATGATTGCAGTTTCTTAACAATCAAATCTGAACCAGTCAAACCAGTGATTGATATAACAAGCAGCATTCCACGCCTTTGGGGTATAACAAGCAATCGTCACCAAGCCTAGCCACCTGATAAGCTGCCTCTTACAACCAGCATTGGTTGCAAAGTACCTGTTCCAACCCTGACCACATCTCATGCTGTCTTTGTGTTCTAAAGAGTAACCATTGATATGTCTTTCAGGTACGACAAGTCAGTGAAAGTGTCTGGTTTTAAAACCCTGAATATATTGTTCTGGATACAAGTGCACCAAAAGCTAAACAAGTAGACTGCTCTCCCTACTGACAGTGTTGTTCGAGATACCCTTCCAGAACAAGACTGAGCAAATCACCTGGTTTACTCCTTGCCTGTTGTTCTGGGTGCTGGTTACAAGCCCCAGCAATTCACCTGGTATTCTCTAACAACAACTCACCTGGTTCAATCCCTGACTAGTTTTTTTCAGGATACAGGTTCGATATCAGCCCCTACCACTCACCAAGTTCACCCTTTACTTGTGTTGTTCTGACACTTGTCCCTTCTAAGCCCTAACAACTCACCTGGTTTCACCCCTTATCTAGTGTTGTTCTGCACAATTGATCATGCAACCCCCAACAACCCACCTGGTTCACCCCCTGACCAGAGCTGTTCTGGATACTAGTCCCCCTGTAACCCCCAACAACTCACCTGATTCACCCCCTGACTAGTGTTGTTCTGGATACTAGTCCCCCTGTAACCCCAACAACTCACCTGGTTCACCCCCCTGACTAGTGTTGTTCTGGATACTAGTCCCCCTGTAACCCCCAACAACTCACCTGGTTCACCCCCTGACTAGTGTTGTTCTGGATACTAGTCCCCTGTAACCCCCAACAACCCACCTGGTTCACCCCTGACTAGTGTTGTTCTGGATACTAGTCCCCTGTAACCCCAACAACTCACCTGGTTCACCCCTGACTAGTGTTGCTCTGGATACTAGTCCCCCCTGTAACCCCAACAACTCACCTGGTTCACCCCTGACTAGTGTTGTTCTGGATACTAGTCCCCTGTAACCCCCAACAACTCACCTGGTTCACCCCTGACTAGTGTTGTTCTGGATACTAGTCCCCTGTAACCCCCAACAACTCACCTGGTTCACCCTGACTAGTGTTGTTGTGGATACTAGTCCCCTGTAACCCCCAACAACTCACCTGGTTCACCCCTGACTAGAGCTGTTCTTGATACTAGTCCCTTGTAACCCCCAACAACTCACCTGGTTCACCCCCTGACTAGTGTTGTTCTGGATACTAGTCCCCTGTAACCCCCAACAACTCACCTGGTTCACCCCTGACTAGTGTTGCTCTGGATACTAGAATCCCCTGTAACCCCCAACAACTCACCTGGTTCACCCCTGACTAGTGTTGTTCTGGATACTAGTCCCCTGTAACCCCAACAACTCACCTGGTTCACCCCTGACTAGTGTTGTTCTGGATACTAGTCCCCTGTAACCCCCAACAACTCACCTGGTTCACCCCTGACTAGTGTTGTTCTGGATACTAGTCCCCTGTAACCCCCAACAACTCACCTGGTTCACCCCCTGACTAGTGTTGTTGTTCTGGATACTAGTCCCCTGTAAGTCCCCCCCCAACAACCCACCTGGTTCACCCCCTGACTAGTGTTGTTCTGGATACTAGTCTCCCTGTAACCCCCAACAACTCACCTGGTTCACCCCCTGACTAGTGTTGTTCTGGATACTAGTCTCCCTGTAACCCCCAACAACTCACCTGGTTCACCCCTGACTAGTGTTGTTCTGGATACTAGTCCCCTGTAACCCCCAACAACTCACCTGGTTCACCCCTCACTCTGGATACTAGTCCCCTGTAACCCCCAACAACTCACCTGGTTCACCCCTGACTAGTGTTGTTCTGGATACTAGTCCCCTTGTAACCCCCAACTCCACCTGGTTCACCCCCTGACTAGTGTTGTTCTGGATACTAGTCTCCTGTAACCCCCAACAACTCACCTGGTTCACCCCCTGACTAGTGTTGTTCTGGATACTAGTCCCGGTTACCAGTGTTCCGGAGCTAGATGTGGACTGACTGCTGGTGCTATGACTATCATAGGGCTTGCTGGACTGTGTGCCATAGTAGGATCGTTGTGAGTGGTTTGGGGTACTTGGGACAGGGGTCACAGTAGATGGTAAAGATGGGTACCGGGTCTGTACTATCCTTTGGCAAGCTGTAAATCAAACATGTACAGAATATTAGTGACAAATAACAATTACATAATCATAAAAGTTTACTACAAATTTAAAGATACCATTAGCATGTGTTTGCGAATGAATCACAATCAAATAGTGAATGATAGCAGGTATTTCAGAAAGCTGGCCATTTCCTGCAGTTCATGTAGCACCCATCACAAATGCATGCAGGGTTTTACAGGACGTGAATTCCTGCGTCCTATACACATAAAAACTGACATATCCACAAGGACTCAGGAAAAGTCCAAATACTTTTTGTAAAAATTCCAATCAAGTGACAATAAGTTATCACTGAGTTTGCTACTAGCTGGGTTATGGTATTATTTGCAATTTAATTACTGTAACAATGTGATGATCATGATACACAATACAATAACAGTATTAATAATAATATTTAAGTGTCTGGGTCCCCATTTTGTTGTCCAGGACCCCTGAAAATTAAGGGTATGAGTCCCAGGGACCCTCAAATACAGGAGTCAATGTTAATCCCTGTGCATGAAAAGGCAAGTAAACCTGTTAACCTGAGAATAAAGAAAACAAATAAACACCCCCACCCCACACCTGAAAAATGCCAAAACAACCAACTGTAACATATGGCACAAGCCATAACAGGGAATTATACAGGACATCACTTTTTGTCACTCATGCATCAAATTCAAACGTCCTTCACATGTCAGCCATAAATTGTTTGGAAATTTACTGAGGCCTTGAAAGTCTTAACCCTGTTTCAAACATAAGTAAAACCCTTTACCAATGTCAAAAAATATTTATAACTGATATGGAGGAAATCTACACACATGACTTTTACAGAACAAAATGTGAGTGCTATATATTAACTCTGATAGTGATTTGTGAGAAAGTTTAACACCAGCCAGCAATGTTCTGCCTGTATTAGGTGGTCTGCAAGTAACTGTCTGGACGAGGCAAAGAAGTGACTGATGATAATACTAATGATCCACATAATGCACAGCTGGATGATATGCTATCAGCTAAGCCACATCTCCAGACCACCAGATTGAATTTAGTGATTCTTACACACCACAATAGAGTGTTGATAATGTGTTCTCACCCTGGTCTACACAGCATGGATTCTTTCAGTTCATGGCTGAACAGATTAAAGCATTCTTAATCCCTTGGGCATATCTCCATGCCTTTGGTTTAGACTAACAATCGCAGCTTCGAGTTTATCAGCATGGTCCCTGGACCATATTATTGTCTCAAAGCCCCGCCCATTCTGTAGTGCTTTAATCTCAGGCTCCCATTTCACTGGGGAACCTTTTAAGCTTAAATGGAGTTGCCTGTTTCTATCAAAATTGACTGACTGAGTTTGGTTTTACGCCGCTTTTAGCAATATTCCAGCAACATCACGGCGGGGGACACCAGAAATGGGCTTCACACATTCTACCCATGTGGGGATTCGAACCCGGGTTTTCGGCGTGACGAGCCAACGCTTTAACCACTAGGCTACCCCACCGGCCCTATCAAAATTGAACATTTTCAGAAACCAACCATTAAAGTCTTAGAATGGTAATCACATACCACATGAGGAGCAAGATATACTCCAAAATGTTGTGTTCCTCATATTACAGAAGTTGACACTAAAGGATTTTCCACACTTTTTGATTAAACTATGGTATAACAATACCAACACATATGACTGTTTAAAGTTAAGCATGAAAGTCAAGTGGTCTTTGTCATAACCCCAATGAAAAAAGATAACATTATGAACTTCCTAGATTCAAATACTTTGTCAGCAAAACTTAAGAAACCTATGACCCTTTAATTTCAAACACTGAAGATGATGTAGTGTTTGACAACATGAGCAACAATCCATGCAATAGGATAACTGACTGACTGAGTTTGGTTTTATGGCGCGCTTTTAGCAATATTCCAGCAACATCACGGCGGGGGACACCAGAAATGGGCTTCACACATTGTACCCATGTGGGGATTCGAACCCAGGTCTTCGGCGTGACGACCCAACGCTTTAACCATTAGGCTACCCCACCGCCCCCAATAGGATAACAATGACATGTGATCAACCAAGTCACCTAGACTGACTGCCCAATCTATTCAGTCATCTCTTACAACAAGATGGTTTGCAAGGGACCTGTATTCCAGACCAGAATACCTAGGTAAACTTATCTCTTCAAAGCCACAACATTAGTTACTGTCATACTGACAGAAACGTGGAAGTTCTTAATTCCAATCTGCAAGGTTTACCCTGACATTTCCTGCAAGCAGGGCCAAATATCAGCCATTGAGCATGTCCAAATAAACCCCTGAACTTCCCATGTGTCATAATATGAAAAACAAACAAAACCACCCTCACTGTACGACAACAACAATCTCTTTTTCAATTCCTAATACGCAAAAAACATCACTATCTGCACAGGAAAAACACAAAACCTGAACTGTCATGCAAGACAAATATTACTGCAGAAATCAAGATGTTTCCAGAATTCAAACAAGATAGAAAACAGAATCGGATTTCATATCACAAACATCATAATCTAGAAAAGAATTAGATAAAACAACAATACTTGCCCAGTAGAAGAGACAAAACAGACATCACTGTGTATCCTTTGTGAACAGGCCTAAATATTTTCTTTGTCAATAGAAAGCATCCCTATGACTTAACCCTCTGCTGCATTTCTAGCTAATGATAAAAAACTTCTTCCCGCTGTACTGTCTTACCATCCTGAAAGACTCTCTCGACATTTAAACCATATGTGGCACACGTTTCATAGTAGGAGCATCTCTTCAAATCGGAGGCAAGTTTTCTCGCCCTCATGTCGTCAATTAGGCGAGGATTACTTTCGCTTATGGCATCTGAAAAGAGAAATGTAAACGTAAATGGAATTCCCACATATGAGTTTGAGATAGCTGATAAAGAATTTTAAGCCTCAGAATAAATAAACAAAGCTTTGATTCACTTATTTATAGAAGATGCTTCCTTTATGACATTTTCATGTGATTTATGAAAGATAATAATCAAAGTTTACAAATCTCTCAACATCATGTAGAGATGGAATTTTATCAAATGTCAGCACAAATGGGAGTGTGTATTATTCCAAAATATTTCACAGGGATCTGATCTTCTTAAACTTTATTTGATTTAAAAAAAAAAGAAGTCTTTGTTTATTATGAGTTATTAGCAGAGTGCAGAACATAAAGATTTTCTGATGTAGTTCATCTCTTTCCAACAGTCATTAATAACCGAAATACAACTTCAGTCTACGTCTTGTATCACACAATAATACTGTACAATATACAATGTGTATTACAGAGACTTTTTTTAACGTTTCCAACATTTGTAATACAACATAGGTCTTTGTTTGGTACCAACGCTTATGAAGATGTTGAGAATGTTTAAAAAACAAAGGAATTGTTTTGAGGTAGTTTATTTGCTTACTACTGTCATCAACATCTAGGACACAACATTCAGATATTGAGGAAGAATAAGTTACAAAACTAGGGTTTTTAAAAAAATAAATTTTATATCTTTTTTGCTTCAGACATTGATACTCAGGATACAAAAGACGGTTATCAGAGGGAGCTTCTGAAACCTGAGAAATAATATCTTTTCTGTATCCCACTGATTGTTTAGAATTGCAACAAAACGTTCCGACTTCAGGCATATTATGCCGAACAGCTGATCTGACTTTAATGCAAGAGCATCCGGTATTCCGGGGACTATTTTGTGGTAATTAGGCATGTGATAGATGTACACAGATGTCACCTCACTGCCGCATGTGGTCTCTGAAATCTACACACTTCAATAAAGGAAAAAGAGTTGTGTGTGTATATTTCACATCTGGACTTCATTTGTATAAAAACATAAATTTGCTGAGTTTTTCCTCCCAAATATTTTCCAATTCTCTCCCAGCATGGAATGCGGAAGTGTGATGTGGAGAATCAGTGCAACACTCATTCTACATTGTGTAAGACTGGAAACGACATTTGAGTAGAACCACATTGTCTAACACAGCTCAGCTTGGTCTTTCAAAAGGGCAACACATTTTCCAAATTCTCACATTTCAAAGAAATCTCTTAATGAATGAAATCTGGGTTTTGGGTTCAGATGTAGGAAAAACAATTATTTTTCCCAGTTTATAATTCAAGTGTGATATTTAGTACATGCAACTACCACTAATTTCAAGCAATTTGAACCTTGGTTCCTGTTCATGGAGGAAACGAGAGCCTGGTAGACCAATTTACTGATTAGGCTGCAAGGTAAGAAAGTAATTACTGCTGGACATACATGTGATGGTGCTGCTACCGTAACTTCCTCATCAGCTTGCATAATTACATTATCTCCTCAGAACTATATTGCCTAAAATATTCCAGACCAAACACCTTTCAGCAACATCACAAGAAACCATCACTTTCTTTTAGATTTGAAATTTACATATCTTCTAAGAATTCAACTGGTATTTTTAATGTTTCATATTAATGGTCCTATATTTCATTGCGAGAATTCAACAAATTCTTTCACTAACCCTTAATTAATAATGGTTTAACCTTTTTGGTATGTAATAATTAATGGATCTTGACTTGGATTAAACTCTACACTGGCCATCTGTTATTTGGTGGTTAAATGTTCTTCTATTTCATGTATGACCTGGGGGTGTTGCTATTTGCATGCTGGTGCTCACATGGAATGATTTCAAGCATAACAGTTGCCATGGTTTCAAAGACAGTTTTGGTATTTTAGTGGCACTTTGGAACTCTCGTCCCATTATCATGCAGAATCCTCATGTATTTCATGAAGGATTTATAACTTCTCAAAACATAAACAGGGCTCGATTTAATGCTTTGTTACTTGCTCTGGTGCAACCCAATACTACTAAGTGCAACCTAGTTATTAGTCTAACTTGCACCAGGTGCAAGTCAATTTTTGAGACTTCAGCTGGAAAACAGAATGATGAGGAACTGACTTGGAAGAATGACTCTGATGACTGTATGAGCAGTGACTGAAGGACATATTGTTCATGATTTTTTAGGAAGTAAGATAACTAATCTTATCAGTCCCAGATTTCTTTTGTTTTAATATTCTAAACTATCATTACCAAAAGTCAAGCAACATATTTTATACAAGATTTTATATTGAGCAGCAGGCGCAACCTATTTTTATCTGATGCAACAAGATTTCTACCTAAGGTTGCACTGGGTGCAAGTAGGTTTCATTTCTTTAAATCGAGCCCTGCATAAAGTAATAATTCAATAATAGAAGATGCATCGTATTAAATACAAGTTGCTGAAATTACATTTAAGGATGAAATTACAAAAGATATTTATTAAATGCATTGTAAGTTGAGTGCTCCAATGAGTATCAAACAATTTTTCAGCTACAACATACAAAAAGGATATTCTTTTGGAAAGAAACTTGAAATTTTGGAGCAGGTGGAGAGCATTTTTCAACTAGTCAAAGAAAATGGGATGCCATTCTGCTACCACAATTTATGTTATATTAGCAACAAGAAAAAAGATATATGATGCAAGATTATGTTATTAATGCAGACAACAACTTCCACTAAATGTCAATTGGGAAAGATTAGTCACATCACAGAAAATGCTACAGGCATTGCTTGTGTTTTCATGTTCTTTCATCATTCAGGTCTGAAGCTTTGTTTTTTAGCATTGCTTTCAGCAATACTCCAGCTATATAACAACTAAAGTAAATATTCAAGTCCAGACAATAAACCTACATTTTTAACTTTTAACATTAAAAGTTGCAAAAAGGACAACTGGATTTCCATACAATTTTAAAAAAACTGAATCACAATGCATCAGTCTTGAGATAAATGTTTCCTCCATTTTAATGTCAACTCCTTGCATGTCAACTGCCTCTGTTCTGTGAAAGAATGGTTTTTGGCACTAAAAATATTTATCATATCTAAACATTTGGAGCCACAGTATTTACTATCATGTTATTATTCACATGCTGTAGTTGATATTTTGGAGATACTGAATGTATTTTACTTCCTTGGATCCAGTTTACCAGGGATTCTTAAACCAATGAGTACCCATAGTTAAAATAACTGTTCAGGGAACTTATTAAATCTGAATTTCATCTGTTCATGTCCAAAATGTGTCAGATGCTACCGAAGTTGATGACAGTGATATATGTTTCAGGTAAATATAGCATCTACACTGACATCACACAGCACCTGGTGGCAGTGGGTAGCCTAGTGGTTAAAGTGTTCGCAAGTCATGCTGAAGAAATGGGTTAGGTTCCAACATGGCTACAAAGTATCAAGCTGTTTTAGGTGTCCCCTGACGTGATAATGCTGGAATATTGCTAAAATCGGCATATAACCTCAATCACTCACACAGAAACTAGAAAAATACAGTTTGGGTGATTTGTTTTGAGCATAACACATATATAAGCAGATCATCTGGAGCTGATACAAGCTCGAAGACCCTGTTTGTCATACTGAGAAAGAATATACCCTTCTGGGTGAGTGAGTGCAGTGAGTTGGAACACTCAGCAAACAATATGCTGTAAATAATCGAGTCTGCAGATAATCCAGCGATCAACAGCATGAGCATCGATCGTTAAATTAGACCAGTTTCAGTTGATGTGCATACCAACTTGTAATACAAACCAATAATAATGATCTGAATCTATGATCATTTGTTAAACAACTGTTATCCTAAGTTTAATAAAATTCTGATATTTAAATGTTCAGTTGGCAAGGTAAAATTATGAGGATTCCCAATCTTAATTTCACTTTATTCAATTTACTTTCTTGTATAAAGTGAAATTCATCGGTACGTTTTCACTGCAAACAGACGATAGGCTACCCAACTGCCCCCCTCCTGAATGAAAGGAATGAAACTATAAACTGACTGACTGACTGAGTTTAGTTTTACGCCGCTTTTAGCAATATTCCAGCAATATCACGGCGGGGGACACCAGAAATGGGCTTAACACATTGTGCCCATGTGGGGAATCGAACCCGGGTCTTCGGCGTGACGAGCCAACGCTTTAACCACTAGGCTACCCCAACGCCCCATGAAACTATAAACAGTATCACATAATCAAACAGTTCGGATCATTTCAATGTAAATCAGCAGACACTACCATGTAGTCAAGTTTGTTCTTCTTACAACCCATATTAGTGTTTTACTTGTACAGCAATTTTACTTCTGGGCTCAGAGCTGTTCTAGGCCTGAAATCTCTGCAGCTCACTGTCAGCATTCACAGATATAACTCTGACAAGTCTGTATCAGACATCAAACATGTGCATGTTGTCTCTGCAAGTCTTATCTAGATCTGAGAAGGGAGAAGTGTTATAGGCATCGAGGGAAAACATGCAGGACAGACTGAAAAAGATAACATCTGTTGCATGCTAGAAGGATATTGAATTTCACGATAGAAATTTAAACCATATTTTGAGCGACATCAGGAAAACTGGTGCTTATCAGATGGATGGCAAAAAAATATTTTTTTTAATGTCTGTCAACATTCCAAGAAAATGGATGAAAACATATGCTTTAATGTGTTCAATCTTTTGAAATTATAGTGATACAAATGTTATAATTACTGGTGTAATTTAATAAAGCTATGGTACAGTGACCTCATACCGTACATTACCGTCTATAAGCCAAATTTTGAGGACCAAAAAATATGTTTGTGGAAGGGGGTCGTCTTATCTATGAGATACAATTTCACAGAAATATTTTTTAGCTCGCCAGTGCCCTTCCAGGACGATGTTACAGGTTACCGGTACATCTGCCAGGATGTTTGCCACGATTACAGCGTTTATGTTGTGAATGATGAATAAAATACATATTAACCTGTACGTTTTCATTATTTCAGCATATTATTACAAATTAGTCATTATGATATTTATCGTACAATCAGCTGTGCACACGTTTCCCGGAGATAAAGTTCAAACATGCACAATAATATAACCGGATGAATTCTGGCGCAGTCATCAGTAAAATATAATACAGAATACTATTATTTAACCCAAAGAAATATATCCTAGCATTGTGTAATTTTAATTACAGTTTTTGCACTATAAATGTAAAATATATAATCAACACTAAGGTTATACGGACCCTCATGAACATGGTAAGTTGTACGCACATGGAATGGGGTAAAATAAGCCAGCCATTTAAATTCACACATTTTTACCGATTTTACTGTAAACTAGCAGTCCATGGAAAACAAGGCGGTAATAAGCAAGCCAGTTTGTTGACATGTTATCGTCTAACTACAATATGTATGATATTTAGCGAAACAAAACATATTATCCATTTTCTGTCAACTACACTTCATTTCAATGCATGAGTAGACACAATATGATTGTGAATTTTTTTAATAATGTGGACCAAAGTTATAATTATTGGTAACCGCCAGTTGTCTGTGGTCTGTGTTTGCCACGATTAGGACCCCATCGCAGGGGTCGGCTTATGTACGAAACATACCATATTGACACTGATTTTATGGGTCAAGTTTGGGGGTCGGCTTATCTATGGGGTCGGCTTATAGACGGTAATATACGGTAGTTCAAGAAGGTTGTTACACAGCTCACATAAAGGGCCCTGTAGCCATGAGCAATAACAATCTATCCTGAACCAGGACAGAATTTGTCAATACGACTGAAGGAGTCAGTTTCTATTTAATAACAGTGATAGGATCTCTCAACATGTGTTTTCTGCATGTATATCTCACTGGCATGTAACACAAAAGTCAGGTAGACAACAAAATACGCAGAATTCTGCAGATCTGCAAAAATTCCATCCCTGTGTTCTGCAGATCTGCAAAAACCTTCTTATCCCTGTAATATACCACTCTAAAGAAGTTAGGTATCTTTTTATCTGGAATGCCATGTTATCATCCCACTGAGGTAACGTGATAATGGTTTCATCCTTTAACATCTGAATGAGAGGGTGGTGAGTGAGTGAGTGGGAGGGAGAGAAAGAGGGAGAAAGAGAGAGAGGGAAGGAAGGAAAGAGAGAGGGAGAGAGAGAGAGGGGGTGAGTGAGTGAGTATTATCTCATTAGTGAGGTGAGGTGAGGTGAAATTGGGTTTAACGTCGTGCTTGAGAATATTTCGCTCATATGACGACGTGCATGTGTGTGTATGTGTATGTGCGGCTGCTTGTACTAGCCCAGACTTAAGCTGGTTTTATAGTGCTAGCCCACTGAGATACCATGCCGCAGTGAAGCATGAATATCCCACTCAGACACATTATACTGACTCGAGCTGACCAGTCCTTGTTGTACCCATTAATGCCGAGCGCCAGGCAGGGACCAACAAGTACCATATTTTAACGTCTTTTGGTATGACGCGTGGCCGGGATCGAACCCGCGACCTTCCGCTCTACGGGCGGACGCTCTAACCACTACACCACGGAGGCGGTCTATTATCTCATTAGTGAAAACAGCCTCAATAGTCACCCCTAGTATACACCAATAACTCTTCAGTATGTGACAGGGATAAGTTATCAGGGATCTGCTACAAGGGAGGATGTCTACCACAAGCAGTTCTAGTTGATGATCCTTTCACTATACCAATCAGATCTGTGTTGGATGTGGACATTTTTTTTTTATTGGTTAAATCTTTCCTGTGGAGTTTAAACTGAGTTATTAGCCGTTATCTGTCAACATTTTTTGCAATTATAGCATGATAGATAGTATCCGTAAGACCTAAAATGCAGTGTAAAAGAAAGACTTATTTTGACAACCATGAAAAAGATTAATTCAGCTCACAAACTTATCACTGTGATAATATACCCTTTAATAACCAGTACATTAATATGTCACTTTGTACAAGGCTTTGGTTTTTTCAAGGCTTTTAATGGTTAAAATTGGAAGTCAATTTTTTTCAAGAGGGACTTTACAATTCAAAGCATTTTCAAGCAAGTAGGAAAATAGTATCAAATGTGTCTTACTGTTCATACAAAAGAATTAACCATAATACAATGTATAATCATTTGTCGTTTTACTTACCCTGCGTTCCTACCAGTATGAGTGGTATTTCAGCAGCATTACGGTAGTGCGCCATCTTGGCATAATAGCTGTACACGGCCTGGAAGCTGAGCTCATTCTCTAGACTGAATACGAAGATGATGGCATCAACCCAGTGCGTGAACTGAAATAAAAGGCCAAACACAAGGGTCAACACTTCCTTCTTGTCCTGTTGATCTTAGTGCACAGGAAACTTCCATGTCACTCTTCTTTTTGTCACTGCTATATCTTAGTGCACAGTGAAGTGACTGAGTGAGTGAGTGAGATCACTAAGTCTTTGCTTTTTGTTCACTCTCATTATTAGTTTTTACTCTCTTTCAGTAATGATGCACCTGAGCTAAAAACATTTGGGGTGAAATGATGGTCATGTTTCCTTGTTCTATACCTTTAATGCCTAGCACTTTCCTGGGCAACAATAAGTAACATGTTTTAACATTTTCTGGTATATTGTTTGATTGTTTGCTTGCTGTTTAATGCTGTACACAGCAATATTCAGGCTAAATGGCAGCGGTCTGTAAATAATCAAGTCTGGACCAGACAATCCAGTGAAAACAGCAGGAGCATCGATTTACACAATGGGGATACGATGACATCTGTCAACCAAGTCAGCAAGCCTGACCACCCGATCCAGTAAGTCGCTTCTTACGACAAGCATTGGTTGCTGAAGACCAATTCTAACCTGGATCTTCACAGGTTCTTTTAGTACAATGCTGGTGGGATCGAACCTTTCATATGACACAGGCCAGGATTGAAACCCTGACCTTCCAATCTCGTGTAGACACACTATCCAATAGACCATGGTTGCAGAGTAAAAACTAGAACTGTAGCTCACCTTGATATGCATAATCAACACCATTAAATGTCAAAGACTGACACTTAAGATCAGACAATCCAGTGATTGATATCATGAGCAATGACACATTGTACAGTTAACACTGACATATATCATGAATCAATTTACGAATCTGACCACCTACTGCATAAAGTCGCCATTCTGGGGAACTATTCCAACAAGGGGATCCCCATGGAAGACAAAGTGAAGAGAGATATTGTAACTATGTAAGTACATACCTGCATTTCAGGAGCACCTCCTTCATCTCGTATAAGGAGAAGATAACTCTGCCCATCCAAGATTACTTCTTTCTTAAAACGCCCACCTGAAAGATGAAGAGAAACAAAAATACAAGCCTCTTTCAGTATTGGAAGGGAACTAACTCTTACCTAGTCTTGTTAGAAATTATTCAGAACGGTTACTGAAGCTCTCATAAAATCTCCATGCATTCTCCCATACACAAATCAATTCACCTAAAAGCACCAACTGAGATTTTTGTACAGTGAATAAATAAACAGGCTTGGGACTTGGGATAAGATGATATCCAGACATAATTATTGGCAAGCTGATATATGACCCTATGTATTTACGTGGACATAATTATACATTAATAGGATGACCTATTTAGATAATGATCAAGACGACTTCATACATATCTACTCCCACACATACAGATCAACCTTCATACTCATATCATCTTCAAAATACTCACCAACTAGGCCCATATTACCCCCTCTGTAATATATATACTTAGTCCACACTTACCCTGACACCTCTCAACCACACTGTCCTCCACCTCATGGCTCAACCTACCCTCAACCTACCTGTCTCCCTGGATAGACAACTGAAAACATTAGCTGCACTTCTCAACTGTCCTTATTCAGTATCAAGTCACCATGCCACATAGACATATATACTGCAATGAACAGTACACACACACCACACACTCACGTCAAACACTAAAGCCATCATTCACACTATACACCCGTAACCAGTCATCATTCACATGTCACACTCTCACCCTATACAGATCGCCTCCGTGGTGTAGTGGTAAGAGCGACTGCCCGGAGAGCGGAAGGTTGCGGGTTCAATCCCCGACCAGCGCCATACCAAAGACGTTAACATATGGTACTTGTTGGTCCCTGCCTCGCGCTCGGCATTAATGGGTACAACAAGGACTGGTCGGCTAAGAGTCAGTATAATGTGTCTGAGTGGGGTATTCATGCTTCACTGCGGCAAGGTATCTCAGTGGGCTAGCACTATAAAACCAGCTTCAGTCTGGGCTAGTACAAGCAGCCGCACATACACATACACACGCATGCACGTCGTCATATGAGCGAAATATTCTCAAGCACGACGTTAAACCCAATTTCACCTCACCCTATACCAGTCATCTTTCACACTACACACCACACATATACATATACCCTACACAACATTCATAATACATGTCACACACATATATATACCCCACTCCACTGTCACCCCGTGATACCCCGCCACACCCTCACCTTCTGGTGACTCCTCCTGCATGTAAGAACCTGTAAGGTAGCGATGTACCAGAGCCGACTTTCCGCTTTGTACGCTTCCAAGAATACCCTGCAAACAACAAACACACACTCTATGTATGAGGAAAATTCAGGTTACAGCAGTCGTTACACAAAAATCTAAAAATACAGCAAACATTGAACCATCAAAAACTAGCTGGCTTGTGCCTTTCAAAAGTCAACAAATCATTCACTAGTTGTGGGCTAGTTGGTGGTAGTTCACATTCATCACAAAAAAGTTTTCCTATAACAAAGTAAATAAATGTTAAAGTACATCAACACCATACAGACAATTGTATCAATGCTGCAACTGGTAGCATGTGGTCTTTAGTAGTCGGAATAACTGTATATCATGACACACCCCTTAAAAAGCCTACTTGATAACTAGGCCTGCAACGAATACACTTTGTGGCGAATATGATACGTATCATGAATATTGTGTAACGAATACGAAAAATTATTCACGAATACAATATTGTAGTTAAGTGATTGATGTACAATATGGACATGTTGACAGTTTTGATTTGTCACAGCAATAACCAGTCATCTCATGACACTCAAATTTGGTATGTAATAGTTATAATTGACAGTACCATGTGTGGCCTTGGCAAACTAACATGACTTGGGCTACTGCAAGGCTAGTACATATTCCATTACTGCATATCTCACTTCAAAAAGTACACAAGGGTTCAAGTAAAACATGCTCCCTTAAAAAAACGTAAATATTCGTTAATATTCGGTTCTGGTGACCACGAATAACGAATTGAATTCATAAAGGGCTACGGTTCGATTCACCGAATATGCGAGTGAATCGTTACAGCCTTATTGATAACTTAACCAGACAAACTAATATGGACGACCAAGATTATGCCAATTTGCATCACATCAGATGTAAAACAGTAGTAACAACATCTATACATTTATACTGACAAACATGACTGTAATGGATGAATCAAAAGCATGTAGTCATACTGATAGTCTGTCTCACAGTCCCTAAACCATATCATCTTCCCTATTGCCTAGCCTTACCTGCAATGCTAAAGCCTTAATGAAGCATGTCTAGATTTCCTCAGGTTCTGAATCTCTGGTCTCAATTGGTCTCCTTTTCAATTTTAATGGGTTTATTTGCTACTATCAAAATTATATATACTCAGAGACTAAGCGTTAGTCTATCATACTGAGTGTAGCGAATGAACAAGGCAGTACTGATGACTGAAGCTTACTTACATCATCAGAAATTTCTTCATCTAAGTTGATTTCGAAATTCAAACAAATACCCTAAAGGTTTGACAAGAGCTGGTTGATCACAACGTTATCTGGTTGATTGTGGCATGCTGTAAATCATTCAGACTATTCCAGTTTAAGGCATTACAATCATGTTAAAAACTGAAGAGTGAATGAGTGAGTTTAGTTTTATGCCGCACTCAGCAATATTCCAGCTATATGGCGGTGGTCTGTAAATAATGGAGTCTGGACCAGACAATCCAGTGATCAACAGCATGAGCATCGATCTGCGCAATTGGGAACCAATGACATGTGTCAACTAAGTCAGCGAGCCTGACCACCTGATCCCATTAGTCGCCTCTTACGACAAGCATGGGTTCTGAAGATCAATATTCTAACCCGGAACTTCACGGGTTAAAAACTGAAGATTTATAGGTAAAATATACAAATACCAGAGCACACCTCTATACCCCAAGACACACAGTTATTTCAAACACTATTACCTTTGTCGACGACTATGCGGAAGTCGGCCTCAGTCCCTGAACCTATTATTCTGCCCTTCCTTAAATCTAATGCGACCGCCCATAAGTCTAGATTTTCCACAAGTTCTGACAAATTCTCTCTATTTAATTTAAATGGAACTTTTTATATTCTATCAAAACTATATATATGCAGAGACAAAGCATGTGCAGTTGAGCCTGAAGCAACCTGCACCTATCTTTCCCCGTTGTTGCCCTTCCCTTTCTCTACCTTAATCTAATTCTAATGAAGTGATACAGCTAAAATCTTGTCTGTGTCCACTCCAGTAAGCAAGCACCCTTATGTAATGATATAAGTGTCTGTGTTCCCCCAACCCCCTCCATGTATTATGCATGAGCATCAATATGCACCAGTTCTAACAGCTGATACCAATCTCTTCCAATATTGCAGCCCAAGCCACTTACCCCCAGTCCATCTCTCACGCAATCTGTCCACTTCATTACTGTCTTAAGGGGTTTACAACAGGGCAATTATTATCAAATCTTGTGTTAACTAGTAAGTAGACACTAATTACTGCCTACTAGTGCTGAATGTAGCTTCCTTGGGACTGATGCACTATCATCCATGCTAACACATCTTCCAGATTTACAAATTCAAGTGTTTTAAGGCTAGTCTATTTTATTTAGTAGTCCACAAAAGTTTGTATCCAACGTTGCTGGAATGAGATAAAACTGTTACTTGGTGTATAATGTTTGTTATATTCAGCTGCAGTTTGGAACAAACTGAAAGCATTGAATACTGCTATAGAATTACAGCATAAGCCTATCAGGACACTATCACTGAGTTTTTCCTCATGCTCAAGACTGTCTGCCAAAGTTTTCTGTTGTCTTCACAAAATGATACACAAAATATTAAATGATTTTTAATTAATATAACTAAAACTAGCATTACATTAATCGAGGCAGGAACCACTCAAGTGAGGGGAGGCTGATGACTTTGACTGTCAGTGAATATGAAGAAACAAACTTCTGACAGTTAGCTCTGAAAGGATCTACCCAACAATATAGAGAAGTGGGTTTGGTTGGTGGCGGCTTGTGCCTTGGGCTGTGCATTTAACAGTGCTTATGAATATTATGAACAATGCTCCACACAGTACAAAGGCTAGACTAATGCTTAGTCCCTGAATACATATAATTGTGATAGTAACAAACAAGCCCATTTAAATTGAAAAGGAGCCCTAGGGAGACCAGAGATTCAGAACCTGAACCTGAGGAAATCTAGACTTGCTTTATTTAGGGCTTTAGCACTGCAGAGAGAGCTTGGCAGTAGGGAAAATAATGTGGTTCAGGGACTGTGAGACAGACTATACAAAGGCGTGCAATCAACCAAGATGAATCTGGACAACAGATCAATTTCAACTCCTCATGGAAACAAGTATGAATAAAGTGGGACCAATTCTTCTGGGATGCCCATGGATTCCAAAACAGGTATGAGAACTTAAACATCTGTTTTAATAGTTTTCATAATCTCTGAATTGGATTGGCATTTCAGTCACTTACACATATTATACAATCATGTGCAGATGCGAATATTGTTATATGTCACAGTTGGGATATAACAAAGCTACACCACTGGGCATGAGGTACTGGAGACCTGGGGCTGTACATTAAAGGCAATATCCTGATTGCCATCACGTAATTGGATTGGTATCAAATACATCTAGATCGACTTACCAGTTTGAGATCTGGGACTGAGCGACTTAGTGTCCATTCTTGACTGTTCACAAATGAATCTGCAACAGAGGAAAACATCATTGTAAATATGGCAGTATTGTACATATTTATCCGAAATAAAAATATGGCCTAAAAAATAAAATGTTGTGGTTCCGATTACCCGACTGACCCTTGAATTCTGGTGCTGACCCTATTTTTTAAGCGTATGAATAAAATAAGCTTTCAGATACCATTGGTTTTTTCCCGGCACCAATGGACATTGGTCATTCTGATAGAGAAAGTCGACATGATGGCCGCAAGCTTGATTGAATAAACAATTATACATTGATAAATGTGTTCTTAGTTTGTACTTTACTTCTAAAAAAATGTAAAAAAGAAATGTAAAAAAAATTCCTACCTACCTACCTACCATAAATCTTAAAGAGGTGTAATCGAAACCACAACATTTTTTATTTTATTTGGCCTATCTAAAATATCACTATCAATATCAACTCACAAACACATCAAGTATGACTGTGATATTGCTCTTCTTGCAATGTGATGACACATTCCAATGAAAATCACAGAAAGGATGTGAAAATCAAGCAATCTTCTACCACAGATGCTTCCACAACATAGCTGTCCTGTTTATACTTGTCCTGTCACAGCCTATGGAGAACAGGTCAATATGGACCAGAGCGATACTTCAAGAGAATACAATATGCTTGTGATGTAAACTGACTTCCTCTCATATTGGCTAGTCACAAGCTTTATCAGTTATAACATGCTGCCTGGCGTCAAATTTGGCAATGGATGATCTGAAATGTCTGATCACCACATATTACAGATCTGCTGATAGTTTTATTACAAAACAAGATACTGATAGAAAGGGAAATTTCTTCAAATGACAATAAGATAAAGTATTAGAAGTGTTTTCTTGGCTGAGAAAGCTTTTCAGTAAATGAACTGATATAAGTATTTCAGTGTATGGAAACCACTTCTGCTGTAAACTTATTGCCCAGTTTCCTGATATACTTCCAGACATCTCCAGTACTTGACCTGCGACAAACTTCACCGCTTACACTTGTACAGAAAAAACAATTTCCATTCTCATAGACTCAAACTCCTTACAAACTAGAACACCAAGCAGCGGTGTTCATATTTAACAATCAAAACTAAGAGGTCCTTGTTAAAACTGTAAGTACAAAATATCTGTGCTGTTGTAAACAGCAAAAACATAAAAGAATACCTCCAGGAACCTTCAAACGAATGATGACTTCTTGTTAAGTAAGATTGCCAATTGTACACACTGCCTGTACCATTCCTGTAATTACAGTTTAGATAAGTGGATTATCTGATCTGGCCTAGTTGACATCCGTTTCATGGAACCGTTACAACAATAATTAAATATCACCAATAAGGCTGCCAATCTCAACACCACAGAAGGCATGGCAGAGGACTGATGAAAGGGAGACAACTCCTACTACACCAAAAATCAGAAATGTGCCACCCAAGTGACCAACCGGGACTTCACCACAAGTGTTAAACACTCAAACACATATTTATACAGAGATAGTCAAAACCACTAACTTACAGTTTTGCTTAAAATCCCTCATCTTTGTTAAAGCATCCTTTCAAAATTTATCGATGGGATGAAGGCTATCGTCTCAAAAGTGTCCACTTTAAGTCAGAATTAAGCAGATTACAACAAACCCCCACACTGTGTTTTTGTGAAAAGTGAAATCCACCGGACGAGGCCAGTGAGACAGAGATATTGACTTTTTAGCAATGATCCCTCTTTCAGCAACTACAGTATTGATTTCCACGATTCCCGCACATTCTTCCACTTTGTCCACACATCTGCATCAATTAAGTATTTTTACGTACTAATAACAGAGATGGTCTGGCTTGTTTTTCGAATGTTTTCTGTATCTTGTGTGAAGAAGCCTACGTTTATATATACATGCTGTGGCTGTCGTATCGATCCAGTAGGCTGGTTATAGATCACTGCCACCAATCCCATGCAAGTATGCGGCATCACACACTCCACAAGAAACCAGGGTACGTATATATATCGCCATCCGACAGCTTCATTTAACCATAGCCACTTAACAGAATCAGAGTCAAATAAAAGGAATGTTCCAAAGACAAAGTTAAGACAGAGTTTGTCTACCATAAATTCAACAGTAATTTCAAACATCAATTTTGATTGTTTATCTATAAATTTTACAATTTACTAGGAAATGTTCTGATTCCGCTGCAAATAGATGCAACTTTCCTGATGCAGTCACCTACTCTGGTGATTCCAAATGAAATTTATTTGTTTCCTGCAAAGACTGTGGTCAGCTGACATTTGCATTCTTCAGGTATATTCGCACATTTTTAGCTTTTCATCAATCATGATGAGTTCACTCCAAAACATAACATTACAGGCCTTTTACTAAGCAGCATGTCACGAATCACAATGCAGCCATGTGATACAGTTAAGACTTCACTACCTAGCAAATGGTTTAACCACAGTGTGTGAATTATCCAAGTTACTAACATCTCAAGGACTGCAAGTGCAGTAATTGCTTTTCAACAATTGTTCATGTCAACTTCCTGTTTGGAACAAACACTTTAAACCTATTCGTAATGAAACCTACATTCACTGATCGGGAGCTGCTGTGTTTATCTCCTGGAGCAACTGAAGTTGAAGTCAGCTGCCGACTGTTTCACTGTAGCTCACCCATCACATATAGTAACATGTTACATTTGGGATTACACTTTCACAGTACAGTACAGATTCTTGTGTTAGGTTAGATGGCTGACTTTGTGTGCTGGCGATTAGGTGCCTGTCTCTGAGGGTGTGGGTTCAAATCCCGGATGGGACTCAACCCAACAAAAGTACTATAATCTGTCGTTTACTGAGAAAGTGTAATCCCAAATATAACATATGTTACATCTGACCACTTTCTAAATGGCATTGTGTATTCATAACTTTCGGCCATGGGAGCTGTGCCAATTCACACTTATCAGAGCGGTACACAAAGTCTGTGGTCTAGATGACCAGTTGTCCGACTTCCACTTTTTGTGGAAGCCAGGGTGGCTGAGTGGGTTAGGTGGCTGACTTTGTGTGCTGGTGATTAGGTGCCTGACTCTAAGATGTGGGTTTAAATCCCAGATGGGACTCAGCCAAACAAAAGTACTAAAATCTGCACTTTACTGAGAAAGTGTAATCCCAAATATAACATGTTACATTTGACCACTTTCTAAATGGCATTGTGTTTTCACATCACATATAGATACATTAAAGGATCATTAATCTGTTATTGACATTTGGAGAGACCTACAACAGTATCATATACTGTCTGGCATGATGTCCTATCATAATAGTTCCTACAACTTCCTACACAGTAATGACTAACAGCCTAAACCATCTCTTGTACCACTGTTTGGTGCAGTAAACACCAATCCATTAAATCAATATGAGGTTAACTGGGGTTTAATGTCACAATCAACATTATTGCCCTCGACACTTACAACAGCCACATGCATGCACATGTTTGTGTCCATCCAGAGAAAGGGTGGTGCTCATACTCCAAGACCACTGTATACTAAGGCTGTAACGATTCACTCGCATATTCGGTGAATCGAACCGTAGCCCTTCATGAATTCAATTCGTTATTCGTGGTCACCAGAACCGAATATTAACGAATATTTACGATTTTTTTAAGGGAGCATGTTTTACTTGAACCCTTGTGTACTTTTGGAAAGTGAGATATGCAAGGATGGAATATGTACTAGCATTGCAGTGCGCAAGTCATGTTAGTTTGTGAAGGCCGCACATGGTACTGTCGACTATAACTATTACATACCAAATTTTTGTGTCATGAGATCACTGGTTATTGGTGTGACAAATCAAAACTGTGAACATGGACGTTCCATATTGTACATCAATCACTTAACTACAATATTGTATTCGTGAATAATTATTCGTATTCGTTACCCAATATTCATGATACGTATCATATTCGCCACATAGTGTATTCATTGCAGCCCTACTGTATACTATGCTGCAGTTTGGCAAGGATCCCCCATTCAGACACGACCGGTGAAGATACGGGTTTAGACTTGGTCTTCAGTAACCCACGTTTGTTGTAATAAACAGCAACTAACGGGATCAGGCTTGCTGACTTGGTTTGTCACATGTCATCGTATGTCAATTGCGTAGATTGATGCTCAAGCTGTTGATCACTGGATTGTCTGGTCCAGACTTGATTATTTAAAGACAGCTGCCATATTGTTGGAATACTGCTGGGTGCGGCGTGCGGCGTTAAACAACCACCAACCAACCATTAAGACACAGAATACTGACACAAAGCCACCCAATCCTTGTTTGATCCCATTAACGAGTGCCAGGCAGGGGAACATTAAATACCACACTGAAACATTATTTTGTATGATGCAGCTTGGGTTCAAACCCATACACTTCTGTTCAGTAGGCAGAAACTCTATCCACTAGGCTAAAACTGTGGTCTCATAAATCAACCTCATGTCATGCAGCCAAGTTACATTTTCTGTCCTAAATTAAGTTCCCAGCTGTTTAAAGAAGAAACTGAAAGTAACAAAACATATACTGTTGACATGCATGTACAGTTTCAGTAAAACCAAAGGGATTCTCTCAAAGCTTGAAAAGAGATTTTTCAACTTGATATGGTCAGTACTAAAATCTTGTAATGAGCATCAATAAGATGTTCCTTCCATTATCGCAACTAATTTCCATCAGCATACCAACTATATTGTTGAGAACATGTATCCACCGTTTCTTTGAAGGAAGCGATACAGACAAATGTAATCATTCTGCATATCCCTCAGCTGTTCACACAGTACATTTCGATTGTCACAATAACCGCTCCAGACACCAGTACAGAGTTTATTCCCCAAAGATATCTGTTCCGACTTGAAAATCTGTTCTTAAAATCTGTTCTTATCGGCCTTCAAATGTAACAAACCTCCTTGAATCCCTCTGAATTAGATTACTGTTGAAGTTACTGGCTTAGGTTTGTCCCTGAAAGAAACAGGTCAAGTCTGAAATGGA